AAAGAATCACAGATAAGTTAATATGAAAAACAAATAAGTTGATATGAAATAATAAAATGTCATATGAGTATTTTTAAATGAATTTAGTACGATTTTTGAAATATTTATAACATTTACGTAAAGTGTGGAATATTGTCCTTACTTGTTATTGGTAATAACTATAATAATACTAGCTGGCCTGGGAAACGTTATTTTACCATATGAAGTAGATGATTTTAAGGAGCAGAAATATATAATACATATTTTTTTGTATCTTCTACCACTTTTGCAGCGGAAGCAAAAAAATCCCTCAAAGATAAAAAATGTTCGCTGTTTGTTCCACATTTCCCACTGTTTATTCGCTTCTATTGGTCGCAGTGAGGTTTATTGCCTAAAGATTAAAAACTCCAACCAACACAAAAGGAATTTTTCAATTCGAATCAGTACTCTCTAAGTTTAGCGCGTTCAAACAAACAAACTCGTCTGCTTTATAATACATATCATTCGCTTCTCAACGCATTAAGATGTCGAAAATATTTATCAAGTGAATGCAATAAATCTACGAAAAAGCCATCAAGCACGCATCAGTACTCATCAACGATCCATCATTATCATATTGAAGGCAATAGCTCGGATTTACGAAGCGGACAGCCCGAAGGCGCAACGATATTGCTGTTTGCTCAGACCAAATGTTTGCTCGACCAGCCCCCGCCCCGCTACTTACTGGAGTTAGATCAATATTTAAATTATTTCAAACTTTGATTAATTCGCTGATATATTGTTTGCAATGATGTCGAGGCCGGTGGAAAGATTTTAAGATTAAATCTTTATTATATCCATATATCCCAGATTAATAAAAGTTAAAGGTATTCAATAGAAAAGATAATTGCTGTGTTAAGTGTTAACTAGAGTTGAGTATTGTTTATTGGTTACGCGAGTGAAACAATTTTAATAAATCATAGATTAGATGAAATAAATATCCTATAACGGCTTACGAGGTATCTTGTATATTTTTCATGACTGTTGAAAAGCATCCATGCTATACAGTAATTAACGAACTTAATGAGCGTTTCGTTTGCGAATCGATTCACGGTATATTTCGTGTTTGTCAAGATATAGACAAAGACAATATTGATAATTATTTAGAAACAGATATATAGACTACCTCACCTATGGAGACGAAGCCCTTTCATTTTGCCAATTTTAAAACTACATACCGTGTGCAAATTTAACTATTTAATTTCCTTCTAGTTACTTATGATATAGGTTAGGAAAACAGAAATAATACCTAAACGATATGATCATATTTTCACTACTAAATTGTTATGCATTTGGTACAAAATAAAATTTGTGTTTGTTAAAAAAGCTAAGCTTTTATATGTAATAAATATCTCCAATGTTTATGAAGGGTCTAGTCAAACTTATATTGTCATCGGGCATGATAAAATTGAGTAAAATCACTTACTCCAGCGATACCCTTTATACAAAACGGTTTCAGTAAAGCTGCGGCTATTACCCGGTTTTAGGGAGTGAATATTTTATGCGTCCCGTTGTCGCTTCGGTCCCCGGGGAAGGGTTCTGCAGTAAACTCTGCGAACACTTAATTACCGATAAGTATCAAAGATTTTAATTAACGCGCCATTGTAGGCGTTTCCTATCTAAAATATAGATTTCCACTATCGCTGTCTTTTAGCACTTAAAACATTTCTTTAAACAAAACACTTCAACGGTTTAAAACGCGATATATATTAGTTTGAACTTATTTGAAAATTATTTTTACGACGGTCCCACGTTTTTCGACGTCAAATAAGTTTAACTAATAAATCACGTTTTAAAGCGTTATAGGGTTTTATTTAAATGTGTACTACTCGCGTAAACTACAGACAATATTTAACATTTCTTAATCAATCGTAAGTCGAACTTACTAATACAGAATAGACACATATAAATGTTTTGACAAATAGATTGCAATAACGTAGATAGAAAGATAAAAATAAGCATTTCCGAGAATAAATTTAAATAAACTCAACTTAAAGGAGATCCCGTTACAAAGAGGGAAAGGAGAGGTAATAAAAATGCCGAAATGAAAAACGCGCAATTTTAAAGCAGTATCAGATGGATGTAAATGGAATTGTTGGATGAGAATAATCAATACGTTTATTTTGTAACAGAAACTTTGAATCGATACAATATTACGACACGAGCGGGATTTGAACTGGTATCCATAGCGTTCCGTGAATAATCATAATAATGTTATCGATAACAGTTAAATTATTTCCTATAAGCTCAGTAGATTAGTTATAAAACGTGTGTTAAACTTGAAGGTGCCTGGGTTTCGAATATTTTCATTTGGACATGGCACATAGTTTTATTTATATCACTTAAACTATTAATAAATTTCACTACCGAGGTTTTTCATTACAGATATTTTTACACTCCCGCTGGAGTGATTCTAATATTGCCTCCCCTTTCATTAAGACTTTCGCAAACAGTACTTAAACACCCACTCATTTGTATGGAGATAGCTGTATTGATTTCTAAGAGTTGTACATATTGAGAATGCTAATGGCTTTAATACGGTAGGCAACTTAGTTATTGTACAGATAATTAACATCGGAGATCACTTTAAAGTATTTTAAATATCTGTATTATTTAAAGCTTCTGTAATTTGAAGAAGAAAAAAATAAATAATAAATAATTATTTTTTGTTACTTACATAAATATTTATTAATTTCAAGGTCCCTAGTTAAATTTAGTAAAAGTATGTACGTTCTGTATATTTTTCTTTTTAATATTGTATATTTATTCATAATTGACAGCATTTTAAGATATAAGTCTTTTGTTTGATTTTTTTCTTATCTTTTGAGCAATAAAGTGTTAATAAATAAGTATAGTTTTAGTTTTATTCCCTATTACCGTTCTAAAAAGATGTTACGAAAGTAATAACAATTTATTACCCAAAAAGGTCAATCTTAGTAACGAAAGGCGGTTGGTAATTCGTCATGGGGGCCCACGACCATTTATTTCTATAGAAAAGTACATTGGACGCTTTTAAAGCCACGTCGATAACATCAAAACCACATTAGTGCAGTATTTTTCATATGGCTTTCACATTGTGCTTGTTATTTTGATCACGCTAAACACGCTATTACCGAGTCTTTTTCATGATAATATATTATTTGAAATTGCACATTATGTAAATATGTAGATATATCTAGTCAAAATATTTACAATATCTCATTCTTCTATACCATATTATGATAGCTATAAAGCACTACATAAACACAAAATTTGGAAAAATGTCAATGCCTGAATCAGTCACGTAAAAATAAATTATTTATTATGTTGCTTACGTAAGGAGTTATACAAATATGATGAAACATTACATACGCCGTCGTCTAAATAGTGTCGGAATTTTATTACATAGGTAAGTTACAAAAAAAAGATCAGAAAGGTGTTATATATTTGAAATACTCCGTTTCTTATAAATTGGTAGAAAAGGTAAATAATGACCCCTCCGTATTTCGTTAAGTAATGTTTTTGACGACAACGACTTTTATTATTATCAGTATGTTACAGTTGTCTAGTGAAGTATTTAAATTTATTAATATCTTTCTACAAATTATGACAATGAATTTTTTGAAATTTATTTCCTTTTTACTGAAAATTTGTTTTTTTTTAAGAAATGTAGGTATAGCATGGCAACAAGATGCTTTTTGTGGATTTTAAAAATACCGATAAAAAATCGTAGTTGGTCAATTGTCAATGTTATAGTGATATATATACATCCCTAAAACCGGTTTTAACTTTATTGCCAGAATACTTTTGTTCGTATATTTTTGGGTAAAATTTTGTCGAGAAAACTAATATTATGCCAATTCCCACTAAAATATTGCTTGCGGAGTTTGTTATCCTTACTCGACTATGCCGATGTTTGGTATTTAGATCTAACTGAGGAACAAGTAAATAAGTTGAGAGTTCAAATTTTTCAATTAGATTTATTTGGTTCCGGAAATCCCCACGAGTCAGAATTCCGTACTAAACTTAAATGATTGCCTATTAGACTACGACGAAACACTCACATCCTCTGTCTTCTTTTCTCTATTCTCTTCGATCCTCGCACTCCTACCTATCTTAAGCAAAGGTTTATATTTATGGTCTTCCATGAACTTCACTTCGTTCCTCATAAACCGTTCCTTTCTTGCCTGTCGCCTATGGAATAAGCTGCCACCCGCGATTAGGCTCTCACAAAGTCTTAACTCCTTCAAGATCAAAGTCAAACAACATTTTCTTGAAAGTATTGTTCAATCTTGATTTAATTTTAATCTTAAGTTTTTACTGTTTAGTGTGTTAACGTTTTTTGTTGTGTTAGTTTTGATATCATTGTATTTTACAATTTATTGCATTTTCTCTCTCATGCTCGTTGCCTTTTACTCATTTATTGTTATTTTGTTTTCCTTTTCTTTATACAAAGGTTGCCTGGAAGAAATCGCCATAGGCGGTAAGGCCGCCTTTGCACTAACTCTTTTATGTAAATAATTATTTTAGTTTTACTATATTTGTATTTTCTTTGTTTGTGCAATAAAGTGTTTTAGTAATATTATTAAAGATTTTACTTTCCTTTTTTTTAAGAAATACGTGGTATAGGTTAGTTAGGTACAAACATTTTGTACCTAACTAACTTACGTACGTACTTAACGGTTTCGCATTATGCCCGCAAATTATATTATTATCTTACATATCCGCTTTATTGTTTTATCTTTTTATCGATATTTTTAATAATAAGTATATACAATATATGAATAATATGTTAAGAAATACATATACTAAATTCTTTTTTCTGGCGAATTTCAAATATACATCTGGCAATATCAGCTTCGTCACGTTTGACGTGTGCATTGTGTATTAATTGTTTTTGAAATAGTATCTTTTGAATATTTATATTTCAGCTTTGAATGTTTGTGAATGGGAATTTCGATGATTAAGTATATCATATTAATTTCAGAGATGATATTATTGACATGAATAATATTAACAAAGATTATGCTACACGGTGCGTCAAAATTCTTGTAGATGGCTGTCGATGTGTCAATTGGTATGTTTTTACTCGGTAACATTAATTTATCGCTTTAAAAATTAAATTGATTTCTGTCTTTTCACCTTTTAAAATGTGCATCACGGATATAACGAAAAAAAAACATTGACATGACAACTTTATGCAATGTATACAGAAAAAAATTGTTGATGACCTATAATTTTATTTTCCAGTGACCACTTGCATCAACAACGCTTAAGATATATTTGTGGACACTCGGTATGCGAGAATTGTGTAGCAATAGATAACACATGTGTTCTTTGCTCTCCTACCTCTAATCAAGAACCTTCTGCTGATAAACCTCAAAGTGACAGAGTTCAGCATGCTATAGAACTTTTAAACTCCTTTCAAGACCTCTTTAATGTGAATGGTAATATTCATAATATACAAATTACAGATATAATTAAATATAATACTATAAATGTCTAAGTACTCTTTAAAAAGAATAACTGTTAAGTTATAAGAGTTAAAAGCTTTTATAAGTAGTTGAACTTTTGCAGTTCCACATAAATTTATATTCCTATTTATTTTCAGTTTATAAAAAGGACAGAATTTCTGAAAAGCTGAAAATAGAAAAAGAAATATTTCCTGAATGCATTCAAGCATCTGAGAAATACTATAATAAACGAAAAAGCAGTGTGTTTGTTGAAAAAGAAACCTATAAACCTTCACTTCCTGGTGAGGATATATTTGCACCTGTAAAAGTAAAAATGAAATCATCTAAAAGTTATGTTTTACAATGGCTGCATCAAAATGAAAATAATTCAAAACATCAAAAGGAAAATTCTCGAAAGCCTCTTTCAGATTTAAGCATTAATAGTCCGCAGCGGGTAAACATAAAAAGTAATAAAAGCCTACTAGCAAACAGAAAGAGGACCATACACAAATCTGGACTTGACACACATTGTAAGAAGTTAAAATTAAACATTGCAGTAAAAGATAAATGTCAACATAATGAAAGCGGTATAGAATTAGATGATGATATTTGTGTATTGAATGATTCACCTACAGAAGTCTTTGACAAGGATAGATTATGCATGGCTGTATTGGAAGCCGACAAACATAATCAAACTATCACTTTGAAAAAAAGTAATGACAAACAAAAAGATATTCCTAAAGTCAAAGGTATCCCTCCGTCTACCTCATTCTTTAAAATTCCATTTTACAAAAAGGGAACACTTTTAGAAACCTGTAGTTTGTGTAAAGAATCAGTTGAGCAGAAGACATTTTACAGAAGTTCTATAAATAAGAAAGATGTTAATATAACAATAGATACCCCAAACTTTTTTACAACAATAAAACTGTCAGAAATAAAGCCTAAAACTACACTTGAATATAAAACAGCTGCAGTACAAACAGACAGTGAGATAAGTAAGAATAAAATATTAAACTATGAGGCTTGTGGTGCTAAAAATAATAAGGAAGAAATAGATGTATATTTAAAAGATAAGGACAGCCTTGATTCTTTAAATAAAACAAAGCCTATAGTTATCGAAGAATCTGACAGTGATAGTACATATTGCGAGGAGGATATTGAAGAAATTGAGATAGAAGCTGAAGTGCATAGGCCTAATGATTGTATGTGAGTTAATTGTCTTGTATTAATTACATTAGATTCCTTGTGTTTGATTCATTACATTAAATCATATACCATTAAAAAGTTTGAGAAAAATTTTAATTATGGTATATAAAACTGATATTCTGCAGTAAACAACATACATGGAAAAAAATTAAAATCCTCCCTTTAATAAATAATTCAAGTTAAAATAGAGGAATTATTTTTGTTCAAAAACTTTTAATGAAGTTTCTTATATCCACTTTTGGCATTGGTTACTATGGTGATGGGGTGTTGTCTCTTAGAAATTAATCAAAATAAACTATTTATTACAGAGACCATGTGTTGAGGCCTTTAGAGCGAAAGGAATATGAGAACAGAATCATTCCTAAAGTTAGAGGCACTACACCAGCAAGTTCAGATTCATCAGACAAAGAAAACTTTGATCCCAAAAAGAGGAAACAACCTGCTGGTAAAAAGAAACTTAAGCATAAGAAAAGGTATTGTTAAGGAAGGCAAAACTATTATAATTTCAAACTTTTATGAATAAATTAACTTTATTTTATGAATAAATTTTTTTTAGTTATTATTTTATTTTTTATTTCACCTCTACCTGATAGGGGAATGATAACATCTTGTGTGATTGTATTATAAATTGATTTAATTGAACATTAAAAAATTCAGTTAACACCTGGTCTTGTGCTTAGATTTACTAGCCATGTATGAGTCTCAAAAACAGCCTCGTTGGTCTATTGTTAGCAATGTTAACCTAAATATCAATGGTTGGTTCTAAACAGAGGTGGGCGATTATATAACGTTGCTAATCGATTATGGGATTAGTAACTAATTTGTTTTCATAATCGAATGATGTTACTAATTAGTAATACTAATCGTGCCCTCCTTGACTTTATCTGTTTAAACAATAATAGATACTTTTATATACTGGTGTAGTTTGTTTTGTTTACTACGATATTGTGAGACGTGGCGCTTTTCACCTTTTAGTGGAGATGTCATGTTTAAAAGTAAGTTGACCTTTTTTAATTTTGTCTAAAAGTGTAAGGATGACTTAGTTTTAAATAACCTTTTAATAAATTCCTTCATGTATTACTTGACAATTTTTTTTTTTTTATTTCGAAGCAAATATTTAAATAACCTACGAATCTTTGTATTTAATCCAAAAAATATTGTTAATCATTAACCGTTTTATTTCAGACTGACTGATTTCTGAAATTGCCGCGACTATCTAAGAAGAAATTAGTAACTTATTTGGGAAACTTAAATACAAAAACAATAAAAAGCCGAAAAATATCAACAAATGTTAAATATTCCTCTAATTTTATTGTTATTATACCGTCTTCCAATAGAATATGCTCGTAATAAAATATAATAAAAGGGTCACATCCGACATACTAAACGTTTGGTGTGTGGCGTAAAAGCGAGCGAGAAGCTATAGTGCGTTGTCCTAACTTAGAAGTATTAGTAACTACTAATTATCCTTCTCTATTGTAACATTTCATAATCAAATGATTTCATTAGTATATCTCATAATCGTCCAACTCTACTTACTAGTATTAGTAACTACTAACCGCTATAATCGAGACATTTTCGTAATCGAATGATTTCGTTGATATATCTCATAAACGGCCGCCTCTTGGTCTAAAATCTAAATAAATATTTTCAGTGAGTCTTTCGACTCCCAATATCCAAAATAAGGCGACATCACTTCTTATCGAGATATATGGCTAGTGGTATTTCACCTTCCATTAAGTGAACCATATGTTAATCTGTATCATACCTAAACAAATTTACTGAAAACCATTTTAGTAAAGTATAGCTCAGTATGTCCCAATGAATTTACGTACTATAGCAACGTCAACAATAACATTCTAATGTTCTATAGCATTAAGACTAAGTGGTGTAAGAATGTTTTCTACAAACAATAGATAAGAATTTTTTAAACTCGATTAGTTGTGCAAAAAAGCTTATGGTAAAGCATGTTTCCGTGTGTAAAAAATTTATTCGTTAAACTACCTAGGAACATAATATGTATAGCTAAGTCTAGCTTTTATATAACTATGAAACAGTATATTCTATTATAACGTAAGTCTATATTGATTAAAGTAAATAATGAGTGACACATTACTCGAAGACGGTGGTAAATAAAAGATTAAATAGAGAGGTATAAGTGTATTGTCGTATGTAAGATCACCACCAGCCGGAGGAGCCACCGCTAGACCAGCCACTACCGCCAGATTTCCAGCCGGAACCGCCGCCGTAACCGCCACCGTATCCGCTGCCTCCACTGGACCAACCGCCGCCGCCACCGCCGAGTTTCCATCCGCCACCGCTACCACCGCCGGACCAGCCACCACTGCCTCCACCGAGTTTCCATCCGCCGCCGCTGCCACCGCCGGACCAGCCGCCACTACCACCACCGAGCTTCCAGCCTCCACCACTTCCTCCGCTGGACCAACCACCACCGTGGCCGCCTCCGTAACCACCGCCTGGAAAAGTAAAATGTAGTTTAAGATAGTGTGACGGAGTCTTGCTTTATATGTATCGCTAGATCGTCGTGCATTGGTTTTCGTGGACAAAATAAAAAAGTTCTAACTTTGGTGAACAACAATTGTTTGGTCAAAACAGAGCTTAAAAAATATCACTATCAATCACACGCAAAAATCTCTTTGAATGAGAGCTCTCGGCTTTCATTTGGGACTTGCAACACTTGGGACATTTCTGTGTCTTTTTTTTACGGGAATTTATTAGATATTAACTGTCAACTTCGTTTATAGGACTACATGAAAGGTTACATTAATTTGACATTAGCGACTTATATTCGCCAACAATAATGAGATCTCTGTTCGATATAAAGTCTAATCCACGACGACTAAGTTGTGGGCATACCTATTCTTATGATAATTATGTTCCTATTTGTTGTTTGCTGTTTGTTGCCCTACCAAAACATAATTATGTACCCGTGAGCGGATATTACAGTACTTTATTGATTACTTAATATAGATTTAATTTGCAACCAGCCAAATAATAGTTCGTATAGACCAGTTAATGATTTAAGAGCGACGCTTACGAAATATTAATTTCATGTAATAGCGAGTGAATGGATGACCCTCTTTGGAGCTCTTTCGACCTTTGTCGTCTACGCAAAATGTGTGGGATTCACAGTTATAATTTTAAACTTTATTACATGAAGATTAAAGTTAAATTATTATAAGAAGGATTTTTCACACAATAGAAAACGACGGGTAACGTTATTTAGAACGCATTTTGACGTAATAAAACCAGCGAAGCGCGTGTCGGGCTGTGCACAAAGAATTTTGTAATATCTATACTAATATTATAAAGCTGAAGAGTTTGTTTGAACCCGCTTATCTCAGCAACAATTGGTTCGAATTTAAATTTTTATGTTGGTTAGAACATTTATCGAGGGCTTAGGCTATAAAACATCACGCTATGAACGATTTGAGCGATGAAACACTGGGAAATGTGAAAAAGACTGGAAAAGTTATTTATCTTAGTGGGTTCCAGATAACCAAAAAATAGGTAGTAAACAATGATTCCTCTTCAAATGATCTGAAAACTACGACAGCATATTTCTAACCTTTAATATTAACACGCAAGAATGATGGTACGCGCCCGACGCCATGGGTAACAATATGGGCGTAGTCGCTGATACAGTCTAGATCAGACGCCATGACCTTTTTAATTTTATTTTGGTTTTTTGCATCGTTTTCCCACCACACCAGAAATACTATATAATAATACAGTATGTATTTCTATTTTAAGATACTAGTCAAAGTATTACGACGTTTATGTCAGTCATGCAAATGGGAGAGCGGGGCTAATTAAGAGTCCAGTTTTCCCTCTTCATACGTAACCATAATGTTGAAATTGTTGAAATGGAAATGCAGTAAGTTCTAAAACGGTGCGAGACATTAGCTAGACCATGTTATGTAACTCGATCGGTCGAGATGCTTTGTATTGCATCCTTTCTAAATATTAGAAAGATCACAAGAATTGCAACTTACCATAGCCTCCACCGCCGCCTCCTGTGGTTATGATTTTGATGATCTTAACCTCTGGAAAATGTCACAATTATTCATTAAAGACTGGCTAAAATAGTCTGGAGGTTACCCTATCTTTCTAAAACATTTGTGGCTGTAAACTTTTATTTAGATGAAATATCTAAATAAAAGTTTACAAAGAAACAAATGCTGTTAAAAATTATATATCTTTTTATTTACAACCAAAAAAGAACCCTAAGCGTTTTATATAAATAAAACGATACACAATTTGAGAATTTATTAGGTACATACATTTTTATATATTCAAGAATAATGAAAACTATAAGCTTTGCTCTTCACAATATTGAATTCATATTTGATAAAATATCATTAATAAGTAAGAATCCCCGTCTCGTACTTTTGGACATATTTGTTACATTGATCAATTTAACGATCAAGCCAATACGAAACAAAGAAAATGCATTAATTCGAACTTACGTCCACCACTGCCATGGCCGCCACCGCCGTAGCCGCCGCCACCACCGTAGCCGCCGCCGCCACCTGACCATCCGCCACCACCGCCGCTAGACCATCCGCCGCCTCCATAACCACCACCGCCGCCGCCCGACCAGCCCCCACTTCCTCCCCCGATGTAACCAGCACTGACGGCCGCCACAACACACATTAAACACACGAACACCTGGAAGCACAATTTTTTTTAAACTCTTGTTTCTAACATCTTTGATCACGATCATCGACCATCCATAAATTATTTTAGATTAATTTACTTCTAGTCTCCTCCTCTAGTGTAACGGCAATTATACTACTGCAAGGAGATATCGTTTTTTAATTTAGCGTTCTTTGCAATACGAAACCCCTTCCACTTTTGCCAGCTGTAACCCTCCATAGCCTCTGTAGAGATTTTTTGAAATTGATGGCCCCCTCAACGTAAAAATAAAATATTGACCAGTCTCTGTATATTACCTTCATGATGATGCGATTCGGTAAGTGCATAGTGTAGTTGAGTGACTGTGTGTTATATACGGAATAGGTATCTCCCACTTTCGGGCGAGGGCCGTGAGACGTGAACGGAAGCTCTTCCTCGGCCGTGATGCAACCCATTGTCCCTGTACGCGTTTGCTGAGATCGGACAATCGTCGCTGCAATTATCCAAGAAGACCACACTGTCCACTCGGGGTCTGTTCAGCTTTTACTGTCATTATTGTGTTTGTCATGTCGTTCGAGTACGACGACGTCAAGCACCCTCGTTTTTATAAAGTAAGTTTGATAATTAAACTTATTACATTTTTGATAGCTAGATATTTTTGAATAATTCAAATATATACTTAGGGGTATATAATAAATAAAAAAAATTACATAACTTGGTGATGTTGAATGCAATTAAATACTGTTTATTGCATTACATGCAATTCTTTGTGAGTGTGAGTTTGTATAATGGAAACACATTTTTTTATTAGACAGTACCATAAAACTAAAAAATTAAAAAATACGCCTTGCTTAGTGAAAACTATAAATGTACACTATCTCGTTGGATTCTTTAAATTTACTATGACGTATTAGTAAAGAATCGTACAATCTATCTTAAGCTGAACTAGCTGAGTTGTTTGTTTGTTTGCCCCCCCTATTCTCAGGAACTACGGGTTCGAAGTGAAAAATTCGTGTGTTTTGTAATATATCGAGGAAGGCTATAGGTTAAAACATCACCCTGTGACTAATGCAAGCGAAGATTCATTATGGGATTGAGGCGTACGCTGCATAAACGGTTCAAGCTACCCCAAAAATATGTATGAAAGAATGATTCCTTTTGAAATGATCTAAAAAAGTCCGCGACGCTATATGACTATCTTTTTAGATTAACTTGCAAGAACGACGGGAAGGAACGTGACTGACGTCGTGGGTAACCGCTTAAGTTTATAAAGATAAGATCAACAAAAACGATTTTGGATGCCAAATATAAATATTCTTAGCGGACGAATTAGCTGAAACAGCTAGTACTCTATATTTTTATGAGTACCTTATTTCGCCTATAGACAAATTAACCAGTAAAACGGACATAGAAGAGTGTCTGAACCATAGCAAATAGAGCAATCGGTCTTAGCTTTACGCAACCTGTTTTTGAGTTTTCGTAATATAACTTTGTTGACGATAAAGCACTGGGAACCACATTAAATTTTAAGAGCAGATTCATTCGTGATAAGCCCACGATTCTACATTTGCACTTCAGCCTTCGTATATGTACGTGTACGGTCCACTTAAAAAGTATTAGCAATATTTAAGTGAATCCGTTGAAAGGTTGCTTCGTGATAATTATTCGACTGCGGTTTTATGCGTCAAGTCTATATTTTTTACGTATCTAGGAATCGGAGAAAAGAAATAGTAATCGAAAACACTACCAACTTGGCTCTTTTCTAAATTTTTTTGTATTATTCACTAAGAAATATTGGGCCGCGTATATATAGGTTTTTTTATAAGGACATAATTTTCGTTTGATTTTTACAAACAAATATTAATATATTTAAATAAAACACTTTAACGGTTTAAAACGCGATATATTAGTTTAACTTATTTGAGAATGATTTTTAACTTCGGCCCGACGTTTTGGATGCTTTGCAGTAGCCGTGGTCACGGGGAGACAAAGCATCCGAAACGTCGGGCCGAAGTTAAAAATCATTCTCAAATAAGTTTAACTAATATATCGCATTTTAAACCGTTAAAGTGTTTTATTTAAATGTGTACTACTCGCGTAAACTATAGACAGTATTTAAATATTAATATATTCATAGTTTATTTTATTTACATAGTACTTTTAAAGAACGGTCTCGTAAGTTGTTAGTAGCAGAGTAGATTCTCAAAAAGTTTATCATGATATGAGATTCGATTGTTAAATGGTAGAAATATTTAAATGCCGCCCAATCCAAATTACAGCTTATTCGCTATCAAATAAGCCACTAACGCATCTTAGTTACCTATTGGTTATAGTACTGGTTTACTTCCCAACAAGTGAACTTTATTATAAAAATAAAATCATTTTTTTTTAAAGTAACCATTGTGAGTTAGACGAACATACTGCGGAAATAAGCTCTTCCGCGTAGTAAAAGTGGTTGGGTCCGATTCGTCGTGCCTTAGGTTATTTCACTCATTTGTTGTACAATTTATGCTTACTAAAATAAGAAAATGTCGTCCGTTAAGATGTTCCTTGTTGTTGAATAATACTACGGCTAACGAATAATGTTTTACGCTATTGTGTTATCGTATGGGATTTATTTACAACATTCGCTTGATTCAGTTCTAATGTTTAATATGGTTTATAAAATCGAAACTCGTAGAATTGTTGTTCTTCCATCGAGTTAATTCTTTCCATTTAACAGACTAATCTACTTTATTTTTACCCTACAGTTACTTACTTGTAAGAACGATTAAATCGTGGTGCTAAAAACAATCAAAATGACGACAGAGAATTCCTTTTCTCCACAACTATATTTGTATGTTTATACGATTATGCAAAAACTAAATGAATATTTAAATAAAACGGTTTAAAACGCGATATATTAGTTAAACTTATTTGGAAATGATTTTTATTATTTAACAAGATTAGAGGTGACGTAATAAGGATAATCCGTTCCTTTTTTGGGACCTTAGTCCTCACTAAAAAATAGTAAAACCTAGTGCATGTGTATATGGATAAGAACAGGATAACACGATTTTTATAAGTACCGTCTGATTTGGAAAAATCCGTTATTAATTAATCACTTGATTAGGTGGCAATTTAAACAGAGCGAATACGCAACTCCTAATAGCAGGATTCATTATTTTCGGTTGTTATTCGAACTAAATGGCATACATAATTGTTTTATCCCGGTGCGTTGTGAATGTTGCGTTTAATCGCGAAACATTGCACTTACGATGAAGTAATTGTCGGACATCGGCCGTTACATATTCACATAAGTGACTGGCGAAAACGTATATAAATGTTTTTAACGAGTACATTTTGCGATGGTCTAGTGAGTCGCGACTTCGATTTCGATATACTTAATCTAAATATGATTTTAAAATCAAACGATAGCCAAGATAAGTCGATAACACATCATAATTTAATGCCCCCAAATTTGGTCAGCCGAAATTAACAGTAACTCATTTCTCACTACGAAAATTGGAAATAAGAGTTTTGACCTAGTTTCCATTGAGTTTAAAATTTGATCTTCTTGTATCTTCATTACATCGGTCGATGAAGGTTACAAAGATTAGACGTCTAATATAAGAGAGATACCTGAGGATTAAACACTAGATAAAAATAATAATACAAGTACATTTTTTTTGTTTTGTTTATTTATGTTTTGCCATTCATACAAAATAAGCCGCATTATTAAGACGTAGATAACATGAATTGATAAAGTGAATCGCATCTTAATGTAACTGCTGTATCTTAATAAATTAACACAAAAGAAACTAACATAGTACATTTGTAACACTTAGATATCATAATATTTTTTTATGTTAAATGTTTAATATCCACAACAATGGGTAAACGTAAATAAGATGTATTTCCTAAAAGCACAGATCGAAATACAAAATTGGTTTACGGCGTACGTTAAGTCCAATGGCCATCAAAATAGCTGTTTCAGCGACTTGGGCCGCGTAGAATAGTCATTTTGGGCATCCGAATTAGTTTTTGCAAACCTCCTCTTCTTCTTTAAAAATATAAGCTGTTACCCACAAGTCGGTCGCGTCCGTAGACACATTAGTGTCCCGGATTTTTTTTTTCGATCATTTAAAGAGGAATCATTAGATTATACATATTTTTTGGGTATCCTAAACCGTTTATGCAGCATACGCATCGGAACCGCAAAAAGATGTATAATTTAGTCACAACACGCTATTAGCCTTCCTCGATAATTTTTCTATTCAGCTTTATACATTAGTAAAGACTAATTTACACATTGATAATTCATTGTAACTTTGTGGTGTCAGATCGACGTTTAAGAATTGCATTAGATGGGTTCAAAGGTAATAGAATACAGAGGTAAACAGCACGTAGAAGGTCGCAAATGCGAGTAAACATTAATTATAGATACATATGTATTAATGTTCTCTTGGCCAATTGCACCACAAGGTAGACTGCGAAGAGATTACTAATTTTAAAATATGTTGAATAATTGCTTGGCATATATTTATTGTTTTGTGGAAACGATGTATAAATGAACGCAAATTACAACAGCTGTGAAACGTGAAATATAATTATTCTATATAGTGAAGAATCCTTTTTATTTTTACTTTTAATTTTATATTTCGAATAAATGTGTGACATATTGCTTACTTATACTCACGGGTCCCTTTTAATTTTTTATGTATTTTCATCTTTCATGTTTCGAGTCCCTACGATTTACGAGTATAATCGATTTTGTAATTATATAAGCTCTAACGTACATTCGTATTTGGAAATTATCTAATTTCATACATAATTCATTCTTTGGACCGACGGATCCAGGGGGCTCATGGGTCATTACTGGTTATAGTAAGGATTATTGATTAAATAACAATTCTGTAAAAATTCAATTAAAACAAATACACCATATTATTATAATTTACTTTTATGCAACATTTTTATTCGGTACATGTAAAGATATTGCGAATAAATATTATCAACGAGAACAAATTAAATTCGACCTCGCTCCCCGATTCGTCCGATCCTAAAACAACAAAGAATAATAATTTAAAGTTCTCATCAAAGTCTTTAAATTGCGTACGTATACAGTGTAGCCATGATTTCTTGACCAAGGTTTCACGACCTTAACACATTCAAAAACAAACCATAGTCGAATCCTATCTAATAATCAAGGTATATACATAGTTTAATCATATTCAATCTTAGAAACATTTACGGTTACAAAACTCCTGCATATGTAATGAACGCATTATCTGTGCATAAACAGTCTGTGGTAATCCCTAGTAGGAATTTAAGTATTAATGCGCAGGTCAACAATAATAATTATTATTGGCACCGAAACTATTTGATCTATGGCCGCTCAAAAAACATGTATCTACTGGATACTCTACGAATAAGATTTAATATACAGATTGTCTCAAACGTCTTAAAAAAAGCTTTTATTCAAATTATGACAATTTTAAACAATTTATAAAATTACACTTAAAATACTGGCTGGAGATTACTCAACTCAAGTAAAAGGCAATTTTGTAATAATATACACTTATACGATAATACAATTTTGAAGCAAGAATCAAAACATTTGTTTAAGGTCCCCTCAGAATTATCTAATAAGCACTCCTTTTTTAACCGACGAAAGTTTAAGAGTTTCGTCGGTTAAAAAACGATAAATATAAAATATCTGCCTGGTTACTAATGATAATGGAACAAGAAACTAGTGATTGATAGTTAAAATGACTATGATATTAATTTATTCAATGACTACACATTATATTTAAGTATCAATTATAATCATGTAAATTGCGAAACGATTCCAAGTGCATTGACTGTCAGGTGTTCATCTTGAATATTTAGGTTCTGTGATTTACTACAAATGTGACTAGGCGCTGCGGCCTGCAACCAGAGGCATCTACCGGGTCATGGAAAAGCTTAATTATAGCAAAGGAGCTAGTGGTATGTGTATTATAAATCAAACAAAATCTGTCAAAGATTATGTTGTTTGAACACTTTTGTCTTAGTAAATACATTTTGTTGATAACCAAAACAAGCATAAGTCAGCATGGTAGAGTTTGCATAAAAATATATACTAACACTATAAAGCTGATAAGTTTGTTTGTGTGTTTGAATGCGCTAATCTCAGGACCTAGTTCAAAATCATTCGGCTGCGATCAATAGAAGCGAAGAACACGGAAACTTATCTTTTAAGATAAACTCACAAAAATCCTTTTTATGTAATCAAATTGAGTCGAAATACTTCATATGTTAATTTTTGCCAGACAAAGGAATCATATAAAATCATTGACATGTACTCCTCAACTATTCTAGAGACATTTATAATATTGCTAAGTACAAAAGTAATCTAATGATCATAACTTTAATAAACCCAAGATTTTTCTACTTTCGTATAAGATGCCTTTATGATTCTTATGCACAGGAATCGAAGGAACAGTAACTAAGACATCGTATCGCTGTGTTAGTATATAGTAGTGTATAGTAGAAAAATACAATAATACACCAAAAACAACACTATAAAGATGTTCATCAACACTCGAAGTCATTATTGTGTTGTGAAAGAAGACAAAAGGAACAGTAAATGATAGGAGAGAGGGCATTTGTTCCAGTTATTTAATGGTTCTTTGCCAGATAAACATTAACTTACAAAATGTGAGCGAAGTTTGTAACATTTCTTAATGCATCTGATTATATGCTTTGGCGGCAATTATGTTGCCAATAAGGTATAGACACGGATATGATACGCACTTTATAAATACAGTTTTCGATATCTGTAAACCGCCAATACTTTGTAATTGTGTTTTGAAATCATGAATCATCTATTGTCAAATTAGAAAAGGATAATGAAGATTTGAATAACATAGATAAGACGCAAATCTGCTAGACCGCGGCCTATAAGTACCAATGATCTGCATTGTCGCAGGAAATTCTTAACCATCTGTTCAATATCTATTAAGTATATTATACATGAAGATGAAGAATGTAGATGACACAATATAAATTAAAAATCGATTATAATTAGATGATACAGGCAAGACTCGAAGGACGAACCAACATCTTACTATGGCGTCGCTCTACTAACATCTTATCTTATTTTTCTTCATGCCAATTCAAGCCAGCCTGTGTCGTCAATTGTTTTTAATTTAATTAAGTCACATGTAAACTTAGGTTATTTCCAATAAAAAGCAAGGAACAATCTATATATTTTTAATTCTTTAGCATCTAAAAGTAATATGTGATAATTATAATAATATATAAACTATCTTCTCCTTTTCTTCTCAGGGCGCGCGCCTCCCATATCTTCCAACTGTTGTTTTAAGTCAAGTAATTCATTGTCAGGTACATAGCGAATATCTTCATGCTCTATAGTGTGTTCATGGACATTTAATGTACAACCTTCAGGTAGGAGAGCACGGGAAACACGAAGAAGAGTACCCAAAGCCCACGCGGGGACATCTACAACCTAAAACAAAAACAACGCTATATATTGTCTGTACATTTAAATACCTTATTTGTAATACAGATTAAAAATTGTTAATATAATTGAGTCATTTGACAAAACTTTGTTATCAAAATCATGTCTTGAAACTTATATTAAATTTGTTGACTAAATTGGTCATTTTTAACGATATAATCTGATGATTTATCATTGAATGCATGAATTGAAGGATATAGATATAAATTATAACAAGAGATTTAAGTATTATATACTATTGCGTATTTAATACAATACCTGAACATTCCTTTCATAAATATTTAAGTGGTACTCTGCATCAACAGCAGTTCCATTTGGCTTAAACCGATTAATTTTTAATTGTTTTGCTGGTGTAGCCCAACTGAAAGGGAATATGATTGTTGCTGTTATAAAATGTGTTTTAAGAAATTTATTAGTATTTAATATATTTGTTGCATTTTGTTTAATATTTATTTTATGTACACAATACTTCATTTAATAACAATAATTTGCATAAGGCTTTTGCAGCCATTCTTCAAAGCTGTTTTTTCAAACTGTTTGGCTAAAGAGTGAAGACTGCCAGTTTTCTCTTAGTCCAGGGAGGCACAACATCTCTCGATGTTGTCATCTACTTGTGATAACAAAATATGAACCCATTTTTCAAAGAAAATGGTAGAACAGCTAAAACATTCAAGTAGTGTTTTAAATAATAATAATGTTAATTTACCACTCTTCTACTTGAATGCCCATCACCTCAGCATATCTGTGAATTTTCTTTTGACACATCTCCAGCAAAGTGTAATCATATCCTTTTATTTGTAAATTTAAACAGTCATATACAGGCTCATCTGGTTCCATACTCTTTAAAAAATACATGTTTTTGTTGATACTATATAGATATATTTCACAAACTATAATAATATTGTAATCCTAATATGGCAAGGAAAACCAAAAACCATACATTTTTATTGGCCGATGGAATTTTATATTTTCATGTCTCTTATAATTTTGACGTTCATAAGTATGTATGTTCATAAGCTACCTAGATAAATAAATGATTTTTGATTTTGATAGCAAGTGCAAATTTAAAAATGCATACTTACAATTAAATAATCCGGTTCATACAAATCACTCTTCTGTCTTATGGTTTGATGCTGCATAACACATGGTGCTAGATTAAACATTTTATTCATATTATTAACCTTAGTAGCCTGTAAATATATAATATTTGGTTAGAATTTATATATTCTGAAAACCTTCATCTATTTTTGGAAATAATAAATACGTACACATCTAAATACTTTTGAGAGAAACATTGTGAAGACTGTAGTGTAGAAAAAAAACCTTATATTCTTATATATTTAGAACAATTACATATTATTAGATGAATCTGTTGAGAAAATATAAGCAGTTTTTAAACAATGGTAATAAAATGTAGAAGAAATTTCAAATAAAACATTAAGCAAAGCACGGATAGGACTTATCTAGGTGTAGAGTATATCTTAGGCATGGACTCCATGCCTAGGATATACTCTATACCATGCCATGGAGTGCAAGATAACCTTTATATTTTGTTTTCTTTTTACACTATTAACGTAAATAACAATTTATATACTATGGTATTAATAAAATTATCGAGAACATTCTTCAATTATTCCTACTGATAGGAAAAAATATTAATAAAGAAATGAAAACCAAAGAGTACTATTTTTTTTTCTTCACAGTTTTTAATCACGTGTTATCTGTGATTAGTCTTTCTTATCTATTTTCAAATTGTCAAAGTATCAAAAAAAGGTTAGGTAGACTTCTTAAAAGTTATAAAATTTAGAGTTCAGTTTATTTTTTTACGTGATAATTACTACATAAATGGTGAATCAATTACTTTTTTGATTGCCTATATTGAAAGGATGGCGTCCACGGGAAGTACACCATTTCCTAAATGGCAACTGGCTATTCTTCTCGGTGCCCCTTTGGCTATCGGCTTAGGTTACCTCTATTTGAGAAATAGGCTCGAAGATCCTGAGAAAAAGAAGGAAGCTGAACTCAAAGCGAAGACAACCATTTCCTTAGACAATGAAGAAAACGTTAAAGCAACGGAAAGTGCTATAGATCGCGCCATGAAATTAAAGGGTGCCGGAAACCGTGCATTTCATGCTGGCGAATACGACAAAGCTATCTCTTTGTACAATGAAGCCATCGAAGCCTGCCCTCCTGATCGCCATGTAGACCTGGCTACATTCTATCAAAACCGTTCTGCCTGCTACGAAAAACGAGAGATGTGGGATCAAGTTAAAGAAGATTGCACTTTTGCTTTGAAACTCAATGAAAAATACGTTAAAGCGTACTTACGAAGGTCTCGTGCAGCAGAGAAGAGCGGTGATCTAGTTCTGGCATTAGAAGATGTAACTTCAGCATGCATTTTAGAACGTTTCCAAGTTCAAAGTTCATTAGTGAACGCTGATCGCATTTTGAAAGCTTTAGGAAGGCAACATGCTAGAGAAGCTCTAGCGAAAAGACACCCGGTGATGCCTTCAAAGCATTTTATCAAAACTTACTTTTCTGCGTTTTCAGAGGATCCCTTAGGGAAAATTCATATCGATGAAAAAGAAACTGGAGGTTTTGCTAAAGCAAAACATGCTCTTGATAACCAAGATTATGATGCCATCGTTGATGCTTGTACAGAAGAGTTGGAATCCGAAGGAAAATATAAATTTGAGGCCCTGCTATTGCGAGCTACTTTCTATCTCCTTCTTGGTAGACATGAGGAAGCTCAAGACGATTTGGGTAAAGTCATAGAAAGTGATGCTTCCACTAAGGTGAAAGTGAATGCTTTAATCAAACGTGCATCTCTGTACACACAGTTAGAGAACACAGAAAAGTGCCTTGAGGACTTTGCTAATGCTGCCCAGTTGGATTCAAGTAATTCAGATATATACCATCATCGTGGCCAAGTATATCTCTTGTTAGAAAAGATGGATGAAGCCACATCAGAATTTGCCAAGGCAGTGGAACTTAACCCTGACTTTTCTATTGCTTATATACAGAAGTGTTATGCGGATTATAGGCATGCCCAGCTACATAAGAATATCGGAGCTCTAACACAAGTAAGGGCTGATTTTGAACGTGCCCTGGAAAGATTCCCAAGGTGTGCTGAAGCTTACATTTTATATGCTCAAGTGCTGTCAGATCAGCAAGAATGGGGCAGAGCTGAGGCCCTATTTGATTCTGCTTTAGCAGTAGATCCAAATAATGCTACACTTTATGTGCACAAGGGACTTGTTCAGTTACAGAAGAGTACTGACTTTGACAAAGCTGTGAAGTTAATTAATAAAGCAATAGAAATGGATGATAAATGTGATTTTGCTTATGAAACACTTGGCACTATAGAAGTACAAAGGTAATTTTTTTTACTATTTTACACTAATGAGCTTGAATAGTAAACATGAACATGCCCCACATTTCAATTATATTTAACAAATATTTGTTTAAATTTAGTGTGATATTCTCTAACTACATAATTACCATTAGTTAGTAATAATTCAAGAAATTATTTTCTTCCAGGGGAAATCTGAGGCGTTCTTTGGAACTTTTTGAGAAGGCGATTGCTCTGGCCAAAACAGAACTGGAAATGACACACCTATTCAGTCTAAAAGATGCAGCAGCCGCACAACTAAAGGTATCAGAACGTTGGGGTCTCGATTGGACTGTGAGCTAGGCTGTACTATGAAAACACAACAGACATACTATTATTGTTTAAAAATTTGTTTGTGGTTGTCAGAGTAGGGTGGGTAATATTGACTTTTAATATTGACATTTGCCATGAAACTTATTTTAGTTTATTTATTTTTTATCTGAAAGCTCAAATTGCATTTTATGAAGCCGATCCATTGTAATTGTTTACATTGATGCTGGTGCGCACCATTCTGTTATACTGATAAGTATCTATGTATATGAAAAGAAAAATTCTACATTATTCTTAGCCTCGTGAATATCCACTGTATCTAATGACACCGCTGCTGACTTCTTCTTGTACTTTAATAAAAAACATCACATTTAGTTTAAAAAAATTATAAGGTATGTAACAAACTCCATTAAGGTTTGTAATATTTTAAATGTGAGGTATTTGGTAAGTACTTCATATTGAAGTTTGGTTGGAAAAGTTGCATTTATATTAAGGTTTACCACATTCATTCCTTACTAGTAGAAAAAAAATCTGATATGAGTAATCAGTAACTACTTGTGATTAATTAATGATGATACACAAGATACTTACCTAAGTAATCTTGTTTAAAATTGAAGGTTACTTTATAATAATTTGATATGTTAAAAATGTTTCAGTAATTTTCAATTTGCTGAATTAGATTATAAATAATTAGAAAACGGATTTCTGAAAATTCCATCAGCGTCATTAGTAGCTTTGTCAGTCACGAAGAAGTTATGGCGGTAAACGTGCATCAAGTCGTTGCGTAGGTAATTATAAATTAGTAATAACTAGTCGATGTATATTTTATCTGTAACTAAAATGTGTGATCGAAATTATTGTGTACCTACACACGCTCGATGCACGCTAGATACAGTTTTCAGATGTGGTTCTTAGAATTAGATTGCTAATGTGGTTCTACAAGAGTTGTTACCTCACCGATAGTGATTAGTTATCAATTTATGAAAACTTCAAATATATACATAAAAATATTTGTGTCTTTTATTAACCTGATTCCTCGAAGAATTAACTGTAGTTATTACACGTATTAGAGCTTATTGTTTGCTTTATCTTTTAGGTACTTAGAGTTTAATTGCTTACAAAGATTTTCTCAAAGGCAAAATCCAAGAGCGTGCCCCTGTAGGAAAATCTAAAAATAACCAAATGTATTATGTAAAAAGTGACGCTGACGAGCTTTGACCTTTGAAATTGGGCAGGCGTTAAAAACTAGTTGGTTGATTTTTGACGCAGTGCTATGAATAAATTAACCCCTTTCATTATTTATTGTATGGTTATCGCTCGAAAAACTAATTGTTTATTCTGTTATAATGGAACTTTTAAACATAAGGTGTACGGAGAGGATCCGTTTCACAGAAATACATTATTTTCCATGAATGAGGGAAGCTGGAGGAGAAGACTTCGGTGTATGACGACAATTAAGTGTAAAGGTAAAATAATAAGTTAAGAATTATATCAGTGGCGTAGCTATCGTAGGGCCAGGTGGTGCAGTGCAGCAGGGCCCTGGAACTTGGGGCCTTCTAACCTTATCTTTAAGAAGATATATGCGTAGAAAAAAAAGGATTATTTAACATTCTTGTTGCTATTTATAATTTTGGAGGTTCATTTAATTCAAGCTGTGCTAAAAGAGGAGATGATGACCCGATTCTTTCTTGAGCCTTAGGATTAGGTAGACGGGGCCCTTGTCCACCTAGCTACGCTACTGAATTATATATATGGTTTTCATAACCTTTTTTATAGAGTAATTTATCCGGCAAACGTTTTTTTGTTGTTTTCAAGATAAATATTACTATGTTAATACAATTCTAACATTCGATTCACGCAGATTTTGACCAAATGTTTTTACCAAAAAAGAGGTTCTTAATCTCAAAAGATAGACATATACTGTAGCGCTGTTTTTTTTCGATCATTTAAAGAGGAATCATTCTTTCGAGTATACTTTTTGATTTCTTGAACCAAAGAATATTTTTTTATATTTCCCTAGTCGATTGGCCTTCCTAGATATCCCCACAAACACAAAAAAAAAATATAACCAGCAGTTCCTGTAATTAGCGCGTTTGAACATACAACCAAAGTACAATCTCGTCAACTTTATAATACTAATATGTATATGTCATAAATGTGTAGACAATTTGAAAATTCTTTTGAGAATTAATTCATAGTTCTAGAATTTCCATAGCTAAGCTGAATAAATATATTTGTTGTCTGTACTTAAATTGTCAACGGCTTTTGAAGACTTCGCAATGGTAATAATGTAGGTAAATGAAACCATGAATACAAAATTTAATAAATTTATCTTATTATGCGTATTGTGGTATTTATTATTTTTTGTTTATGCGAAGTTTCCTTTAGTCTTTTGTGTTTTAACTGCTCTTCTACGAATCTGGATGAGCCCGGGTGCGCTGGAGACTTCGCAAAACCCAATTTCGGATTCAATTCCACCCGTAAATTACTGGCGAACTGTACTGGAGGTAGTTTTATTTAAAACTAGTATTTTTCTCATCGTACAATGTATCGACAGTAGTGGCTTGGTATTTAGGTCTCTTACTATACTAGGTAACTTCTCTGATTGTACCAAGTATCTGCATAAGAAATTTGAAAGTTTCTCACTTAGCTATCGATGGATACAAGGAAATCGATTTCATTGTGGTTTTTACAAAAAATATTCTACGGTAAAATCGACGCAAGAGGTGTAAATTGATTATTGTACTTTTAGATGAGACGATGTGCTTTGTACGATCCTGGGTTGCTCGTGCCAAACATGCATGGATTGTTCAACGTGGATGTTACGAAGTTCACAAAGGTGATCTTCTGCCACGTTCTATGAGAGGTCCTATGAGATCTATGTCATGTAAACAAGAAAGGTGAGCAATTTAACTTTGCTTTAGATGCTTTGCTTGGATATAGTCGTAGCTCAAGATTTGCATGAACTTTAAACATTAACTACAAATGAACAAAAGATTAAAACAAGGAATCTATGAGTTGGTACATTTTGTTACAGATTCCCAGAAGCAGAATATAAAGTGTGTTTCTGTCAAGCCGACTGGTGCAACTCATCGCCACTCCAACAAACAACGAAACTACATTTACTTTTTATTGTCCTTACATGTTCATATGTCTTGAAATTGTTCTTTTTTAATCTTCCGGTCATTTATGATCTGATAGTTAATGTGAAGTGCAATAAACGTTGACTTTATCGGTTTATAAGCAGCTTTCACTTTATCTAAGCCTGAGACTATTTCTACGAAAAGGATGGTAAGAAGTGTGTGTGTTAGTGGGCCGCGTCCGCTGCACCGAACATACATCTTTTTTGTAGAGACGCTTGGGTCTATGCAAGCCTACATAATTAAGGAAATAATCAAGTCTTCGATCTTAGTCGTCATTGATTTACCAATTAATTAAGTTTTAACTCAGTGAGAAGTCATTTTTAATAAATTAATTTATTAAGCATAAATTATCTTAAGTAACTACAGCATTCAACATAAACAATACAAAAATATGAATAACATCAAAAAATAATTAAATCAATCAAAAAAAAAATGTGTTGTAAAACCAACATTTAATACCTACGTTCAGTAAATTTTACTTTAAAAAAACGTGATACAATATTTTTTGACTTTTGAATAACAATCTTTACGCCCTGTTTAATTTGAGCAATGACGGTGGGAATACATAATAATATTTATAACTAGTACTGATTATAACATTTTTATCCAGAAAGATGTCGTTTAATTCTGTGGCAAAACTCAAATTTATAAAAAGTCATTTACTACTTATATAGTCGACACCAAATTTTATCTGTATTCATCACTGCGATCTTCGTCGTCTTCTTTGAGAGCATCTTTTACAGCTTTACTTACGTCACCGGTTATCGCTTTAGCTATAAATCCTGTTACACCGGTATTATTCCTCTTTGTTTCAAGATAATTATATACCAGTTCCTCTATAGTCTCTTCGTCGAAGGGTATAAGATCGCTTAAATCGATTTGTCGTTTATTCCGTTTTACATATTGTCTTTTTGACGCAGAATAATTGTTCTCATCGTTTTCTACGATCCCTTTTCTATAAATTTCCACTGGCACCTTACTGCCGTCGCTTACATCATATTTAATTCCCAAATCAGCCTCTTGAATTTCTATAGAACCCACACCGGCATCGATTAATGAGGTTAAATTTTGTGATCGTCCCGTTCTTATACTCTCCTTCGGTTCTAGCTTTGAGTATTTGTCTTTTATAGGATGCAAGTGTTTTACCTCATTTGTTTCATATTGCTTTGTGATGTCGCTGTCACTTATAGAGTTTGATGCGGGTTTTGGCTTCGACCCATATGTTTTTACTTTAGAGTGCCCTTGTATGATGAGATACATTGGGGTGGATTCTGTTGTAAGTTTATTTTCGTGGGATAGCTCGTCTGTTGTTGGTGTCAGAGGTGTCGTAAACCGCATATGTAAGTAAGGATCATGAGTATGTTTTGATTGTGTTTGTTGAAGTAAATCATTTAGCCTGTGTACGTTTACCTGATGTGGTGGCATGTGAACTGGTGTAGTACTAGTTTGATGTGGGGCCAAGGGTGGTGGTTGCATCGTTTGCATGACGTCCAACTCAATCATTTCGTCAGTTGTATGTTCTTTAAAAATTTGAATATTTTCAGACGCATGAGCATAAAGATTGTCTTCTGGTCTCTCCGGGTCAGTGACCAAAGGCATTGACATCATTGGGCCTAACATATCTGTACCAGTATGATGAGTGACTGTGGTAGTTTCAGGCCCGTCGGTAACATTATCGAGATTTATTTGAGGCTCTGTGGTGGTTTCGGTTGACGACTGTTCGTAATATGGCCATGTTTCCTGGAAATCAGTTATTGTTTGCTTTACAGGTGGTAAAGCAGTGGGAACGAATGTGGGAATTGTTGTTGGACTAGATGTAGTGATTTGTTGTTTTGAAAATAAGCTTGATGGGTGTGTATGGACCAAAGACTTTTGTGGGAAGCTTTCAGAATGTTCTTTGTGTTGAATCAAATTATTGAAGTCATTATATATGTTTCTTTCATTAAAAGGAGTAGTCGGACCCCATCCTGCGTAATCACTGCTTACTGTATTACTCGGTACTGTTTGTGAGTTATTAAAGTGTGTAAACCACGTTTGATTGCCATCTGTAGATTCATATATAAGGTTAGCTTCTTGAAGGGCAAATGACGTTATCAGCTCAGGAGTGGAGATAGTATACCTAGTAGGCATAGAAGCCTCCAAATTTGCAGGCGGCGTTGGTCTCGGTACTTTATTTTCTGGTGTTATAAACAATGATGGTTTATAACCAACCGGAGGAGGTGGAGGAGGCACGAGTATAGTCATTGGATAATACTCATTATATTTATATGAATAGTCCTCGAATTTTTGTGGATGTAAAACGTTTTGTCGTTTCGGTGGAATCGGCGGCCGAGACGAAACACTTGGTTTGCGCGAAGACACTCCTAGCATTAGTACCTCGGATTTCTGTTCGGGATAATGTTCTCGTTCGAGTCTACTGTCATCTGCCCAGTAATGAACTTTTTCTAGCATTGGCGGTTCGTAATCATAGGTGGGATCGTTGCGTAATGGGTCACCACGCCCCGTCAGCGGCTTCCATTGATCGAAATCCATGCGTGGTGAGAAAATTGCGGCGATACTGCTCAGGCTATCGCGAGGATCTGTGAAGTATTGATATGAATTTGAAAAAAAAATGAAAATGTTTAAATAGAACACTTTTAACGGTTTAAAACGCGAAATGTGAAGGTAACTTATTCGCAATTGATTTTAACGACGGCCTAACGTTTCGGATACATTAGCGCTACCTGTTTCCTCGTAGTTAGTATTAGGTGAACGTCGGGCCATTGTTGAAATAAATTGTTAATAAGTTAATCTTATCTAATTTAAAAAACTACAGACAAAATCTAAATTAGTTATTAACAAAGTTGCCTAAGTATCTTAACGAGCCAATCGTTTTTGAAGACAGACATTTTTTTATATTTTTGTAAAGCAATATAAATAAGTCATCTTACCGGTGTTGGCTATTTGTTTCAACAGAGGTGGTGTGACAGAATCTGGTTCAGTATTTGCATCTCGCAGCATAGAAGACACTATGGTGAACAGGATCACGTTCTTTGCCTGAAATTGTATTTCTTAATTATAAATCAAATTTGGAAAACTTTTTAATGAATTCAAAAATAAAACGTGCTGACTATCTTAACGTTAAAATTCGGGGTTTTAATCTCGAAGAAAATAATATCTTTCGATGGGGCAGGGCTCAGAAGTATGATCGACTAATCGCCGTAAATAAAGACAGTTTATCAGGATTTTATTTTACATATTCTGTTCTTAATAAAAACAATGTTCATTAATATATGTTTTTCCTATCTTATAATATACGTCTTCTCATATTCTAATAACTAAAGTACTAAGTACCTTAATCCAAAGTTCCCTACAATTCTTAACTCATTTAAAGACCTTATCAATCTATTATATTGATTTTCAACTATGACTCCACATTTCGGATGCCGTAGAGCAGCTGTGACCTTGTAGGTTTCACGCATTATCGTACTAAATAGCAAATATATTCCGTGTTTTAAACCGTTTAATGTTTTTTATTTATTGCGTACTACACGCGCAAAATACATACAATACTAGCATTATATGGGTGCATATTATAACTCGTATATCAAGTAATTAGAGCGGTGGTTACTTAGTAACAGTTTTTTGGGCTCGCAGATTGCTCGTTAAAATACCAAGCGACGGCGAAGGAAGAAAGACGAGCTAATTTACCATTATAACCATCCTCCTTTATGTATGCGAAATTCTTGACCTCGATTACTTGTTATGGAAAAATGTTAACAGGGTGAAATATAACATAATAACTGGGTACGCTGTGATAACGAGCGGTGGCCCTTGTTCTCACTATTAAGTTATCAACTGCGGTTTCATTTAAGACAATAATTCGAAACATTTTTTTTTTGATTTTGTGTAATTGTTAAAATAATCTTTACTCTTAAGATGAAAAAGAATCATTTTAAAATTCAAGCTATGCTTATGATATGTTATTTGTTTTATTTCAAAATTAGTCAATTTTAATTATGTGGAAACACGATAATATAATAATTGGGTTGGTCTATATTCACACAAGATTTAACTGTTGCTATTCCTTGTAAAGACAACTCAATTAGCCAAACAGGACGTCACTTAGATGGTAGATCCTATCATTTGTTACACATAGGTATAAATTGTAATATATACAGCATAGAATCACGGTTTCCATATATAGATTAAGCTAAGTTTGAAGCAATATATGCTTTGTTTTATGAAATCAGAAAAGTTATAATCATTTATTTGGATTAAATTAAAACCCTAGCCGTGACCACGGCTGCTGCAAAGCATCCAAAACGTGGAGCCGTAGTTAAAATTATTTTCAAATAAGTTTAATTAATATATATATATATCGCGTTTTAAACGGTTCAAGTGTTTTATTTAAATGTGTACTACTCGCGTAAATTACATACAGAATTTAAAATTAATATTGGATTTAAAAAGTCATTGAACCTCTGGTCTTAAAATAATATCTTTTAATTTACAAGCTGCTAAATTAACCTATACGCGTTACAATATGAAGAGCAAAAGTGCTTATCTATGTTGTTAATCAAAAAACCGAAGCCAAAATTTTCGTCCCACTAGGATGTTAATAACCACCAGGACACATGGTGGAAACGCATTACGCCGCAGTGAAAGCTACGCGTGTAGCGAATCACTAACATTAAAGTTACATGACAGGAATCAGGCTACGGCGGTTTGCATCTAATTTATCTTTTGTTTTGTCCTTTCACTATCTTATATCATCGCATTCATCTAAATTTGAGCAATGGGTAAAACAGACCCTTAGCTGTATACGTAATAGAAAAAACATCGAGGAACTCACTAACGCTGCAATAAATACGAAGAAGACTGGTTGTTGACTGTGTGTGTTCATTAAATCATTAAAATTTTTAATCTGTGAACTTCTTGCGCTATGCTTTTTCAAGCTCATACTCGTGTGTATCACGTGAAACTAAGAAGTTTAACAGCACTGCTTGAAATAATCTTACTTATCAATGAGTAGGGCACTTAAACAAAGTAAACCACGTAAGTACTAAGTAGGTAAGTTATATCAGTTAGTTAAGCAGTACATAAGTACTAAGATTTTCAAGTTATATAAATATAAATAATTATATAACATGAAAATCTGTAACGTTCCACAAACTATTACATTAATATAAACGAGCTTGAAGTCGTGTTTTCACGAACTAATACGTCGCGTATCAATCTGTGTAAAACTGTTTCATTGAATGTCTACCACTTGCGTAAACTGCAGATTCAGAATATAGAAGTTTAAGATTTTTCCTTTTGCCTCGTGTATTGTCGTTTATATCTACTGATATAGCTGAATAGTTAGTTTATTTGTTTTAACGCGCTAATCCCAGGAACTACTGATTTGAATGAAAGAATTATTTTTGTGTTATCGAGGAAGACTTTAGGCTGCTTCACACCAAAGGGAGCGAAGAAACAATGGAAAATGATGAAAAAAGGAAAAATTATTCATCTTGAAGTGTTTCCGTTGCGTTGCGAATAAAGTTCAAGATTCCCAAAAAATATGTATGAAAGAATGATGCCTCATTAAATTATCTAATAAATTATCCGTAGTATGTGTCCATCTATAAAGATTTATTTGAGGAACAACGGGACGCGGGGTCGTCATGAGTACCTAACAGTTATAATTTACAAAGATGAGGTTTGCAAAAATCAAATTTCGACGCCCAAAATAACTATTCCACGCGGACGAAGTCACGGGCGCAGCTAGTAGCATATAAAAATAGTTGATCGATGCTTCCACTAAAACAAACATTTGTATAGACATAACTTTCCATTTCTAATATACTGCGACCCGATCCTCTTCTATTCACTATCGGTTTGAAATTAATACCAATATCGGACGTTAATGTGGACAAGAGTGAAAACAGTGGTGATGTATTTTAAATATTTAGTTACATATTGTATGCCAAGGTCTAGAAAGTATTGTTTTCGTATTCGAAGTACGCACGTACTAAAGACCAACTTTTCTTATACTATGTTAGCTGTAAACCTTCGCTTTGAGGCTTTGCGACTTAGGTTAACGCCTTTTTGTTTTGGAATATTGAAACGACCGTCTTATAGTGCGTCTTTCCGAGATTACCTTGACGATTGAGAGTAAAGTCTAATATTTCATTTAGTACCGTATTAATATCCTAACTTGAAATACCATACTCGTGGAAATTAGAATAATAATATCCTTTATACATAAACAAAATTATAGTATAACTATACACTTTTAAGTATTAATTTTATAAAGCGAAAAGTTTATTAGGACGTTGGTAACTCTACTCTATACTATAGGTCCGTCCTATAAGTCAATCCAGGTTGTATACTAAAGAACTTCGATTGAAATGAAGACTACTTTATGATAAAATGGGGAATCCTAGCAGAATTTGAATTTTAAGATCAAATCATATGTTTTGCGAGTAACACCGCGGGGCGCTTCTAGTTAATCATAAACTTGGAGTACGATAACCATTGTCTGGAAGATAAAACTTGTTCTTGTGTTTTTAAATAATTACCAGCAAACACACCTATAAAACTTGTAGCTATCTGTTTATTCGGTAGTGAAAGTTTTTAAGGCATTTATTTATAATTCTCGTATTGATAGACGACACGAGACGGTAGGTTCGCGGCGTGGGAACCGAACTCGGAGACCGATTGGCGCCACGGGCATTTTGACGACCACGATCGCCCACGAATCGGCTGTCATTTGCGCCTCTGGCTAAGTGTGTTTTATGCCCTCGACTCTTTGAACAGATACAGACGTATACCCGCTATCAGGCCCGATGGAAAGTGTATGCGGGCCCTATCACACCTGAAAGAACTGTTTATATTGCCTTTTATCATTCCACGAAGTTTATAATTCCTTATTCTAGTTGGTAAATGGTAGGTAAACAATTATTGAGTTAGGAAACTACTTATGAGCAAGTTTTAGATAACTTTATATTATAGGTACTGTATAATCAAGTACCTAGTTAGAATTTCAGATAGCTACATATGCCTTCAGAACAAGCATAGTAACATTAAATTTATAAAGAAACTATAAAATACCGTGATTTTCTTTCTTGACAGAAGCTTTTTTGCGTTTTAACGATACAAATTATTTTCACATAAGCTAGGACTTCTAAAACAGCTTAATACAGGCTTGCTTTTAATTTCCTATTTATCGTAAATTAAAAACTTTGTATACCACTAAATAATTTGTCGGCTTAATGCCAGGAAGATACGTGAAAACTTTCACGTTTTAACTCAGTCTCGTTGACCATAAGGAACTTCCGTATACAATAAATAACCATTATTCATAATTATTAATTTCTAACTTAGCGAGAGTGGTAATCGTAATTATTGAAACGTCAAATTAATAACTTTATACATTAAATGTTAATAAGAAAATAAATTTATGAACAAAAGACAAAATTAACTTTCTAAGTGGTATATTTGGTAAATTGACATGATGTTTTATAGGTTCATAGTGAGAATAATACAACAAATAAATCGATTTAAAATATATTATTATATACATGCGTACGGGTATACCAATTCAATAACTGCATAAAATGTTTACGAATTAAACTAATTTAAAATAAAATTTTAAACGTTGGAACGCGAATTTTAACTACAATCCGAAGGCGACGTTACGAAAGAATTTTAGTTAAATAACAATATTATTGTTTTATTATTTAATATTGTATATGTGTGTGTCTCGTACATGAGTTTAATTTAAATTAAATTTAATGTAATTTATATACAATCCTCAGAGAAAATTTAGATACACCGTAAAATTAATAAGGATATAAGGTAATCCTTATTAATAATAAAGGTTAATAAATATAACATACCCAGAACATTACGAAGTATTTTTGTATGGTCACAGTTTTATCACGATACACCACACATGAAGGCTTATACACAATAAGCAGTGCGCGTTTTCCGGCCGATGTCTACGCTCTGTCTGAAGCTTGCTGTCATATCGTATAGGACCCGTTCTCTAAATTGAAGCTATTGTTTTAACACGTGCTTGAGTGCCTACTGATTATGATAGAGGAGGTACTAGCATTGGGGATTCATTTCATGTAAGGTGAAATGCCTAGCCCTATAACATTTGAATGCGCGGTCGACCTATTTAGTTTTAGACATTCAGAAAATGTTCACTGTGCAAGATATTATGTTGTGTTATCGATCTTTACAGGTCCGTAATAAAAATTACCGAAATATTTATAAACTCATCAATTTCAAAGAACCTCAGCGAGTTTATCATTTATCCGCTGAAATTCAATTTCAAATTATACTTAAGTGTTTTATTTTAAATAAAAGTAGGCTTAAAATTGTGTGTACATATATATGGCTGGATTTAGTTTATACGGGGTTATATTTAATTATAGTTTACTTAATATTGCACTTAAATGTATTAAAAAAACGTTTTACTTTTTTAAATAAATTTTGATGCATCCTTAAAATTGTTTCACTTAATTTGCATCTAATTTCTACTTTTAAATAAAACACTTTAACGGTTTAAAACGCGATATATTAGTTAAACTTATTTGAAAATGATTTTTAACTTCGGCCCGACGTCTCCCCGTGACCACGGCTGCTGCAAAGCATCCGAAACTTCGGGCCGAAGTTATAAATCATTTTCAAATAAGTTTAACTAATATATCGCGTTTTAAACCGTTAAAGTGTTTTATTTAAATGTGTACTGCTCGCGTAAACTATAGACAGTATTTAGTTTCTACTTTTCAGTTTTTACCTACTTATGATACATAAGTGCAAAATTTCTATTTTTAAATTTGAGGCACTGACGTTATCTATTCAGATTTAAACAAATACTTTTTATTCACTGTTTCTAGTAACATCTCTAGAAGTCCTATAAAACCCTTTACCATTCCACGCTATAGAACAAATTAGGATAATTTTGTTCATACCTGTATTTAAAAATTATCTCCGAATCGTTTTTTTTTTGACTAATCGTAAGGTTTTTTAAGAAACATTGTTGTATATTAATACATCTATTATTGGTACTGGCATAAGAATACATGTACATATTAATAGTGATGTACGTTCAGATTAGTTGATAATAAATAATAATATTTTGACTCTACATTTATTTCAGGTGGCTAGGTAAAAACCGAAAACTGTATCTTGCTTTAGTAAATTAAGTGTAGGTACAACTGTCAAAAGTGCCGTTAATAAGACACTATTGTATGTTAATTAAGCATAAATAAAAACAAAATATCATCTTACACAGGCCAGTGGGTAAAACTAATTTGGAAATACACAGTTTGTATTAAAACCTTACTCTGGCTTTAGCTTCATATTAATTAGATACTTTATATGTAAGAAAGAATATGTTATATTGGCCTGTAATAATATCACATTATATAACGCTTGCATTGCTTGCTTCAAAGTCATAAGAACCTATATTAGGAATGCATTCGTTGTTTTGTAATAATGGATTCGCATTAAATATTTTGGATCCAGGTTACGTCAAGAATTCTTATGGAATGTTTTAATTTTTATTATGTAGTGTTGAATGTGTGCATAAATAATCCTTGTCGCGTTTATTTAATCTGTAATTGCAGGTCAGTAGCAAAAACGTTGCCTGGTTCAGCGTCAGAGGTGTTTGGGTTGAATCTGGTGAAACATAATAAAATATTTGGGTCGTACAGGGTACATTAGGTCTCAACAGTTATCAGTAAATTAAAATAAATCGATGCAACCTACACATAAATCTCATTATTTTAAGAAGTGAGCCTATACTAATAGATTAAGCTTAGCTTAGTGCAAGGTAAAGACTTAGTTTCATTTCATCAAATTTGACACCACAAAAAATATAATGACTCGGTTACATAAATCGATCGACAAGTCGCGTCTTTGTTATTTTAAAACGTTAAGTAATTTCAGAAAGGAAGAAAACGGTATCTAGGATAGGTAGGTAGAGTTTTAAATTTTGCATGGTTAATATATCGCGTTTTAAACCGTTAGTGTTTTATTTAAATGTGTACTACTCGCGTAAACTATAGACAATATATATGTATTTGTTTGTTTGTTAAAACCTTATATTCAAGTTATTCAAATACTAATAAAATATATTTCATGTTAATTGTCTTGCTATTTATTGAAATACTTAAACCATTACTTTTCTTAGGTGTGAAAACTAGCTATGAAGAAATGTAGGTACTATATATGTTGTGCATTCAAAAGTACAATCGGACTAAAAGACGCAACAAGACGCATCCGGAAAATTTCACTGACACAATGACATAGATTAAATTAAGTATTGTCATTTATTGTATAAACATTTCAGTTAGAAATTTCTAGACCATACAATTAAATATGCCACATACTGTAATGGCTGGACCACATCTCACAAGGTCTCCAGAAGAAGATTATGGGCAGAAGACCTAGAGCAGGTAATGCTTCGATGAATTTGCTCAACCACACTTAGGCCAGCATTTTATCTTAATTTAACTTAACTAAATATATAATTCATTAAGATTGCAAGTAATACCTAATCTCTAGACTTTAATATGAAATAAAATTGCATTTAACTGTTCTTGGACAGTTTATTTGAAATCCTTTCCATAAAAACATCTAATGGATCAACATTATCATCCCCACGTGTTTTTGAACCATACTCATTCACCAAGGCCATGTGTTCTTCCAGTGTCTGACTGTCATTTCCCTCAGAATCAAAGTATTTGTCTTCTGCGTCTTGAGATAATTTCGCCAGATCATCATATTCTTCATTGTGGTCTACACTATTATAGTCAAATTCAATGTCCCTGCCTTCCATGAAGCTGCTATACATTTCTTGGAGAAATTCCTCCCTGAGTAAATTTCTTTCATTTGCATTAATCATCATCTGTTTCCTTGGCTCAGGTTTCTGTATATCTTCAGTGTCTGGAACATCAAAGTCACCCCACTGCTTTTTCTTGGTATTTTTTTCATTATTTTTGGCTTTCTCATCTTGGGTAATATCAAAACTAGTTGCAGCATCTTCCATCTGCATTTGCAAGTTTCTATTTTCTCTGAGTTGATTGCGATCTACAGTGTCCAAAATCAGAGTAAGAAGAGTTAAGTTCTCACTATCTGCTGAATCTCTTATTTTTATTTCTTCATCTGTCAAGTACTGACCAATTAACTCCTCATATAGTAATGGATTTCTATACATCATTTGTTTTTCACTAAAATAATCAGAGTTGTTTTGTAGATCCTGTATTGCTTTGTATCTTCTGTTTCTAATTCTTTTGTGTTTATTTTCTTCTGAATGGTACAATTTTAATTCCGTAACACATTTTTCGAATTCTTTATCATTTTTATAAAGATGTAATGTTTCAAAGTGTTTTAAATGACTTGGACATAGGTATTTCCCAAACTGAAGAAGAAAATCAATTGGTGATTTATAAAATAAATCATAAGCATATTTTGTTTTATCCGCACTTCTGTTACCTTCCTGAGATGGTGAGTTCTTAAATGATATTTCTGCACATCGTACAAGGTAATCAATAATGTCAATTATAGGATCGAAATGCTCTTCTATATTCCCTTCTTCGGAAGTCACCTTAGCTATAGAATTCATATCGTAAAGGGAATTGGTTTACATGTAGGCTTCAAATTAATAAGTTCTAAGCAATAGTTAATAAATCAATAATACGTATAATAATTTTGAATGCACTTTTAATTATTACACTTGCATAAATCACTTTTGATTACAAATTACAATAACCAAATTCAATACATAGATTCGCAGTAATTTGATTTTTTCAAAATGTTGTGAATTAGCCACAGATCTGTGTATATAATAGATTGTTGGTAACTAGTATTTTATAATTTTTATAGTCAATGTCACGGTACAAAGTTAGGTTTAAATAGTCTTGTTAAAAAGTAAAATGCTGCATAAGTAAAAGACTCGCAGATATAAATGAAAGAAATAATTTTGGTTATAATGCTGACACAAGTTAAGTCAACTAAGAATTTGACAATGACAATCATTAATGTCATAATTTCTCAGTAAGATTACGTCTAGAAAGACTTATCGGTCGTTAAATATAGTGAACTTAGTGTTCGATGTCTTTGTAATTTAAAAAATAACTTGTGTTTTCACTTAAAAGTTGTGATTCATTGTTTAATAATATATATTATCACGGACGTTTCAATATGTTTACAACGTAATAAAGATGGTGTTGGAATAAAGTACACAATGCCAAGTAATCTAAAATACTGTTTACAAATATGGTTAATATGTTTATGAATATAACTCTGAAATGGGAGGACATGTGTGGCCCTTCGGGGCTTCTCGTTTGGAACGACGACATCAAAGATTTTGGCCTATGTTTTCAAGAACTATTTCTACAGATCCCTGTTTACTTTTTGCTGGCCATTATATCAGCATATTATGTAGGATACAGAAGAGATTGGGTGATAAGAGAAAAACCTCAAGAGCGAGTAATAATGCTCCGTAGTTTTATCATTCTAGCGTTAGCCATAACTCCCATAATACAACTCTATGTTTACCTTACAACTCCAAATGTGGAATTGTACCCGATAGATTACTTTACTGCAGGTGCATCCTGTTTAGCATGGCTGGTACATTTTGGTTTTGCATTGGCTTTAAAACATCGCTTAGGACACAGTTCCAGAGGACCATTAAGTATTTTATTACTTTGGAGTGGAATAGTTATTTTAAATATGATAGAGTTAAGAAGTACTCTTTTAAATGGCGATCCACCAGCCTACAGCATTGCAACTCTTTGCTGTCATGTCCTCTATTTCCTGACCCTCCTACCTGCCAGTGATTCCAGACCAACATTTTATTCACCATGGCTTGTTGGTTCCCAAAGATCTCAAGTGAGTACTATTTATAATACATATCTTTAGTTATTGGTAATTGGAAATAATAGTTATTGCTGTTAACTTTTTTATGATTTATTTTTTAGAGTGAATACACACCTTTATTGCCACATATTGATGAAGGTATTTTAGGAACGGCCATGCAAGGGGCTCATTGGCTCTCCAAACTAACATTTTCATGGGTAGATCCCCTATTTAAAAAAGGTACATTTTCATTAGGTTTTGTTTTTTGGCAACTATCTAAACAGAAATAAGCTGATTATGAAAAAGTATATATACCTTCGAAAAGATAAAATTATTTAATTACTAATATTACATTCTCAATATATAAGTGCATCTAAGTGAATTAGTCAGTCATATTTTAATTTATTAAATTGATTTTTATTGTCAAAACAAACACAAAAGTTATAATAATGTATTAATTATTTCCTTATTGTTATAAAACACCTACCTACTGATACAATTAACCAAACATTAATTTTATGTTCTACAAAAAAATTTATTACAGTCATAAGATTTTATTATTTAAATTTTTATTGAAGGTTTGGACAACAAGTTGAATGATCTTGAAGAACTTTATGATATACCTGCCACATATAAATGCTCATATGTAGGGGCAAGAATTGACAGGGCTCTCATTGGTAACGTTGATAATCACCAACAATTTGTAGAGGTACCACATGAACCATTTATAGGATCTGGAGGTAATATTTATAATATTCTAATTCATTTTAATTTAATTAGTTGAATTAATATTAGTTATTTTTTCATTAAATTTATTTTTACTATTGCATAGAGAATAGATTTCACTTAAAGTTTGTTTCTTTGTTACCGTTCCCTTTTGGGTTAGGCCTTTTGCTTCTTGGTGTAACATAGAAAAGTAGAAAAACCAGGTTTTCGATGTAAATGGTAATGTTTACAAAATCGTACAATCACAGTCTTAGCAATTTAAAGTTAAGCCATACTTAATTTGTTCAGGCTATGGCACAATTGGTGAAACTCAGCCTCAAGCCTCCACACCTGTTACACCAGTATCCAGAATATTACTTCGCCCCCTTCGACGACAAAACATCTCTTTAATAAGAGCTCTGCACAAATGTTTTGCTCTCCAGTTTTATGGAATTGGTGTTTTTAAACTGTGTTTTGACATGGCTGGATTTGCGGGGCCCATTCTGCTTAACAAATTGGTTAAATTTGTTGAAGATGAAAGTATTGACCAACATTATGGGTAAGTTTTATTAAGAAACTATCCATAACTCGTTCACCCGTTTAGAGGAGGTTGCAAAAAAGAGAGTTGTAGGAGGAGGATGAGGGTTCCAGAACTTGGTATGAATAGATCTATTTTTGACCTCTGATAGTGTTTACCACATTACTTATTTTCTAGGTATATTTATGCCTCATCTTTAATGGCTTCTGCTCTCATTGCTGCATTTTGCAACTGCCATTTTAATTGGCTAATGTCCATAATTGGGATAAAAATGCGCGGAGCTATAGTGTCGACAATACTAAGAAAAACTCTAAGTGTGACACAGACTGAACTAACAGATGCATTTTCTTTCGGAGAAATTACAAATTTCATGTCCACTGACACTGATCGGATTGTTAATTCGTGTCCAAGTTTTCACGCCTTATGGAGTATACCTTTACAAGTAAGCATATGATAACTTATAGTCTTTAAAATATTTATTGCATATGGCTCAATATGTTACATTTTATAATTTATCAATTATTTTGTTAGTATTTCATAAACTATATATTTTTACAGTTAGTCATAACACTATTCCTTCTCTATGATCAAGTTGGTGTGTCGTTTCTGGCTGGAGTTGGATTTTCCGTTATTTTAATACCTGTAAACAAAATTATTGCCAATAAGATTGGAAAATTAAGTACAGAGATGATGAAGTACAAAGATGAGCGTGTGAATTTAATATGTGACCTTATAAGAGGAGTGAGAACAGTCAAGGCACATGTTTGGGAAGACTATTTTATTAATAGAGTGTCAGGTATATTTTTTTACAAAAAATCGATTATTAGCTTGTTGCAACGTTTTATGTTGTTACAATGTTTGTAATTTGCATATCGTATATTCTAAAAAGTGAAGTATACAATTTTAATCAATTCAATATTCACAACTATTTTGGAATCAGAACCTAAAGGCATGTGAGTTAAGGTCGAGTTTACAATATGATTTTAGCTTTAAGCTTATGATTAAACAGTTTAAAAACCGATTAGCGACATCGACAATTGGTCGTGTGATAATTTATATCATTTCTGTTTTAAGGTCCGCCTCTGTAGCTAAATGGTTAAATGTATTGCCTAGAATTGCGTTATGCGCGACAGGTCTTGGGTTCTAATACCAGGAAAACAAAAAATTGTTTCTGTCGGGCAGGGCACAAAAGTGATTGATTAACTACTTGCCCGTTTAAAGGACGGATCAGTCAAACTGACACACAAAAGGTGTTCGCCCCAAGAAGGGGCAACGGGATTTCACTTTTTTTTTGTTTTAGAAGTAAATTCATCAATTATTACTTCAAAATTCACACTTTGTACTAAATTACATACATAATATAAAATGTATAAAAAATACAGGGGCTCGAAGTCAGGAACTGCGCTATCTTCGCGGACGGAAATACTTGGACGCAATATGCGTGGTGTTATGGGCCACCACTCCAGTGCTGGTCGCCGCTCTTACGTTGGGTACACACGCCCTGCGAGGTCAACCACTTGATGCGCCTACCGTAAGTGACTGATAATCACAATCTATTACGATATTCAATTATCTAACGAGTTTATGAACTGGCGATATATTTTTTCGTTAAATTGTGGATCTCAAATGTCAATTTGTCCTATAGGAACTGTAATGCGATCTATTGCAATTTTATGGCGTACAAGATGATCGACGTAAAATATATTTTTAATGTATTTATAATTAAAGCCATAAAAAAAGCAGATTTCCAGTCACTAAAAATAAAATTATCCATTACTTATTAGGAGTGCACAGAAGTCTGATCAACTAAGTACTTGTTAAAGAACGGATCAGTGAAACGAATACAAAAATGTGTTCGCCCCATGCCCCACGAGGGGGAAACGGGATTTCACTTTATTAGGATTTACTGTCTATTAATAAGATATACCTAATATTCCAATTTATCAAATTACAAATTGTTCATTTATCATGTTTGAAACAAAGCGATGAATTTAAGTAGTATAATATTATCAATGTGACTAATACGTAACTCAGCGTAAGGAATCCCCTTACTTCAGCTTCCGTTATGGAGTATCCTGTTCTCGGTTATTTGTTAAACACGTATTATTAAATGATAAAAGATTTTTTTAAGAAGTTTTAGACATTAAAATCATAAAACATGGGTTCACTTAAAATTTACACTATTTCTTATGTTAAACCACTCTATTATGACGGATAGCATCTGGAAATCTAGATGTTAAAAGGGTGTTAGGAATATTAAATTCAGCCCGGGTCACCACCGACCACAGATGCAAAATACGTCAAGTTTATACGCGTTTCATCTTGAGTCTGTGGATTTCACCTATCTTCAAGTGAACTCTACGCTTGTCTGTCCTCTTCTATAATAAAACAAAATCTTTTTAAACGCCTGTATAATACCTTATTCGATGTTATTGCGAATAACAATTTCATGTCCTTTACCTTCTGTACTCATGAATGAACGTAGGCTCTTAAGCTGCATTAGTAATCGGTTTAAAAATATTCAATTACATAAGAAATATTACCGGTGAATAATCTCGTATTGTTATGAGGCCATAACTGTTGCAACATTTTCTATCGACCTTTTTAATTAAATATATAATGCATTTTTTTAACGCGTCGTAACTTTTTTCGACTTTTTCTTTGATACCCAATACACGATGAATATCTATCTTAGTTTATTTAATATCCTAAATATTTTTACAAATTTTACTTGCGTTATCTGACCTCCTCTATAGCTCAACAGTTAAACACATAGTCAAGCACAAGAGTTCCTGGGTTCCAATCCAAGGGAAACTTCAAATCGTTTCCGTCGATAAGGACACATAAGTCTACGTGCCTGTAAATAACACGGCAATGTATTTTCCCCATGTCCAATATCAGAAGATAGAATAGAAGACAGAATTTCACTTTTTACTTGCGTCATTGTTATGAATCGTTTGACATCTCATTAAATTCGGATCAGTACTTTAGGAGCTAGAGTGTAACATACATACGTAAATAATTAGCTGGATCTTTGCCCATCTTGTTGGCACCCCCGTTATCGTGTAAAAATAAATAAATAAAATTAAAATAGTTCAAGTTTACGTTATCACAAATCCGATACTATATACATGACGACCATGCCTCTCTCTGTTGTAGGTATTCACGACAGTAGCGCTAATCAACATGCTTATAGCGCCTTTGAACGCGTTTCCATGGGTGCTTAATGGACTTACGGAAGCCTGGGTATCTATAAAACGCATTCAAAAACTCTTAGATGTAAGTATTCATTTGTTGTATGTTAAGATATTTACGACTTCTATTATAAGCAGTAAACAAATACGATTGACGACGAAGACGCAGGACGCCATGGCTGACTGATATATTGACCTGGTGGGTATTTTGTTATAGCCCAGGTCAATACAGAAAAAAGTTTCGATCGGGAAGGTCAGTGACAGAGGTCTGAGCAACGGCTACGTAAATAACATCGATCAAGATAACAAAGAAATGTTCCCCATGCCTCACACACTGAAACCCAAAACGAACTCAAATCACAAATAATGTATACATTTGTCTTTTAATTTAAATTTGTTTAATAAATGTACTTACTACTTGAAATATACTAAACGCATTTTTTAAGTAGGTCTTGTAGTTTCTGAGATTAGCCAGCACCAACCAACAATATATTTTATTATTATATATTATTACTTACTCATTAAAAAAAGTCTAAGTTACTATTTAAAAACATTACAGCTCTGTGACATGGATCCAGAACGATTCTACGAGAAATTAAACAAAAATCGTGACGAAGACAAGGTTATTATTTTGAATAAGGCAACCTTTGTTTGGACCAAAGCTTCTGTGAAAAGGGTGAAGCCGAAGAAAAACAAAGGAAAATCTAAGAAGAGGCTTTCAAAGCGAAACGTTCAAGAGATCGAGTCGTCCTCCGAATTCATAACAGAGGAAACTGGATCGTTTTTAATTGAAGATATTTCTTTGGAAGTCGGTCGTGATGAATTTATTGGTATAGCTGGGCCCGTGGGCAGTGGAAAGACCTCTCTACTACTCGCCATTATGGGTGAAATGAAAAAATCGCAGGGAAAAATACATATACCAGAGAATCTTAATAGTGAGTATAGTTGACTAAAATAAATTATAACTACTGTCTGTAGTTTGCACCAGTAGTGCACATTTAAATAAAACAATGTAAACGATTTAAAACGCGCATTGTATTATTTAACTTATGTATTTACATACTGTTTAAACTATGGCCCGACGTTACGGATGCTTTTAAGAAGACATGCACACGGGTTTTATACCGTTAAAACTGTTTTATTTAAATCAATTATAAATCTTTTCAAATTTAAATAAATCGATGACACGACCTGGACTCTAACTCAAATACTTGTGCTCTACCAATTGAGCTAATGTATGCCACAATTAGTAATAACAATACAAATATATTTTTTTTTGCCCTTGTATTTATAGAAAGTAAGAAACCGCATATTATATCTTCTTGATTTTTACTAACATATCTTTTTATATTGTCTTATCTTATACTAATATATTAAAGTATAGGCTATTTTCATGTATCAGTCACTGTAATAAACATATTATCATATGAAAATTACATATAAAACCGTATTTATATTTAAACTTAAGTAAGTTAATTACGATCGTTACTATTAACGGCATTAAAAGAAACTCAACGCCCTATCCTTTAATGCACTGGAACCGCAATGTATAAATCAACACTAATCACTTGTACTGCTTTGGAAGACAAGTGTTTCTCGTATTACTATAATTACTTCATTTGTCAGGTTTCGGTTACGCGTCGCAACAGGCGTGGTTGATTCGCGGCACGATCCGCGACAATATCCTCTTCGGGAAGCCCTACGACGAGACCAAGTTCCGAGCCATAGTGGACGCGTGTGCCCTCACAGGTAAAAACAAATGCGAAGATACTACGCACAAACATTACCCTTATTACAAACTAGCTGAACTTTGCCACGTGAAGTATTTTGACCAAAAACTGTTCTTGTGAATTAATCTTATTAGATAAGAGAGATACTGTCGTTAACATTTAAAAAAATTATAGACGAATTATTCTTTTTTATATATTTTTTGAGTATCTTTCGTATCCGTTTTCGCAGCACACGCAACGTAATGCATGTTTTCCCCGTTTTTTCCACATTCCCCCCAGTTTCTTCGCCCGTATAAGTCGCAGCATTATGTTTATAATAATTATAAAAAAATATAGCCTAAAGCTTTTCTAGATAAATGATCTAACACAAAAGTAATTTTCAAATTTGAATCAGTACATAATTCCGGCGATTAGTGCGTTCAAACTAACAAACGTTTTAGATTTATAATATAGACATAGATTTCTCGTGTGATTTGCAGAAGATCTAAATCAATTGGGCTGGAATGCATATGCTGGAGAAGGAGGCTGTACTTTAAGTGGTGGACAGCGTGCCCGTATTGCGTTAGCGCGTGCCGTTTATCAGGACAAGCAAGGTACGTTTTTCCTTTTAGATTGTTTATGAGTACAAAAAGTAAGTCTGCCCTCCTCTATCATTTAAAAAATACGAGAAAATATCTTCTCTCAAACATGCTTGAAAATCTGGGCTTTATTTCGTATTATTTTACATTCTCCGAGATAAATCGAACTAGGTGGACAGGCCGGCAATAGTTGTTTGAAAATCCATATGTCATGTTTAGCGGCCAAATAGATTACTATGTACAATCATATTTGTCGTGTAATTTAAAAATGGAACGATCTTCCACTCCTCAACATGGCTACCAAATTTTAAATTAAATTTCGATTAGAAAACTGTTTGTTAAAAAAAAAAGACTTTGCCGCGCAAAAAACTATTGTTGTTAGTTGTTCGTCAACTTCGTCGTTGGATGTAAAGTTCAAATTGTTCTGCTTAGTAATATATATATTTCCGCGCATTATTTGAAAAAGTACTATACAATCCTTGGCCTCAACTAGGCATTGATGGTCTTACGTATTCGTTCGTCAATCAATGTCTTTCTTGCCCCCGCAATAATCTAGATCTAGCTTCATAATTACAATAATAATTATTTGCAGTTTACTTACTGGACGATGTGCTATCCGGTTTGGATGCAACCGTGGCTCAACACATAATGCAGAAATGTATATTGGGCTATTTGAAACACACGGCCCGTATACTTGTGACACACTCGTCTCGCCATCTCGCTCGCACAAGCCGCGTGGTCCTTATGCGAGATGGACGCATACATGCAATAGGTAGTGTGCATAACAATATTTATTATTATACACTTGTTTTAACGCGGAATGTAATGAATAAATCGAATTACGAAATTGCGTAAGGCTTTCTCGGCTATCGTTCGGCATATCATTGTTTTTCTGGCTGTTCGGCCGAAGTAAGCGACAAGAGGTTCTCGACGTTTCGCCATCACGAGCGGACGGCATCAGGAGATGTTAACTCCTCGATTATAATGCGATTCGATCGAGTATTCTTTTATAATTATTCGAGCAATAGAACCTTTAATGAATTTTTATGTTCATTTATATGTATATCAGTAATTCGTGTAATTGGTAATAAATAAATAATTGATTATATGTTATCCATAGGTTCACCAGAGGCGGTCTTAAACGAGGTAGAAGAATTTCTGCCCTGTGAAACCGAGTCTATTGGAGAAGAAACTACCCTTCCTGACCCAGACTATGCTATAGCTACAGATATGGAAGATACCGTGAGCAGAAATAGCATTGACAATGATGTTAGTATTTAAATGAACAGCTAATAACGAATCCTGGGTTCAACTCCTACCGGTTCCAGCATATGTGTAAATATATTCGACTTATCAAATAAAAATTTGAATGTATGAAAAATCTAGCTATAAAATGGATGTTAAGAAATATCAACCACCATTCACAGCTGTCCTAGTGTTTATAACTACTATACTTTAGTTATCGCTGTCCATCAAACTCCTATGGAACCACAACGACTAATCATACCGAATTATCTCTGTATTTCTCTGAAAAACCGACTAAACACTAATGTTATATATACTTGTCCACAGGAAGCCATGTCAGTTGGCACAGTCGGCTGGTGGGTGATCTGGATGTATTTACGCTCAGTTGGATCATTTCTGACCTTATGCATCATAATATCCCTCATATTGATGCAACTGTCCCAAAACTTCACCTTCCTCTGGCTCACCTTCTGGATAAAGAGCCGATCCGGCAATTACACGACCCTCGAAATAGCTGATGTCCACGAAAAGACAACGGCTGTAGACCATGGCTTCAACGCGGCTGATCAATTCGTGCATACAATACTGAATTTGTCGTTGTCGGTTATACATAACCTCGATGGCCATAGTGCTACTACTAAGCGAACTACCACGATAGCAAATGAGTCACCGAATCTACGACTACCCTCAATGTACTCTGATAATTATTATCTAATTATGTACTTTGCTCTAGCTGGGATCAATCTACTGTTTACGATAATGCGTGCGTTCCTCTTCGCATATGGAGGTGTTAAGGCTGCCGCAAAAATTCACAGGGCGTTGTTGAAAGTCATTGTGAAGGTACGTTGCTTTTTTATTATAGAAGTTCGTAATTATAAATCTTACTTAGTTAACAATTAAAGTGTCAAATAAGAATATACAAAAGTTTTAAATAGCGTTAAAGATACCCTTTTCTGAAACATGTTGGACTTCGTCATGGTGTATTTCATTTACCATCAAGCGAACCCAATGCTTGTCTGTCCTCGTCTATTATAAAAACAACAAAATGATTAGTTAAAACCAGGCAAAAATTCGAAAGCTTTGTGTATACCTATATACTGATAATTTTGTAATTTGGTTTAGAGCTCATCAAAAATATTTATTACATTTAAGCGTCTAAAGTACAAATAATGTGATAATCTGGAGTACATTTTCTTTTAAATAAAACAATTTTAACGGTTTAAAGCGCGAAATGCATCATTTAAGTTATTTACAATGATTTGCAGAGGGTTTTGTAGCAGCCGTGGTCACTGAAAGACTGCAAAGCATCCAAAACGTAGGCCCGTAGTTAAAAAATAATGAAGTAAATAATTTCGCGTGTAAACTGTTAAGTGTTTTATTTAATAGCGATTGTGATTACATAAATTAAAGACATGGCTAATGTTTTCTTTCTATTTAAGGCAAATGTCAAGTTCTTTGACGTCACACCAACAGGGCGAATAATAAATCGGTTTTCTTCAGACACGTACACCGTTGACGATTCTCTACCGTTTATTTTGAATATACTGCTAGCACAACTTTTTGGACTATTTGGTATGAGATACACAATCCTAATTTATCTAAATTAATTAATATATAGTATATGCTGACAACTCTTTTCAGGTGCGATAGCGGTAACCATATATGGCCTCCCGTGGTTGTTCATTGGTATATTTCCAATGACTTTAATATACTATATGTAAGTTGTATATAAATTATAACATTGAGGAGTTAAAAACATTGTACATATATTTTTAATACGACTAAGATATATGAGACTGCTAGAGGCAGAGTGGCCTAATAACTATATAAATAAGAAAATATAAATGGGCGTTAAGTTTTTTGGCTTAGGTTAGTTATTTAAGCAAAAATGAACTAATAACTAACTAATATTTGTGTAAACAAATTCTCTGAGAGGCAAGACAATAAATTTTTATAAGACGAAATATACATCTTCTATATAGGACACTGAAAAAAAACCTTTCAGTTATCTTTATTGAAGTATAATATATGTATGTTATATATTTTTATACATGTTTTAATTTTCAAAGGTTACAAAGGCGATACCGAGTAACGTCTCGACAGTTAAAGCGCTTGCAAAGTGTTGCCCTGTCACCTGTTTACGTCCACTTCAACGACACATTGGAAGGTAAACTGCGTTAGTCGGAAAGTCGGTTCAGCTAGAGGGCATATAAATTTAATATTCACGTTGTTAATTACAAATTTTATAACAATAATGGTATTTCGATAAATATACGCGTCACTTACCTATATAATTACTAGCTGCCCACGACGACGCCACATTTCGTCGTTCTTGCGAACTAATCTTAAAAGATTGACATCGCTATCGCTGACGTTTTTGTAGATTATCTAACGAGGAATCATCTTTCATATATACTGTTTGCTTTCTTGATCCCTTAAAGATTAGTAGTTTTATATTAGTTTATATAAAAGTAAAAAATTTTCAATTCGAACGATGTAGTTCCTGAGATCGCGACCAGACAAACAAACTCTCCAGCTTTATATGTTATTATAGATTTATTTTATTATTACAATAATATAATTAATAAAATCAAATTTATGTTATAGTTATGAATAATATTCTTAAGTATATAAATTTAAAAAATATTTATGTTCCATTTATAGTATTGAGTGTTATAGGTCAAAGGAGCGTCCGTGGTTTGGGCGCGGTTAACGCGTGGTGCGCCCGTGGAGAAGAGCTGGTGGAGCGTTGGCAACGTGCAGCCCTTTGCGGCTCGGCGGCAGCACAATGGCTGGGGCTCAGACTCCAAGCTGCCGCCGCCGCTGCACTCGCCGCTGCCGCCGCACTTGCCGTCTTACAGCGAGCAACGCATGCGGCCAATCCGGGTACGATCAAAAGAAATAGCAATTGTATTTCGTATTTTCACAGCCTTATGTAATTACATAAGGCTGTGAAAATACGCAGCACGGAACGCTGACGATGCTGGTTCAAGTCCTGCCCGAGTCGAAACTTGTTGCTATTTATTTTCGATTTTTAAATTATATAGTGCCTTCATGTACATGTAAAAAATATTAATGTTTTCAAATATTTGTATTACTTTTTATGGTATCCTTACACACTCTCTAGTTTAATTACACACATCTCCTATCTTACTATTTACTATTACAAGGAGGAAATGGGGAAATGGGTGAAATGGTCAGCTGATAACGTGGACTGATCACCCGTCCTACCATAGGTGTCCCCGAAAGAAAATAATAATAATAATCTTACTATTCACAAAATAAAATTCATTTTTACCAGAGTTGACCATAATAATTCGACTTTTCTCAGGTTTGGTGGGACTTGCGATCTCGTACGCGTTGTCTATGACGTCAATGCTGGGTTCCGTCTTGAACTCTTTCACTGAGACGGAAAGAGAAATGATTGCGGTAGAGCGAGTGGGTGAATATATACAACAGGTATAAAAGAGTGTAAACTGGGTTCGCTTCACTGCGGATCCGACATTTTTCTAAACAATTTTTAGTTGGACATTAACATGTTGGACTTCTGGAAAGTCTGGATATTAAATAGGTGTTAGGAATCTCGAAATCTCGACCGGGTCACGAATTGTCTACAGATTAAAAAACCGTGAAGGTTTATCGCGTTTCGGTTTTCGATTTCTGAATATCCAAAGCTAAAATGAGAAGACAGACCAGGGGTCACCGCCTATAAAGTGAACCTCGTGCTCTGTCCTTCTCTATCATAAAAAAATGATCATAATTTGGTTGATTTTACTTTAGAAACCCTCTCCATAATAACGAAACTGGATATATGATCGAAATAACGAATTCTGCAGGTGGAGTTAGAAGAAATCGACGGTGATCCGCCGCCGTACGGCTGGCCATCACACGGTGTCATCAGTTTTGAGGATGTTTTTCTCAACTATAGGTAAGATCATAAAAAGATCGACAATTTTACTGACAAAAATCGACTGTTAAAATGTCAAGTTGTCGAGCCCTTACTAAAGACTTAGAAAGGAAGAATATAAACGGGACTTCACTTTGCTATATTCATATAATACTTCGCTTGTTGTAAAAAAATTATGTTGAATAAAGTTCTTGTTCCAGTGAAAGAAGTAATGTCGGTGCATTACGTGGCGTCACTTTCGCCAGCCATCCGGGCGAGAGGCTTGCGGTAGTAGGCCGGACGGGTGCAGGCAAGGTAAAAACTCCGTAAAACTCAATTTCTCATGACGTCATAGTTGCGCTTCACGATGTTACCCGTCCATAAATGTTTAACCAACTAGTAAGAGAACAATAGCCCAAATTGTATAGTTACAAGTTTTGATGCACTAGATACGAAATATAAAGACTCTGTAAAAAAACATTTTTTAAACAGACATAAACGACATATACGAAAACATTTTATAAAGAGCCAACATAATTGAATATCGTCAAAAATAAGTTCCCAATATAGGTGAGTATGAGGACTCCTTTTCAGAGGCAACTGTATTTTTGTATATTTTAAATCTTTATAAACATTTGTAAAATTAAATTCTGTCTGTAGTTTACGCGAGTAGTACACATTTAAATAAAACACTTTAACGGTTTAAAACGCGATATATATTAGTTAAACTTATTTTGAGATCACGGCTGCTGCAAAGCATCCGAAACGTGGGGCCGAAGTTAAAAATAGTTTTCAAATACGTTCAACTAATTTGTAAAATTTGTTATTATTGTAAACGGGTGTTGTTTGTGAATAAACGTATTTCTATTAAAGAGGATTTCACTACCTTTATTCCTTATGCTTGTTTTTTTTTCAGAGTTCCCTTTTGCGAGCTATTCTGCGGTTAGCACCATGCGCCGGTGGTCGGGTTTTAATAGATGGTATAGATGTTGCTTTGCTTCATTTACACGCACTTCGGTAAGTTTGATACACTTTGATTTTAAAATAGATTTTCGGTCTCATAGAGAGCCATCAGAATTATTTTATTATTCAATATACCTTAAATTAACTTAATATTTATTGTCTAGTTACATAAAAAGTCTTATAAAGCCTTTAAAATTTGTTATATAGTGTCATAGACTATTTATTGTTACAATGTGCAGCTGTTATGTTTCCCAAGTAATTTTTAATATGATTGTTTTAACTACAACGTAAAATAGAATATCTTTTAACAATTTTCATATTCACATGTTATGGCACACGTTAGATTTATATAAATTAATCATCTATTAATCGAGGGCGGTGTTCGAACTTATAACCACATGTTCCATGCTGCTGCTCTAACTTAGCTACCATGTACAAAATTCTTTTTTTTTATAAAGACTCCGTGTAACCATCCATACAATCTAAAAAATAAATAATGTTATGTATTTTGTTTTATAACTTAGTTGAGTTTTCAATTCTTTTTTTATTACAGATCACGAATCGGCATAATACCGCAAGAGCCTTTTATATTTTCGGGCAGTATAAGGGAGAACCTGGATCCGCTAGAGCAATATCTCGATGAAGAGATCTGGCAGGCGTTAGATTCTTGTGGTATCAGAGAATTGGTGCAAAGTCGAGGTGGCTTCAAAGCCTCAGCCGACAACCTATCGAAAGGACACAAGCAGTTGTTGTGTTTGGCACGAGCCGTGATGCAACGGGCTAAGGTATTTTTAACTAGCTGGTAACATTTACAGCCTCTCAAAAGCTTGCTTGAAATTTGCAGCATTCTGCAGCAATTGACAATTACTATTATATCTTGCTAAAAACAGAAATAATAGATTGGAGCTAGTATGGAGTCTGCTATTTACACCATGCTCGACAAAATATATTATCACACTTCCCAGGATTCGAACCCTGGAGTTTCGAATTTCTAGAGCTTAAGGTTGTGCGAGACACTTTAAAATATCAATGTACATTTCAGATATTACTTGTTGACGAAGCGACCGCTAACTTAGACCAAGAATCCGAACGGACGATATTAGACACGATTAGATGTTCGTTCGTGGGAAGCACAGTTGTGTTTGTGGCGCATCGATTAACGGGCGTTCTAGAATGTTCGCGGGTGCTCGTGCTCTCCGCTGGTCAAGTTGTTGAACTAAGGGATCCTGATGAGGCTCTCTCGGACCCCACATCCTATCTATATAAACTCGTACACCCAGAACAATAGCTTGTTCGTTACCATAAAATACATATAATTAGAAGATATCGATGTAATTATCGCTCGTTAGGGGGGGAAAGGGATCGAGTAAATGACTTTGTGTGACCAAGGTAGAAGGTTAGTTAAACGAAAAGTACTAGAGATGAGAATGATTTGTAAAACACCATATTTCTATACTCACATATCCAGTTTGTATAAAAGTTTTGAATTCACTCTAGCAGTATTTTTTGTAAGTCGTGTTGGCACAGTCATATCATTTAACAATACTTTAGGTTCGTTTAAACAGTATTATAAAAATCAATAATTATGGTGACGAATAACCAAAAATTTCAAGATATTTTTCGCAAACGGTTACTACTTTGGTAATTACCTTGTTACTATGTTTAAAATGGTATCCCAAACAGCAAGTTTGTTTTCGAACTATATAATTATTACGAATGTTTGATGGCTATAACTTGCCCATATGTTAAAAATGCTAATTTTGCCTGTTATTTTAATCAATTCAATTATTATTATTTAGTTATTGATCACACTGGTCACAGCGCTATTAATAAAAACACATATTTTTTTAATAACCTCTAGTTTGTTAATCGTAAAATATTTTTCTTATGAACATGAATAGTTTAGTTTTTAAGCTTTGCCAAAACTAAATGTATTAAAGAATGTATTTGTTATCTGCCACAATTAATTGACTTTAATTTTAAGTGTACAAGAACATTCCAATATGTTGCTACACTAGTCATATAGATTTTAATGGATAAACTTTCTAATTACACAAAATTAATTGAATAACATAAAATTCGCCTTTTTGGTTACATACTATCTCAAAGACTATTATGAATGATAAACTTTGTTTGTTGAGACAGTGTACAAAATAATGCAAATGTTAAACGATCAATAAGAAATTCTTTTTAATTATAAATAAAAGAAACAAAAAGGCGATATATAAATTAAGGTCTTAGTGCCCATAAAAAAAACAATTAGTTTTTTATTATTGTTATTGCTACACAAATTATGATTAAATAATCGAAGTTACAAAATATGTTCTCTAAAGTTTTTGTATGGAATTTAAAAAATGTGATAGACAGATATATTTTTAAATAAAAAAGTTTCTTATAAGTGTGTTATGTTATATTTCCCGTTCTTCTGGCTTCTTGTAGGGATAATCAATGTAGTCAAATATATCTTCCTCTGACGTTAAATCTATGGGCTCGCCTGGTATACCTGGACAAAAATTATTTAGGAATAACATGGAGTATAAAAAGTTTAAGAAAAGTTTAACTTGCCTGTTAGCTATAGCTACTTCTTAACCATCAACTTACTTCATACAAAGTTGAGTTTGCAAATCGCGGTTCCGACTGTTATAATCTGACATACAGACTAGTCTATGGTATATAGTAGACTATTGTATATTTTGTAAATCAATGGTAAATTTTTTATTGCAATTTTACGCTATAGGGTCTATATAAGAAGAAAAGTGTGATGTGAAAATAGGACTTGGCTTAAAGGTCTCGTTACCGGGCTATTAAATATAAAAAAAATTGCAATTTTAAAGTGAAAAATACTAACCCGTTACTCCAACCGGCCTGAGTGAATACTCATTCAGCGTAAATCCTTTCTCTAAAGCATGCGCGCGCATTTGTTTATTAAAAACGTCACTTCCGGTGAAATACAGAACTGCACAATGATACTGCTCTTGAGGAATTAGCCTTATATCCAGTCGTCTTGCTGGGTGATTTGGGGATAGTCTGCACACACCCTAAAATGTATTGTTCGGTTATTATTACGTTCGTTAACTAATGTTATCATGGCATAAAACTCTTATGGTCCTGGTTTTGAGGACCCATTAAAATGAATATTAATTATTGGACGATTAAATTATAGTGTGATGATTACAAATCAAATAAAATCCCCACGCCTAACATAAGAAACGTGGGTATTCATCCTATTATAACTACAGGGGCAAAATTTTCGTAGATATATGTTAGAAACGAGTTTATGTTTTTTTGTTACACAGTATTAGCCATGCAAAAGAGAGCCTTTTTTTAATAACATAGGATACACAAGCAAGGGTTCTTTTGAAGGAACTCTTTTAACCTATATTGCCTTTAGACTTTCGGTGATTCGGAAAATATATATTTGAATTTTGAATTGATCTACCTAAAATGGAGATAAATAAATATAGGAGTAGAAAAGTCACCATAAATTTTGTGTCTCCTTTTGAGATGGTCTCCGTTATGACTTCCTTTAAGGCTGTAACAATGTTGCTTAGAAATATGTCCCCTTGCTTCTTCTGGTTTCGCGACACTTTGAGTGAGGGGTGGGTGATTAGTGCATCAATATCACCACTCTCAGCTTTTCCCCGCCTGCGTAAAACACTTTATATGTTTGATTTTATTTTCAATAATTGTGTTGAATTACTCGCTTTATTTAATATATCATGACATGTAACTTCCGCATATGGTAACTGTAAACTCTTTGTCTAAATCACGAATCACGTTCTTCATAATATTTTCTATTTCATGAATTTCCGATCGAGGTATTTTCTTTTCGAAATCCTCGAAATATCTGTAAGGTTTAAGGGGAATGTATTTACTTATGTTGGATTTTTTCATCCATAGGTAGGTACTATATGGATGAGCTATAGCTTGTAAAGTGACTCTTAGGTACAAACTAATTGTGTAGGCAAATATCAAATCACGGTATGTCCACCATAAACGAAACTTGGGAAATGAGAGAAATGTGTTTTTAGCTACTGATTACTGTATTTCATAGAAATTTCAGCAATTGGGGATTTATATAGGCGTTAGTGAGTATAAGAAATATATAAAAATAAAGTTTTAATAAGATATTATGCTTTAAAACCATGTTAAAGTTTGGACATATCAGTGTTTGATTGAAACTAAAAGCATTATATCGGAGTTTGAAAAATACCACTATGGACGTAACGGGTATTGAAAAATAGCTACAGGACTTACTTGGTTTTGACAAATCCTATATTAATCCCGTAATTAGGGTTGTTTCATCATAATATTTTAATAAACCGTAAAATAAAACACAGATTTTTTTATTACCATGTAGTAGTTTAATTTAGTAGATTAATAAAACAAAATCTAAGATCTCGTCCATTACATAGTCTTCGGAATTATTTATTATGTCTTCTTCCCTGTCACCAACTAGTTCTATGTTACTTTGCAAGATATTTGTATAATATTTCAACTGAGGGATGTGATACCAGTCAGTGCCAAAATGTTTATGAAATATTTTTTTTATATCTTCTAATTTTATAGAAGGAACTATGTCAATCATTTGAGTATGAATATTGATCATACTTTTTCCTTTTTCTAATAACGAAGCACTATTTCCGAAATCGTTTCTATACGAAATTTCGCCAGTTACTTTAATTTTGTCATTTGAACGCGTAACGATAATACGTTTACAATATTTACTTATCTCAAAATGGAAAGAACCTTTTAAATGATACACACACACATACATACATTTTAATAGAAAAAAAAAGAAATATAAATTCAAATGTTTAATTCTTAACATTTGTACAACCCTGGTTTTCAAAACGTTAACGGTTGCAACAAACGCACTATTACGTTAGGATTTGCTTTACTTTTTAGCCTTCTTTTCGACATTATTCTTCTTAACATTTGACACATACATCTTCTTTGCTTTTTCAGGATTCAGCACACAAATTCTTACATTGTTATCATGCATTTTCCCCAAACAATCTAATAAAATAGACGACAACGAAGTGTAAGTTCTCACAGCAATCTTCTAACTAACAGCCATCTTGGACGCTATAATTTGCTGTGATTGGTCAATGTGGACTTACTTGAGTTTGATTTTAACTTATCTATAGACATACCGGAGTTTGAAATAAATCGTCGATTTTAACCTTCGTTTTAGTGAGTTTTTTGGGGACTTACCGTGATTTGGAATAAAGTATCATAAAAACAAGTAAATTTCAAATTTAGCGCCATTCATAGTTCAGTTTCGAGTATGGGTGTGACTTATCGGGGTTTGATATTTACCTACACATATGGTCTATGGTTTTTGAACACTAATATGGATAGCAGTGTCGACTTGACATTGATTAATTAAAAGAGCAAATTGTCAAAAACCTTAAATTGGAGGTTGTTATAAGAATAATATTTTTGAATCAATTTACAATTTGTATATATCATTGAAATAAAGCAATAAGGTATTGCTGGAGATGAATTCCGACATAAAATAAGTGTCAGACTTACCTGCCCTCAGTGAAGTGTCGAGAAAAAAATCGCGATGGATAACGTAACAGATAAACTTTTACAATATTTTGGTCATAAGAAATTCAAGAGTGAACTTCAAGAAAGAGCAATCAGAGCAATTGCACGAGGTAATAGCGAGTTATAACTTTCCGTACTGATTGTTGTGATAAATTGCATTAACTCCATATAATATTAGTAGTACATATTTAACTCTATGTTGTCATTTTGTCCGCGCATATATCTATTGCGAGTCGCGCCACTGCTAGGGTTGCCAGTTGCTAGCAAAATATGATTTGAATACTTATTTTATTTAATTATTAAATGAATATTTATTTATATTTTAGGAGTTCATGATGTTTATGTTTCTATGCCCACTGGTTCAGGAAAGTCTTTGTGCTTTCAGTTGCCTGCTATGTTGCAGGACAACAAAGTTGCCATTGTATTTTCACCTTTACTTGCACTAATAAAAGACCAAATAGACCATTTGACTAGATTAAAAATTCAAGCTGAATCAATAAACTCGAAAATTACCACTAAGGACAGAGAGAGAGTTTTAAATGATCTACATAGCATGAAACCAAACACTAGATTTTTATATGTAACACCAGAACAAGCCGCCACAGGTACTTTTAGGTCACTCATAGAACACCTAGTTAAATATAAGAAAGTTTCATATATAGTAGTTGATGAAGCTCATTGTGTAAGTGAATGGGGGCATGACTTCCGGCCGGACTATTTAAAATTGGGGAACTTGAGAGAGAAATATAAAAGCATACCATGGGTAGCTCTAACAGCAACGGCAAGTACAGAAGTGACAAAAGATATATTAGATAATCTGAAGTTGCTTCATCCAGTTGCTCAGTTTAAGACCCCGAGTTTTAGAAGGAATCTATTTTATGATGTGGTCTATCAAAACTGTATAGAAGATGAAGTTGGCGATTTAGCGGAGTTTCTCAAGAAATGTCTTAAAGACGAGGATAATGTTAAGCCTGTTAGTTATTTGTCAATTTTATGAATTTTTCAATGACTTTTAGGTATGAAAATTTAATTTATTTTTTAGAAAGATAAAAATGCTGCTATTGTGTATTGCCGGACACGAGAACAAACTGAAGATATAGCTAGAATGCTTTGTAATAAAGGACTTAAGTCTTTAGCGTATCATGGAGGTAATTTCACTTTACCTTTATTGAGATAAATGTCTATGAAAGATATATTCATTTAATATTTTGGTGTTGCAGGATTAAAAGGCTCTGAAAGAGTTTCAGTACAAGAGCAATGGTTTAATGGTGAATTTCCTTGTGTCTGTGCTACCGTCTCATTTGGAATGGGTGTTGACAAAGCTTCTGTTCGTGCTGTTGTGCATTGGGGCTTGCCTCAGAATGTAGCTGCTTACTATCAAGTAAGTCAATTTAAAACATGTCCAATATGCAATTTTATCAAAATTTATTGCAGATTGCAGGTTTCATGGTTGAAATGCCAGGCCACATGAATTAGTTTTGATAAAAAATATTAATGACCTATGTATAATTAAAAATACACTATCAATTAATTTTAGGAATCTGGAAGAGCGGGTAGAGATGGGAAGCCAGCATTCTGTCGCATTTACTATTGTCGTAGTGAACGAAATGCTGTTGATTTTTTGCTTAAATCTGAGATTGCTCGCTCTAAAACTCCAGAGCAAAAACAGAGGTGTAAAAACGCATACAAAAGCTTTGAGATTATGGTGAAATATTGTGAGGATGTTGGGTATGTAATTGCGCCTATTTGTGGGCCTAAATTATTCTTAATGGTTTAAAACCTGAAAAATATTTATTAAATAAGATTTGATGCAGTGCCATGAATGATGTCGTGAACTAAAGCGGTTGGTTTTTTGCTGTTACGAAAATTACAGATGTCGGCACAAAACATTTGCGGATTACTTTGGTGAGGAGCCACCTCGATGTTCAGCCCGCTGTGACGTTTGCAGTGACGCCCGAGCCGTGCGCCGCGCGCTCGAACAACATATGCGACGCGCTATGAGCGCCACTCTTCATCGTGCTGGTTTCATTGCACACGACGATTCCTCTGATCTCTACGGTCAAGGTCGAGATGGTCAAAAAAGGTAAGATATAATGAAAATTAGGAATAAAGCGGAACCTGGTTTCCGTCCTTGGGTCTCAAGATTATCTATGTTTCCAATATATGGAACAACAAATTTTAAAGATGGGTAAAATATAAAAATTCTCATTAAAGGCGTCTGCTTTATGATGTCGTCTATCGAAATTGCATAAAAAGTGAAGTTGGTGATGCAGCAGTTTCTCAAAAAAATGTTGATCTAATGGTAGTTAACGGGCTGTTCAATCAAAATCAAGTGGCACTAAATGTTTTATTGCTTTATCAAGTGAATTCCATGCTTGTCAGTCCTCCTCTATCACAAAAATATACCCAAAAGATGTCGATAGTAGTTAATATCTTTGTAGTGCTTGTGTAAGTTAAAATGCATGTATTTTTTTATAAAGTGCCTCTAAACTCTTTCTTTCTTACTGGCAACGGTTTTAATATAGATAACAACATCAGAAACCCAAACTGTTCAGAGTGCTATAACAGTATACTTGTATAGAGTGCTTTAACAGTGGAGTTAGCTCATTGTAACCCTTGAAAATGTTTTTACATTTACAGGGAAATAGAATCCTATTATGGCGATGGTGGTGATGAGTCAGACGGAGAAAGTAATAAACGGAGAGTCGCAGAAGAAACCAAGTCTCTTATTATGCAAGAGTTTGCCAATAGAAAGAAATCAATTGAGAAGGATAAAAAGTTGACCAATAATTTGGAATCAGCAAAATACTCAAAATGCAAAGCTGCTGATAGTACTAGCACAAAAGTATGACCTAATAAGTTTTTTTTTCAAAATGTTTTTTAATTGTTGCGTTCTTATTTTTATCATTATATAACTTATAAACAAAAATATTGGTCATACTTATATTTTTTCAGGTAAATGGTCTAACAGTAGCAAGCAGAGAAAGTTACCTATCACTACTAAACAATGCTCTCAATGAACATTTGTCTTCATTAAAAGGCAAGGATGATCCAGTTCGGCAATTATCGAAGCATGATGTAGAACAATGTGCCGTTGAATTAGAATATGAAGCCTTTTCTAGTAGTACTGTTATAAGTCTCTATCGAAGAGCTATGACGAAAATGGTAAATACAATATATACTAATATACCTATGTACATGTGTTTAGCATCTTAATAAAAAAGTGAATTTCAGATTGCATCAATAAAATCCTCCAAAGAGTCTCTGTACCCCCGCCTCAAAAATTTTGAGCCCAAAAAGAAAGAAACTCTTGGAGAGTTTGTTAAAGAGTTTGAAAAGAAAAAACGACACGAATCTCATAAGGCTCAAGGTTTCGTAACAGCTGCTCAGTTAGAAAATGGTGAGCTTTTACAAATATATATGGTTAATCGTTTTAAATGTAATATTACGCATATTAAGTATTAAAATTAAAATTTTAGGACTCATAGGAGAACAAAGCAATACTAGAGAATTATCTAAAGCAGACAAAGAAACTAAAAGAAAAGCAAATTCTTTCAAAAAGGATCCATTAACACAAACAAAGCTTAAGTCATTTTTTACAGCTACAACTCACGAATCACCTGAAATATCTTCCAGCGCTAGTGAAGACGAATGTGGGCTCATCATTGATGAAAATGCTAGACTAGATCCTTCTGATTTAACGTTGAAACTTGAAACTAATAACAATTCTGATGACGATGAAAACAAAACAATAATTATTGACGAATTAACAAAACAGAGTAACAAAGACACAAAAAGGTTGGTTATAAATATAACTCTTCAAGGTATACCTAAGCAGACCGCAACAACGACCGCTGAATGTGAAGAATTTGAGAAAAATAAAGATAATTCAAATGTATCATCCAAAAAAGAGCCCGGTCCTGCTAAACGAAAAATCAAAGCCTTATTTGGTGAATCTTCCGATGAAAGTGACTTTGAACCACAAGAACATAAAAAACTCAAGGTTTTCGAAGAAATAAATAAAGCTAAACAGAAAAAGTCCAATGACGAGAAAAGTAAAGAGAAACAGACAAAAAGCGATACTTCCAGGCATAAAGATAAACACAAACTCAAGAATGATAAAGAAAAAATAAAACACCATCGAAGCCAAGGTGAATCGGAAAAGAAAAATAGAAAACATTCTTCAAGTAGTACAAGTTCCGACAAAAATCTCGTTATACATGAAGATAAAGCTGTGAAAGACAATATCGGAAAATCTAATGACCGGAAAATTTCCCTTGAAGCACATCAAAAAAGTCAATCCTTTAACAAAATTGGATCAAAAAAGAATCCCAGAAAAATTTCGGAAAGTAGTTTAGACTCGGAAAAAGAACTTGTTATCGACGAAACCGATTGTGTTGATAATACATCTAGCCCGTTTGATGAAACATTGGTTATAGCTAACACTTCAAAAGAAAGTATAAAAACAGTGAATTTAAAAAATGAAATACCTGAAACCATCGACACTAAAGTTGTACATGATGAAATTGCTAAACCTAATTGCATAAATATTTTACCCGGTGATAATACGAGCGATAAAACAATTCACATAGACGACAAATCATTAAGTGAAGCACACAAATTGAGTGTAGAAGCCGATAAGGTCTTGAGAGAACTTCAACAGTTTGCAGAGGTGAAACCAGAAAGTCAAGAATTACCTATAAAAGATACCTCAGTCATTGCTAAAAATAATGATTCGGTTGCTAACAAACCCCTTCTCGAATCTAGTTCTAAGTCTAAGAACAGCACATCCCAAAAAGATATAAATATTACGATCAAGAAATCTGGTGAGACTCGCAAAAGAGATATTACAAGCAAGGGCAAAAGTAAAAATGAACTTACAACACATCACAGGAAGAGAAAAAAGTCGAAGGATAAAAGCGAAAAGGTGGATGTAGCGGGACTAGTTGTTAAATTATTGATGCCTTATTATAAGAAGAATAAAATTAGTAATAGGGATCTATTTAAAATAACTGCGCGACATATCGTTCACCAACTTCTTGCAATTCAAGTGACAGGTAATATTTCTGAACTGTTAAAAAAATAGTAGCGTAACTGCCTACTTGGCACAATGCATTTTTATGCCCATTTTATGCAAAAAATCAATCAACTAAAGTCGCTATAATTATTATATCTATATTTATGAATATACAAATATTTTTTATCATCTGCGAGATTTACTTATTAAAAAACACTGCTTTCTTTCAGAGGAAGCTGCCATTAACTTGCTCCTCAAAAAGACATTCAGCAAGAATATAAAAATTGAAACAGAAAGTGATTTAAATACTAAGTTGAACTTAAGCAAATGACATTTTATAATAACTTGTTATATTTATTGTAATTATTTTAAAGTTAAGATTTATTTATACACTACACAATGATTCTTGTATGTCATTTAATAATAAAGTTTTAAGTGTTAGTTATTAGTATTTTCGCATTTTATAATAAATCCTTAATTTACTTCTTAAAAATTAAAATCGAGACACGCTTGTAGATTAAACTATTTAATTATAGGTAGTAATATTATAGATATTAAATGCAATAACATGTACATGTACATCAAATAATACCATAGCTTTGCTTTAGAGCACCTTGGTTATATTTAAAACTTACTTTACTTTTAAAAACTTACTCTAAACCCACTTAATATAAAATTAATAATAGTGCAAATCTTTCCACAATACCATTTTCTTGTTAATTCAAACAACAAAATCATCACTCAATCAAAAACGAGCAATTATCGCGCAAGATTTATGTTTTTGTTTAGAAAGACTACTATATATTAATTATTAATGTTGTTTTTTGGCAGATATTTAGTAAAGTGTACAAACAAATTATGTATACCTAATACTGGTAACAATACGTTTGAGATTAATTCTTCTTTTTACACATAATACTTATTTTAAAACATCATTGCTTATCTTAGCAAGTTCAAAGAAATTTAATTTAAATATAGATAAAGTGTATCTATCACTGACAGTTGTGTGTTCAAATTATATTTTAAGCGCTCGTTTTCTTGGCGTGTGCGTAAAACTTTTTCTCTCGGTTTGTCTTTTGCGTGGCGCACGCGGTGTTTCGGGGTCGGCCGGTGCAGACATGGTCACGAGATTCCTAATGTTTCCTGCAGAGGACTCTAAACCGATCGCCTCTTGGAAGTGTCGCACCCTTTCTACGAGCTCTTCGTCCTCTTGGATCAGCTCTTCGATCTGAAAAAAAATGTTCAACCTCAACTGTGAAAAGTGCTGTTTGTATTCCCTAAACGCAGGGTTATTAGGCCATTGAACCCAGCAATGTAATACCTAATGAAGATGTCGACCCTTACAGTTTTATTTCATTCTTTGGTGCCTATATTAATATATAAAGAAGATAAAACTAAATTAATGTATAACGTCCATTTAAGTTTATAAATATGTACTATAATGATAAATAGAATGCATGACATACCTCTTGTCGATAGTCGTTATGTAGATCTGTGGCGATGCGAACGATGTATGTGGCTAGTTGCCCGCCACGGGTACGTAAGCGTGCATAGAGACGCAGAACAGCCGGCACTAACACTTCCGCTACAGTTCGCTTCATTTTCTATATACAGAAGTTATATATATCTATAGTTGTATTCTACAAAGAAGCCATAAGTGTAGTATATGCTATTTCCGGTATGAGGTCGGTAGTTCGATCCCTGATGAATATCAAAAAATATCTTTGGGCTTGTTTCACTCTTCTCTCCTCTACAGAAGTTCGAATAGGAACGAAGTACGAGTTTTAAAATAAACAGTGCTATTTGCATAGTATGTATAGTGAATATTGACATGAATTTAATGGCAAACAGGAAAAAGGTTATTTAGTTTTGAGTAAAAACATAATGGCCTTTGAACCCTCTTTGAACTTCTAATAAAAAATTATGAAATTTTACCTTCATCGATTCAGATGACTGCATAAAAATGGATATTACTCGATAAACGTTTAGAAAATGTCCCAATTCTAATGACAGTAAAGAAGATAATGTATGTACGTACATGAGACACGATGTTCGTAGTAATCCTTTCTTGTAGATCTTCTAGGTCAGCATCGCCAGATTTTTCTGGTTTTTCTGTAGAGTTAAAAAATCTATGACACATTTGAACGAAAACGAAATATGTTATTATGAAATTCAAACAAAACACTTTAACGGTTTAAAACGCGATTTATATTAGTTATTTGAAAATTATTTCACGGGGGTCCTCCTGTGACCTCGGCTGCAGCAAAATATCCGAAACGTCGGGCCGAAGTTAATTTTTTTTTAAATAAGTTTAACTAATATATATCGCGTTTTAAACCGTTAAAGTGTTTTATTTAAATGTGTACTACCCGCGTAAACTACAGACAGTATTATTTTACTAAATTAAAATCATTACATCCAAGAAAACATAGCTTTAGTTACTACTACTATTTACATGAAGATGTAAAATATATACATCATTATCTAATAGGTTGTTCCCATAGTACGAAAGCCATAGATTGCTTAAACATGTCCGTCAAACTTACTCGGAAGCTTCATTCGAGGTCCACAAAGCAATGTAATTGTGTCCAAAAGTGAAGCATTGAGTGGCCCTGGAAGCTCTTCATCATCGCGCAACTCTTCGATCTCGTCGGCAGCATTCTGAAGGACTTCCCTCGCGAGCCGACATTGAATGTTCAGCCGTTGAACCAGAGACATACGTTGCAGCATTACATCGTAAATCAGCTGTCTGGCATCGAATCCCAAGGTATCTGAGACAATATAAAAATTTTAACTTAGACGATTACCATATATATTAAAAAATGCTCATAAAAATAAAAACTTTTATTATCGTGTGTCTGGTTTTATTTGTATTCAAATTACTAAATTTCCCCGCTTTTTTTAGAATTGTATGAGATACGATACATTTACCACTGTTTCGTCGTTCCTATTAGTCACAGAGCAATGTTACAATGCCTTCCTCGACAATAGATCTAACCAAACACAAAAATATTTTTTCAATTCGAACTATTAGTGCCTGAGATTTGCGTGTTCAAACAAACAAACTTTTATATATTAGTATAGATCCAATTAAATACTGTTTATAGTTTACGCGAGTAGTACACATTTAAATAAAACACTAACGATTTTAAACTCCCCGTGAGTCTCCCCGTAACCACGGCTGCTGCAAAGCATCCGAAACGTCGGGCCGAAGTTAAAAATCGTCTTCAAATGAGTTTAACAAATATATCGCGTTTTAAACCGTTAAAGTGTTTTATTTAAATAGATCCAATTATTAATTAGATTAAGAACTATTCGTATCTCATACAATTCGTAAATGACAGGTAAGCATGGGGTTCTCTTAATAGAAGGTAAAATTGTTTATCTCTCTCTTCGCCTATTCGTTTCTTTTGCTTTTTGAACATTAGTTGATATTTATAAATATTATTTACTATGTGATTTAAAAAAGTACCTTCAATCTTATTATAGTAGATAACACAGTCGACAAAATGGTGATAAATAACATTGACAGTGAGGCAGCATGTTACGTAATATTCTGCAGGTTCACGCACCTCCAGGTCCTCGTCTGCTAGTAACGCGCAGTACCTAAAATTATAATAATACATTTTCTGGAACTTTGTACATCGAGCAAGTACGAGAAATCAACAACTGTATAGACAAGATATAAATTGAATATATAATTTCTAAAAAATTGTCGAGCGGGTCTTGAACCGGCATCATCCACAGCGTTCCGTGTTGCTGCTCTAACCAATTAAAAGGTCCAATTCAGCTACTCGTCATCATCTGTCCACGATATCCAAAAGCACTACTCCGATCTCTCGCGGTCTATACAAAGGTGAAATACCTCCAATGAAAGTCAATAAATATCACAAGTAATGATTAGAATCTATCTAGATTCTAATCATTATTTGTGTAATAATCAAAATTCAGTAAGAGAAAGTTATAATAATTTATTAATTAAATTTATATTATTACTTATAATATCCGCCGCTAAAAATGTAAAGAGGCCACCAAAAGTTACTTTTCCACGTAAAGCCGCGGGCGTTATTCAATGAATATTATAATTAAAATTACCTATAGTATAGAGGTGTCCCAAGTCGTAAGAATCCGCCAAGAAGTAGTCGAGTTAGGGCCCTAGCGGCTGCCCGACGCAGCCCGCTAGGCGTGTCTACATCTAAGCATCCACACATGGATTTCAGTAGCGGCTCTACTATACACGTATACCTGGTAATATAAACATACAGAATAACAATTGTTTGACAAAAATGACTTGGACGAGACGCAGACCCGAGCTGTTTCCTCTGCCGGTTGATCCCTTCGGTTGAAACTTCGTCGTTCGTCCGGGTCGGGGATCGTCGTCAATTTACGAAATCGCATTTCGGTTTTAGTCTGCAGATTCCCAATATCCAAAGCCATCATCATATCATAGAAAAATGTTGCACAGCTACCTTGTACAAATGTCAGTGAGCGCAAATAGTGAGTTCAACCGTGCGCAGAGCGGCGCAGCAGGATCCCGCAGCAGCGAAGCCAAGTGAGGTGCAGACACGGCGGCTGCTTCGCGCGACCGAACGCAGAGGCGCCCTACCCCGGCCACGCATTCACCACGCTCCACATCGCCCCAATCTGTGAATTATTGTCTGGCAATTCAATAATGCTTTGCCAACAATATAAGTTAATAAAATGATCCCTTTATTAGTACAAAGACTTGTACATAACTTTCCACTAAAATTAATGATAAGAAAACTTCCAAAAAAGTAAAAACTAAAAAAAACACTAGCGTTTTAACGTTTTAAAACGCGACATGTATTAGGCGGGTCTTAGCTAAAATTACTCATTTTAACTAAGACCCGACGTTTGGGATTTTTTACATTATTTTTATAAGAAACATACAAAAATAATTTAAATATAATTATCAGTAGGAAAAATAAAATTATTTGGATCATTGTAAATTAATAAGCTACACAACGTACATACTTCTCAAAAAACAAATAGGGATTAACTCTATATGTAATTTTTGTGTGTAAATCATTGTGTTTTTAATTAAGACTAGTTCTCAATTCACTCACCAGGTGGCGGTGACTGTAAAGCAGCAACGAAGAGATCAAGTATCGCTGGTGAAGGCGGGTCGGGCGCTAGAAGCGAAAAATCGGCAGCCCGCAACCAGTCTCCAACAGACCCACCACTTAGAGCTCGACGCTCCGCTGTTATACAAGACACAGCCTTATATTAAAACTTATTACTTAATTAACATTATTAATAGACGATAAGAATTTCAGTATTTTATAGCTTAAATTTGAATATTTGTTACTGAAATGAAAATATTTGAAATTAGTTAACTTAACTTACTATGCGTTCTATACGAAAGGAGGTTAAAAGTTTTGTGTGCTTACATAATTTCATTAAATCGGTGGCCCACTGCAAATCGCCAGGATCTAGACTTGCTGCAAGCGAAACACAAGCTGGTCGGCACTCTGATAATTAATAATATACACATTAATAATTCTGAATAATAAACCGTCTCGTGACTATATAGGAGCAGTTTTATTGTAAACAAACAAAAGTAAAATGATCAGTAAACGGAAATAAAAATATTTTAAATACCTTACAGGGAAACAGTTCACAACTTTATCAAGAGTGCAGCACTGCACTCATGATAAAGTTGCATGCAGAAATTTTAGTTTGTTATACTTATCTAGGCAATGGATGCGTCACATCTTTTTCATTCGAAATTCAAAATGGACAAGATCTAAGTAGTTCAATAAACCATACCACTGTCATGCGAAGTAGCCAATCGCGCGATGAGATGTTCGCGCAAGAGTTGCTTTGGTGCGTTCTCAATGTAACGCGACCATGCGGACAACAATTCCACCGTCAGCGGAACCAGACGATTGTCCCGCTCGAGGTCCTGTCAAAAATAAGATCATTATTTGTATTGAGCATAGAAATTATTCACTGTTCTGGCTTCATTGATTATATTTTCTATGCTTCTTCTTTCTCACTCTTTTACTCTATAGCTGTCCCTCTCTTGTCTCTACAAGCCTAGCGCCGGGGTTCCCCTCAATAGCTGCCTTGAGAAGCAAACCCCGGAAAGCCGGAAAATCTTGACCATGGTGTTGAATTAATACTGATCGGTTAAGTCACGCGACGAGCCACTTAAAAAATCGCGGTATCGCTAGCCTATCTACACAGGCGAATTAAATCGCAAGGTTTAAAAGATGTTCCAGAGTTAAAATCGTAAGTGATTCTTTTATATTATGTATTTATTAAAGATCTACATGCAATTTCTGCAACCAATCGTTTACAATATTTGCCGCGCTGCCAAAATCGTATAAACAGCAAATTACAGTTGTACTCATCAGAGTAAATATCAATTTGAATAAATGCTGACAATTTATCAAATAAAATTCATTTGATGCAGGCAATTGAACCCGGTATTGTATGAACTGCATCGTCGTAGTAAATGTAAAAGTAACTTTAATTTAAGCTTATATTTCTCACTTAGTAATGCACGGTAAAATATAATTAAATAATTCTAATAATCAATTTTCTATAGACTTAATTCCGTTATCAAAAACAACAGAATTTCAGATCTATGTCGCTATTGTGGTAATAAAAGTGTAAGCTACATAGACATAAAATCAGTCATCCAGTTTAGGTCTGAAAAGTAAAAACAGACGATCGTTACCTTGATAAGATTAATAGTATCTTAAGCTCTACAAACCTGCGTCTCGGCCGTTAATTTGTAGTAATACTGTATGAAGAAAGCCACATCTGTGTACTCGACGTGGCGGGCCACGCACGTCAGGAGGACGAGACACTGTAGGTCGCGTGCGTCTGACAATACGCCCAGGTGCGTGCTCACCAAGTCTATGAGGCGGTGGCTAACATAATGATTGTTAAGTTAATAAATATATTAAATAAAACGTTATTATTATTTAATTTTAATGAAAAATTAAAGTGAAGTAGTACAGTTCTCTCCAAACTTTTTAGCCGGGCTGAAGTTAGCGCGACCGCCATCTTTCGCATTGTACTGTCAATTTTAAGCAAAAAGTTAGGTTGCTCTGCACCCGCGCACCCCCTTTGTCGCAACTGACACCTGCTTTTTGCGTTCTGCGCAGCCATCCGCGTTAACTTTAGCCCGACCAAAAAGTTTGGAGAGCACTGTACTTTTAGTAACAGCAACATTCTGGGAACAATGTGGTCACGGTTTGAAAACCACATGTCAAAATAGATTTTTAATCTATATAAAACCACATATGTCTCTATCTATAAAATTGTCTAAAAAACATGTTTTGCGACATACAGTATATATTTATCTTTTAAGATTAATTTGCAAGAACGATGGGACGCGAACGACATCGTGGGTAACACTAAACAGCTGTAAAAACAAATTTGGATGCCCAAAATAACTATTCTTCGTGAACAAAGTCGCTGAAACAGCTAGTAAAGAATAAATTGAAATATTTAGTTACTATTATTGACGAATCAGTACTTACTTGATACACTTTCCAGATTTGATGAGCACCGCACAGGCTTTCTGGAGGTGTTTCCTCAAATTAAACTTGACAATGCCCTCTAGGAATATCCAGGGTAAGCCCTCTTCTGTTTGTGCCGGATCGAACCTTTGCAGTGGAGTAACGATGAAGGCACGAATTAGATTCATAACTTGCTCTTGTATCTGTAGACAAGTTGGTTTTTAACTTTATTCAATTAGGTACGTGCATATTCATTTACCTAAGGGGACAAAAATCCTTTAATCTGATAATTCTAAATTATGTGTTCTTAGATATAGAGCGAGCCCATATATAAATGATCGTTGACCTGAAGTACTGTTTTACCAGACGAATCAGCAGATTTTGGGTCCAGTATTAGGGTTATTTTATACAGATAAGCATGAGGTCCATTTGATTTAAGGTGAAATACGTCCGTCCGGTTACGGAATCTTCATACCTACCTACCATTATATATCCAGATTTTCAAACTAAGTCCAACATGTTTTAGAATAATTATATATTGACTAGGAATATGTTGGACCCGGTGCTTCTCGTACCCACGACCCGTTGATTATTAGCAATACGTTGCTACCATTAGGTACACCAACGAGCCGGTCAAAGTATTTCCTACTGTTATACCTTAGCCTCCGGATCTGATAGCTGATGCATAGGTCCAGTTATAAATGCATTTAGCGATGTTTCCGTGGGGTTGTTGAGAGCAACATCAGCAAGTGCGTTGACAGCTGTTCCGCGCACTATAATACTGGCATCACGGCATAGCGACACTAGTGTCTGTTGGATGTTAAAAAAAATAGGCATCGTTCATAAATATTGTGCGAGTTAGTATTTATGACAGAGTTAAGTCATACTGAAGTAAATTTAACAGAAGCGAAATAAAATTACAATAACCTATATGGTAAAAGAACACTCAACTATATGGGACCCAAATACATTAATTTATTACCAAAACGTATTAAAGAATCACTTACTACAAGAACTATAAAAAATTAAAACCATTCTACCCCCTCCAAATACCCTATAATTAAGACTATTCTTAGATCTTGATAATCTGTATCAGTTAGTATAAAATTGTTTTAGTATAAATTGATGTAATGTGCTGTGATACTAGGGCGAAAAGAAAACTCGAATGAGTTATTGTTCACACCTTTTTATGTGTTAATATATTATGTGATTTGTAAAAAAATTTACAACGTAATGAAATAAAATTAAAAAAAAAAACGAATGATGTAATTATTTTAATAGCTCATAATTTGAGCACATGAGTACATTTACAGAACCGTTTTTTTTTAATATATTGAAAGTTAATAAGTCACTTTGTATTAAAATGTTTTGAATACTAAAAAGCTCACCGAATAATGTGAAGGATGAGGATTCTTCACAAGAAGGCGGTGTATCAGCGAGGCAGCGGCTTTCCGCACAACAGCACGTTCGTCTGATGCACAACGAGTCCCAGCCTTAGCTAAACGGCATTGTGGCCCATCGCCGCTTAAATCCTGACACAAAATTACCAGATAAATAGCCTTTTATAACGCTTATGAGGTTTCAAAACCAATACAGTAAAACGAAACTAGTTTAGGCAAACTGACTATACGTACATACTTATAGATTAATTGTATCGAAAGATTGAGGATTTGTTATAATTGTTATGGTCGCGAAAGCGTTATACAAGGTAATTAAGATTGTGATAAATAAATTCTTTCGTCGCTTGAAAATAAATATTCGAAACTTGGGGGCTTTTGCATCTGTGTACGGCGGTTCGTGACCCTGGCGGAATTTCGATATTCCTCCCACTCATCCATCATGTTTCAGAAAAAATATAAATTGATTAGAAAAAAGTTTGTACATGTTGATGGTGGGGATCGAACCACGATCCGTTGATAATTTACCATACATTGCTACCGTATCACCAACGAGCTGAAACTAAACTACCTACCCTTATAGCTTCTTTGATGGGCATATGGTTGGAATCGAGCAAGTCGGTAAGAAGCGCGAGGGAGCGCCCGCGCATTGCGCCCGATACATCGCTCAGTCGATCGTGTATCGCACAAATTATATCCCCGTGGGGGACACAGTGACGGCGCTGATTCAGTAGGCTGGAAATATCCTCTTCAGCGGCTTCAGCATCAAACTGTTACGGCAAAGACCTGTCCTTTGATATGTGATCTAAATCTAAGTCTATAGTCGCCTAAACCTCAGTTACTGATATCCGGTGGATTTTCACTTACAACGACGTTTTTGGTTCCAATATCATTTGTATACATCTCAAACTCTCTACGACAATTATAGGTAGATGAAACATAAAATATTTGTCCTAGTTAGAAAAAATGAGACATACCTCTGATATTGACGATTGAGACTGACTGTCGTCTTCTATAGCCATATTATCCTGATCAAGATCAGATATAGCTTCTTTGTTCTGTTCATTTCCTGTATTAAAAAATATTTAGATGTGTTTAAAAAAATAAATTAGATATGAGTAATTCTTTCTGCCACCATCCTTATAAGTATGGTATATTTTAAGATTAATTAACATGTCTTTTAGTTGAAAGAAGATAATCCAAAACCCCTTAAATTCATAATATACCATCTAAGAAAGAAATAACTCTTTTATGTACAACGACAAGTAGATATAGAAATATGAAAAGCACCATCGGCATCATCTTCAGTTGAGGTTTTACGGCTTTCCATCCCCGAGTCTGAAGATGGTTTCTCTGAATCATTCTGTAATAACTGCGCTAAAATCTCCTGTAATCAATGAATAGGTTAACACTGTTCGCTCCATACTGTCTATAGTTTACGCGAGTAGTACACATTTAAATATCTTTGCAGCAGCTGTGGTCACGGGGAGACTGGGGAGGATGTCTCTGACGTCAAAGTAAAAAGTTTCCGGCCACTTTGATTGAACAGATAGCTAGCTATTTTTTACTTTGACGTCAGAGACATTCTCCATCTTTAGTCTCCCCGCGACCACGGCTGCTGCAAAGCATCCGAAACGTCGGGCCGAAGTTAAAAATCATTTTCAAATAAGTTTAACTAATATATCGCGTTTTAAACCATTAAAGTGTTTTATTTAACTGTTCATTCGACTTCGACTTTCGTTACCCACGACATTCGTATTCCGTCGTACGCGTCCCGTCGTTCCGTAAAGAGGAATGATCCTTCCATACATATTGTTTTGGTTTCTTGAACCGTTTGCGCAGCGTACGCATCGGGAACACACAGAGATTAATAATTTCCCCCGTTTTGTTCACATTTCCCGCTGTACCTTATTTTCTATTAGTCACAGCGCAATGTTTTATAGCCTATAGCCTTCCTCGATAAATACTCTAACACAAAAAGAATATTTCAATTTTAACCAGTAGTTCCTGAGATTAGCGTGTTCAAACAAACTCTTTAGCTTTATATATTAGTATAGATAGATTAACTCACCATAGCTATTTGTCTATGAGGCACTTTCGTAGTTGTCATTAACTTGAGAAGCCATTTTATAAAATTGCAGTATGATTTCTTTGGTAACAAACTCATCAAGCCAACCACTAATTGTATTCGGGTCTGCCGAACTTCTGCTTTTTCCTTAAATAAAAAAAAGATAGTTAAGACTTACATATATAAATACCTACATAATAGCTTAAAACGACAGAAATAAATATATTATGTTATTAATAAACAGTTGAAATAAATAAAAAAAAAGAAAAATAAATGAGGTAGCACATAGCCATGTCGGTAATTTTTTAAAACATTATACGACTCGAACCCACTGCAAAGGAAAGATACTGTGACACTGTGCTACTAATACCCTTATTATTTATTTTCTATGCTATTTGTTTGTTTATCGGTTGTGGGTTCAAGTCCCGCTCTAGTCACAGCGTCCCGTAGTTTTCCAAATTTAGGTAGCGCGTCACTGTGCATGCATGCTTTAATATTATTTTCTATAAATCATACCTCTAAAAAAAATGTTGTTATTTTAACTTACCAAACCTTCTAATGCATATGCTAAGTGCTGCAAAAGCAGAATGTAGCTTGAGATAGCTATTTTGCCATACTTGCTGAGAATAAGCGCGCAGTATGCGACATAGCCTCCTACAAACTGATAAAAGTAAGGTCATATCAGTTATATAGTTTCTAGTTTATCTTAGTACATAAAAAACACTCTTTATTTGAAAAATATCCAAGAAAACCAATAAAATAAAAAATATGTAAGATGTTATATGTAATGTTCACTGAAAGTTTTTATGTCATACACCACAAATCTGTGAGATTTAACACTATAACACAGGAACACCATAATATTTATCATAGAAAATTCAACACATACAATCTTAACATATTAAGGAAAGAAAAAAAATCTAATAATTCCTTACACTTTTTACATACATTAACTTGTGTGTGATCCCTAGTATCTTCAACAAGTTTCTGAAGAATGACTTTGTACAGTAATTTAATAGCAACTGCATCTGGTTCCTTATTCACATCTACTAATAGAACATCTATGACCTCATAGACAACCTGTAATATGTTAGCCAGTTCTATTTTATCTGGAAAATAAAGAATATTAAGTAGTACACATTATGTTAGCCAACATTACTTTTGATAAACATTAAATAATGAAATGGAAAATTAATAATGCATACCTATATTTACTAGCTTTTTGACAAGAGAACCTCCAATAATATCAACCAAATTACTTAGGATATCCTCAAAGTTCATATCAGCTGGGGTAAGCTGTAAGTGTACAATCGTATACTTCAGGTCATAAACAAACCCCCTTAACACTCTGATAACCGAATTAACCACTTTGACATGATCATTGGAGTTTAAAAACTCTTTTCTCTCTTTGCACACTGCTTTGGGATAACTGAGGCATTCCAGAGAATGAGCAAAAAGTTGTGAATGATAAATATGGTAGGCTTTGTAACCAGGAACTGATAACAACTTGTAATACAGCCTAGATGCCCAAATTGCATTTTTTCTAGACTCAGTGCACAGAATATGTTTATTTCCATAGTCAATGTAGTATCCCAAAAGCGCTAATAAGTTTTGATGTTTCACTTGATGTGATAATGTCGCCCAAGATGCCTCCTCACTTAAATTTCCATCTAGATTTAACCAATCATCGAGGGCCATGAGTATATGTTCAAAGATAGATTTAATTTCTGATGATTCCACTCCATTTTGATAATCAATAGGTAAATCTTTGAACTCCAAAAACTCCGAGTCATATACTGCCTGTACCCATTCATCATGAAGGTGTTGTAATTGTAATTTACTAAGTTCTTCTAAAAGATGCATCTTAAAGATACGTTTATAACCTTATTGTTGACGAATTAACGTCAACTCTACTTAAGAAAGCAGCAATCATGTTAAGATATCACATCATTAAAGAATTTTCCTTTACAACTATTAATATTAACTACCTATATATTTTATTGCACATTTCAATTCAATAAATAATTTGTATTGATTACATTATGTTTGTATGATTGTATTTTGATTTTCCTTTCAACTTTCCACAGGCATGTGTATAATTTTAGGTAATGCCATAGAGTAGGATAGTATATATTGAGTTAGATAATGCTGTGCGTCCTGACACAGATTAATGTGAGAGGAAGTTATAGATGTTGACACTTAAAGATATCCTCAATCGTCATTGATCGAAAGATGAATCCATTTTGAAGTGGTGTTCTTGTTCTATAAGTGACTTTCAACATAACTTCGTTATGTTACTGACTGGTAACTTACATTAACAAATCTTTCATACTCTAGCTTGGTAATTAATTTACCAAATTAATTCATTATTTTATATAAAAAAATTCACTGAATTTCATATAATATCAAAATAGAAACGTATTGTTAAGTATAGTCTGTCTACTCAAGTATTCTTCTTCTTCTTAGCTTCTTTACTTTTTCAACCTTACCAACACTTACTACTATATCAGTGTCAGATTGACAGTTGACTTTTACTGCAAGGCTGCAGGGCGATTTTGTAACTCAATAGTGTTAATCACTAGACATTAGTTGACAACAACTATCTGTCAAAGAGCCAGTTTGGTATTTGCTATTTTCGATTGCTAACGATTATGACGTCAAAAGGAACCGAGATTGTTGATCGTCACCGTAAATGAGTTTTTGTATCGATATTTGAAAACTTGCGATTTTGTACGCTTAGTTATCATCAAACTGTTATTCACTTTGATCGTTGAAAGACACTACTCAAAGGTAGTGTTTTATTCTTATATTTTGGTGATTAACAATGTGATTATTATTTTTCTTGTCGTTTAGTGATTTTTATTTGTGTTTCATAATATTGCAGAATTATGGCACGTCTAATTATGTTGAGTTTAGCTGAAGAACAAAATAAAAAACTCTTGTACAGAGAATGTGGGATTCGGAATATTTTTTTTATAATAAGACAAGTACTTTAGTTTTTTAATAGAAATAGTTAATAAGTTTCTTTTTATAATGTGTAATACTATAATTTTTTGTATATTATTAGATATATGATTTTATTTAAAATCTAACTTTATTTAGTTAATTTAAGTTAAATTCCAGTTATGATATAAATAGCATATATTTTAAGGTTTGTAAGTGTACCATAATGTTAGATGTTGTAAATAATTAGTTGTAATTTTTTTAATACGCTTTAACATTAAAAGTCAATAATTGTATTAATTTAGAGGAACTTATAACTATCAGAATAAAAATTTACCATTTATATCTCTTCTATTTATTAACAAAATGTCTTATGTCATCTCTAATTTCCCTAATTAATTCAGCAAGTGATTGCACATTATTTGCCATTCTCTCTTCCGCTGCAACACGTCTTCTTTCGATTTGAATAGCCTAAGATAGAAGATTATATTGAGGTGGTGGCCTTTCACGTTGACGAACTGTAATTAATGAAGACAAATGATTATGTTATCCTAAATTTAGCAAGCCGGTGTTAGGAGTAAAAAATATTTATTTCGATTGACATATTTCACCAGTCGGTTTGCAACCTTTGCAAAAGGAACTAATTTATTATGTATGTATTAATTTTAGTTGTGTAGCTTTTAATATCATATACATATATGTCACATTAAATCATATTATAAGATGAGTAATTACAAAATAAATAAAATAGGGACGGAATGTCAGTCTTACGATATGGCATAATAAAAAACATTATTATCTAAAAGATATTATTTATAATAGGTAGGTAACAGACTTTAAAATGTCTGTACACAAACCTCCGTCCTTAGATGTTTCAGATTGTGACTGAGTTTCATTATCCTCTATATCTTCTTCTAGCCATTCTATATGCATATCTGCCGGCTCCGGAGTTGACGTCGATTGTATGAATGTGCTTTGAGAAGAGATAGGTGGGACCTAAAAATCATATTTTAATGGAATGAAAAACAAATAAAAAAATTTAAAATCATTTCTAATGCAATTTGTATTTGATAATTATTTTTTAGATTACTAACCGATACATGAATGCGTACACCAGGCAATCCTTCTACAGCTACGGTGCCTATTATTCCCAATGCTATATTGGGGTTCCTTTCCGCAAAGTCCACCAGCAATTCCATTTGCCTTCCACTAACTTTTCTCGGTGCAGGCATTTTAAAGCGATTGTACGTTTTAGTTTGTTAAAACACAATTGTACAGCGCGATGTTATTAATTTAACTAAACATTTACACTTCATACAACGATCCATTATAGTTAAGAACTAACTCTTCACAACGTTTCAATTAACAATAACATAAACAAAAATTAAATAAGAACTTTAAAGTATTAGAAATAGCCGCCAAGCCGTAATTTTCAAGGACATAAGTAGTCAAAATAAAATGTTCTTAAAGTACGTGTATTATCACTGGATACAACGCTTTCACAATTTAGTCGAATAATAGTCGATAAAAAATAGTGATGTTCTGTGTTTACGTTATAAGTGACTATGCCGCCATGTTAGTCACCGTAACTCACCAAGTTACAAAATACCAATAGTTACCATCATTTAGTTATCATCGAATTACGGTGGACAACTGAAGGCTAGTTGATAACTGATTGTCAAAAGTTACAAAATCGGCCTGCTGGTATCAGACTGCTATCAACAATAAAAAGTGTAACTACTTGCTCAGTGCCTGCATACTGACTAAACAAGACTAACGACAAATACAACATCAGTTTTCATTACATTTAACAGCTTAATATGAAATAAGCATACTTGCATTACTACAGTTTGAAAAGAAACCATGACTACTCGAAAGCCAATATCTTGGTTCCTAACTGAACAAGGAAGAAGATTCTCTTTTGCTATTATTACAGGAACAGGTATTGCATTGACAGCCATAAGATTTACTCCACATACGTTTTTAATTGATAAATACAGAGAATACGTTCACCACTACAGGTAAACATAATATTTTTGTTAGGTTATATACTTATATAATTACATGCTTGCTACACCGAATACTTGTAGATAAATAATCTTCTATTTCAGCGCCGGAAAACCTGTTGACCTGACAAAACAAATTCAAGAAAGATATCAGAAGTGTCTTAATACTCTGAATTTTTCTGAGGTGCATAGAAAATTAATTAAGCCCTTTACAGTTTTTGGATTTGATTTGTTTCATGCTGGTAAGTTTACTTTAATCTAGTTATAACTCACTTGGTAGAATTAAAATATTTATAAAAATGTATTTGATGTAATTTCAGGCAGTACAAGCTCTAGGTTCGGTGTTTTAGTAGGAATTCCAGTAAATTTTAATTACCAAAGTTTAGATGATGTTGCAAATGATAATATTCAGGTTGGTAATTATTAAACCATACAAACTAATATATCAAATATTAACTTAAAAGTAGCTTGTATTATTTACTTGCTGCATTAGAATTTTATTTCGATTTGCTTGTATTTAAATACTGTCTGTAGTTTACGCGAGTAGTACCCATTTAAATAAAACACTTTAATGGTTTAAATTGCGTTTTAAACCACTAAAGTGTTTTGCTTGCATTTACATTTTATTGTAGTAGTAAGAGTTTTATCTTACAACTTATACTTTTGGTGACTATTTTATTTCAGGTTGACCAAAAACCAATAGATTTATCCTCTGACGTTGGGCAAAAGCTTGCACAAGCATTAATACTTCCTGAAAAGGTGCAGGAATTTGCAATATGCAGAGAAATATTGATGACTCATAATAGTAAAGTTATGTTTGAGTCAGTATATCCATTTATGTCAATTTTTATAACATACAATTTATCAACATTTTTAAACAAAAAACTTAATTTATATGCTGCACCAGTGGCTATTCGAGCTTTTCTATACAGTATCACTGGATTATTTGGAATAGGAACATACTTTCTTTTCAAGGATATGACAGAAGTTTATTATGAAACATACACTGATGAAACTCTAGCTGAACTTGATCCTGAATTTGTTGAAAGTGGTGTTATATTCTATGACAAACTTTTAGCTAGAAATCAAGCTTTAAGAGAACTAATGGGTACAAAAGGTGAAAGCAAGTATACTATAAAAGGCAACGAAAACTATACTTTAAGACAACCACATGTTGCATTAATTCATAGAAAACAATATTTTGCAAGCAAGTTAAAAGAAAAAACAGAAGATAATGAGAACCTAGACAAAATGATATAGATTATTGTGCTTATAGTATATATTGTAAATATTTAAGAGAATTTGCAAGAAATAAAGATAAAACTCATACCAAAATAAGGGCTTTTATTTTTTACAGTTTTGATTGTTATAAAAATTCAATTTACTCAGACTTGTGCATAACATTGGTTGACATAACTGGTATGACATATTTGGTAAATACGAATTTCTATGAAAAATTAAGTAATCGCTAAGATTTTATAATTTATAGAATCACATACCAGTATTTTAAATTATTCATAATTTGAACAGCTGGATTCAGGGCTTAAGATTGGCAGTTAAAGTGCTAATTTAAATATAGTTTTGATAATAAATTGTATAAGGCGTGTATTATTCATTATATTCAAATAGGGAGATATTCAGCTTTCGTTATACGTATACAGTTTTATCACAGGGATACAAATTTGTAAATTCCATAATATAATATTATCAAATAACTAATTTCGGAATTGGTAGGAAATGGATGTAAAAAAACCAATGCTGGATATGAAAAACTATATATCATTATTTACTGCTAATATATAACAGATTAATAAACAATCGTTACGTCCTAAATCTATCATGTCTATTGGCGAAGTACAATACGGCCGACGTAACTTGGCAAGCGCAGAAACGTTCTTTAGGATGTTAACGGTGGTAAGAGCGAGGGGCGCAGGACGAAGATCTAGGCTAGTGATTGACTCAGTGTCAACACAATCGACCGCTTATTCTATCAAATTTTGTAATCGATTTTTATCCATTTAGAATGTGGATTTTAAATCGTATGAGATACTGTACTAAATGGATTGATGAACACAGTGAATGGTGTATTTTTTTTTTGCTGAGGCAGCAAGCAAAAAAATACATAAATATTATATCTATTCAATAAATACCGTATTTTCCGTACCGTCAGTTGAACGGAAAACTCGAAGTGTCGTTCTTACTTGTAGACAGCTTTACAGTTTCGACCATAAAGGCGCTAGTTATCCGATATATTCCGATCCGATTATAGGCGATAGTTAGGAATCCTTATCTAGCAAATTGACAATTATCAAATTTACCATCCTATAGTAGACAAACTGTACTTTATTACTTTGTAGTCTGTGGGCTGCATTAGGGTAAAATCTAATACAAATAATCACAATATAAATGTTTCATTTTTTTAGTTCTCGTTTTCTCGATTCAGTGATCATTTAAATTAATGCTTAGTGTTGTTTTAAATCAAATTTAGATATTTTAATCACATTTTATCTGATGCACTGAATAATTATTTATTCTGCAAATGAAATCAACTGTTATGTTTTGTTAGTTTATCATTTTCTTTGTGTGTGCGTGTTTTAAGACTAACATTATCATTGTCATCGCGTTAAATATTTAAATAAAACTTTCAAAATGTGTGGTGGGTTTACGTGTTCGAAAAATGCTCTTATAGCACTGAATATTCTTTATGTGGTAAGTTGCGGATTCAATGTTAAATAACAGCTGATGCTACGCTTGATCAACAATCTGATGAATGAAATTCCAACAGGTTGTAGCTTCGATCCTCATATCGGTGGCTGTTTACGGACAGGCCTCAGCCCTTACTACGTTACCAATTGTGGGGGGCATTATGGCTTGTGGTATTTTATTAATTCTTATATCATTACTGGGCCTAGCTGGTGCTGTCAAACATCATCAAGTGATGTTGTTTTTCGTATCCTTTTTAAAATGTTTTAAATTAGGTGGAATTAAATATATATACATAGTAATAAATTGGTGAAGACATGATTTTGTAATCTATGCAACATATTTCATTGCTATATGTGTTCATTGCGCAAGGAGGTATATGAATGTAACTTTCTGCAGTTTCTTTTTTAAGACTTGTTAGTAATTATTAGCTCTATAATTATATAGCAAAATTTTAATTCAAACTCATCAAAAATTGAGTAGCTATCAACTTAATAAGCCATCCTTATGAATGTAATCAGTACATGGTGATTTTATTCCTCTTGTTCCTGGTGCAGTTTTCAATCGCATGTGCCTGTCTTGGAGTTAATTCTGACCAGCAAGAGATGCTCGCTCAACAGGTTGGGTCTTTTTCTTTTCCATTTCAGTTTAATAATTTTAAATTGATGAGGAAATTAGAAATGTGAGAAAAAGATTGACATAGGTAGGATTCGACTTTATGGTCAATAACACCATTGGCAATCAATCAAGTACTCATATTGGGTCTGAGTTCAACTTATGTCATCTTTCTAAGCTATTCTATGTTATGTCATTTAACACTCTATACTCAAGGTATACATCTTATTTACAGGGTTGGAATTCAGTTGATATTGATATGAAGGCACAGGTTCAAGAACAATTCCAGTGCTGTAGTTTTAAAAGCAGGCCTATTACAAATTCTACTTCTAATTATCCTTCCTGTGATATTGTTGATGTAAGTTTTAACTTGAATTTATATGCAAGTTATAACACTGCACTGTTTTATAAGGTCTAAAAGATGTCAAGGTTTTAACAGAATAGTGCATAATATTGGTCATGTGTGCATATATGCTATATACATCATATTTGCTGATATCAATTTCTTTATTGAATGAATATTATTTCTAGGGATAAAATGTAATTAATGAAGTTCTTATATATTTTACTGTGCATGTTGTTTTTAGAGCATTTGCTGTAACCACTTGCCTGTTACTGATGATTGTAAATGTCAACCATGTATGAAGGAACTCAAAGGAATAATTAACTACGCTTTTAAACTGTGTGGTTGCGTTGGACTTTTCTTCAGTTTTACTGAGGTATGTTTTAGAAATATAGATTTTTATACTTCTCTATTGCTAACTTCCTTCTCTTGTATAATATAGTAATACATTTTATCAAAGGTTTCTACATGAGACACGCACACTTTAATGTAAATAAATTTGTAATGGTTTATATTTTTGGATCTTACTGGATAAATACAGAGGGAGTAATTTAATAAATTAAATAGACAGCCTTGTTGCTTGAGTTGAAACAGAATGTTGCTTAAACCTTGTTTGTCAAACCAATTCGGATTATTATTTTCTGATATTATAGAAAGATACATATTAACATCTGGAAAATCGGGCCTTTAAATGCTCAGATTATAATGGGAATACCGAAATTTTGTTTGGTCACAAACCTTTGTCTATAGATGGCAAAAGATGTGAAGTGTACGCGGTTTGGGTTTCGTTCTGCGGTTTTCCGAATTAGGCATATCGTCTCTTCTTCATCATCTTTATAGGACGTTCGCATTTCTCTTTTCATAAAGTGAACCATTCTCTTTTCATTCTTTATCTACAGATACAGTGATCTTATGTTCTAATACTTGCATCATTTAAAATGATAACATGATGTATCATGTTACATCAATCTGAAAAAGATATCTGTTAATACATTGACAGATAACTTTTTTCGTAAACACATTGATAATACTTTTATAAGCATGCCAGGTAAATTGGTGTAATGGTTCTTAACATTTAGTATAAGTGAAATGCAATAACTAACATTTGTGTCTAACATACTGTCGGATTACTTTACAGTTTCTGGGTGTGTGGTTGACAGTAAGATATCGCAATCAGAAGGACCCTCGCGCTAACCCAAGCGCGTTCCTTTGAATGCTTTCTGTGGACTAATCAAAGGTGGAATGGTTTCGTGCTGATGTTTCATAACATAGTCTTGTGCTGCTTGTCTTTTGCACTTTTGAGTTTTGTTATTGCTATTTGCACCTTTTGCATGCCTTGGCAAATGCACTCTTTAGATTGTGAGGCGAATTTTATCAGACTGCCGGTCTAATTTCTCTAAATTATAAAAGCTTAAAATTGCTATCAAAGGGCGGACTCGACTACATCGCGGTAGCGTACTCTTTATATATTTATTCAATATATTATAAGCTTGTTTGTAAATTTGATAAAAACTGTGAAAATTATATCTAGATTCAACTATTACTTTAAGCCATCATTAAAAACAAAATGTGTTCGTAAAAGCCACATTTGATAACGACTTATGTGCGTCTACTAAAGCTAAACTGTTATGTAAATAACTGATTACTATTTCCTTCGTTATTATCATATTGGCATAGTTAATATTTATTCACGTTATCATGGCTTAAAATACTCGCTTAATATTCTAGCGCAAGCGCATTTATGTTGTTTCTAAAGTTTTTATATATAAAGTGTGTTAATTCTTAAGTAAAAAACGATTGAAAATTTACTACACGGGCGGGACTTGAACTGGCAACCTTCTGTGCTGCTACTCTAACCAATTAAGCTACCGTGTCCTGCTTATTTTCATTTGTATATGAAAATGTTTAGACTTTATTTCAAACGCATTGTTATATAGATATCTCAATAATTTGCTTCTAATGATCCTAATTTGAGCACTGCAAATTCTTATACTATGTCTGTATGAAGGCGTTTGTTTCTATAGATATTTCACATTTTATAGTAAATATTGATTTTATTTTCCAGCTTTTCGCCGTATGGATCGCCAGACGCTATCGAAACCAACCAGACCCCACCTACAAAGAACCGCATGCAGTGTTCCCTAGAAAAAACTACTTATATTAACTCAGTTAATCTAGTATAGCTAAATACCCTTCAAATAAGGGCGATAGATGCAATTCTTTCAAACTCATACCAGTTCGTACTTCAAATCATTATAAAGATCATGGTGAATACTGTCTATACTTTACGCGAGTAGTAAACATTTAAACTTTAACGGTTTAAAACGCTATATATTAGTTAAAGTGCTGCACGTCTGCTGCAAAGGATTCGGAACGTCGGGCCGAAGTTAAAAATCATTTTGAAATAAGTTTAACTGATACATCGCGTTTTAAACCGTTAAAGTGTTTTATTTAAAAGATCATGGTGTAGAAATTCTGAACAACTCTGAATGCTTCGAATATTTTTTCTAGTTTAAAAATATACTGTTAAATACCTATCAGAACAATAATCTATTATCATTAGGAAATAAATATATATTTTGTTAAGATAGTCTTGTTAGCGATAATATTGAATACAAAAGTCATTGATAGCGCGTTGTGCTACTGTGGTTTTAATTTTATTTTACCGTACAGGGTCTCCGAGATTATTTTTCCCGTATATAGGTAAAATTCGTGGGTGCAATTTGAAAATACGTTTGTAGCGCCAATAGAAAATGAAATTCAGAATGAAAGTTCTACTTCTAAAAGAGTGGGAAAGGACGTTTAAACAATAAATTTCAAGCAGATACATTAAAAAGCGAATTATTGGTTTTTAATTTGTGCGTAACGATAATAAGACAATTATGGTTGTAAGATATGTTTCTTGCCGTAAGTGTAAAAAAATTAAATAACCAACAAATATTACTTAGCAAAATATTAAGTTTCCACCCTGATGACTTAGCCACGGTTTTAACGTAAAACTACGTCTATTTGTAGCAGTTAAGTGAAGTGATGCTCAGTGAAATAAATATTATTTTCTCCTAGATTAGTTGAATCTCCCCGGTTAAGAGTTCGCGATTGTATATCTCTTAAATATTGTACTTTACTTAGTTTCAGCTTGATAAAGTGTTATATGTACATTTTGATTCCTAGTCGTAAGGTAATAAATAGGTAAGAATGCTTTAGAATTCAAATTATCATTACACATGTATTTTAGTCAGTACCTTTTTTTTTTTGTTATTTTATAAACAATCAACTATTTACCTTGCGGTAGCATCGTAACTTATTAAAGTTATTTCGAATTTCTGTGTCTACAGCTTTAAAATCTCGTAAATTAAAGTACGAGTATATTTAATGTATAAGTTATAGTCATTTTGTAATTGATTTGTGCTAGATGAATTGTGTTTCTTCCTGATATAGATAAGCTTAGTTTTAAGAGGTAGTTTGGTTTGCTTTTCAACTAACTACCTGTGTATTTGTGTAATGAATCCTAATAAAATGTTGCGCATCAGTATATGTTTAATTTTTCAGTTTTGTGTACAAAAATTTGTTTGAACTTCCTTTCAAATTACTAATTAAGATACTTGCTTTTAAAAATGAGTGATCTTTTTACAATTATTCAATCTATATAGTGAAGTATGTATACGAGTTTATTTATTTACTTACTAGTTGTGCCCGCGACTTCGACCGTGTAGAATAGGGACTTGAGATGGAATTTTTAATTATTTAGGCTGTTTATTAATTTATGTTAGGGCACATTTATGGCAGTTAATCTATGTTGTACTACTTTGCCGCAACACTCTCACCTCACATCACTCCTACTCTAACTCCCACTCTTATTCCTACACTTACTCTCACTCTGACTCCCACCCCTATACCCAAAAAGCCAAAGAAGAAAGTTTCATTGTTCTAGCTTCAAAAACCACGAATTGACATACAAACTTTCAACCCCTATCAAACCTTTAAAATATCTGTGTACCAAATTTCATTTAAATCAGTTCAGTAGTTTCGGAGTTAAAGCCGAAAAAAAAATCGAAAATTATATAGTGCCTTCATGTGCAAGAAGTATACTTTACACCTTGTATACAATGCATACATCATATTATACAAGTTATTTAGCTTAATAGGAATTGGAGAATCAACATTTTAATTTATTTCAGGGTATATACGATATACAAGTTCCCAAATTAAGCAGATAAGCTCATGAAACTGCGCAAGTTTTTCACGCACTGTCCGCGCCCAGTTGGGGCGGGGGGACACGTCATTTGTGCCGTCGCACCAGCTCAGTCGCTGTAGATTCCATCGATCCACTGATCGTCATTGTATTAGATAATCTAAAGTAGTGCTTGCCAACAACGATGTCCTTCGACACAGATGAACTACGCGATGAGTAAGTATCTTTTTACGGACCTATCACTAACGCCTCGCTCGATCTATAAGTTTTCCGAAGACTGTCCTATGTATATAATACGAAAACTCTCCATAATAATTAAAAGTATAAGAGCTAAATTGAACTATTTTAACATAAATATATGTACGATATTACCTACCACTCTCGATAAAACATAAAAAGGGATATTATCAGTGTACTGTTTATACTTCTTCTTTAATGCCTCATTTAAACAATAGGTAAAAGATGAAATGATTTGTTTAACATATCCTTGTGTGAAAATACGATTACTTAGAGTTGTATATAAGTAAACAATGGGATGCCTAGGCACTCACCTATTGCCTATCACTAAAGATGAATCTAGGTGAACTTGACTTGACCCCATTTGTCTCCTAACCCAGTTAAGTTTAAGTAGTTAGTTACCTTTTAGTGATTACGGAGATATGGAAATTATATGCGATTAAAAATTGTAGATATTTCAAGCTATATTTATTTATATATATAATACACTATTGAAGTAAAGGTAAAAATTTATTTGTCATTTAACAATTAGAGATACATTCAAACTGCTTTTATGCGCTAGCTTGATATATATCAACTAAAGTATGTTATAATATATAAAATAAAAGTTAATTTTCAATTACTGAAGAAAAATTTGAAAAACTTGAATTACGTATAGTACCTATAGGGTAGGGTCTCCTTTTTACGTGTGGGTCTGTCATCTTTAAAAGGATCTATGCTATTGCAGAGATCATGAGGATTCGAAAGTACCTACTTGTTATTTTCTACCCAAAGAAGCCGAATTTTAGAAAAAAAAACATATAAGACACTGACAATGAATATCTCTAAAATATAGTGTTGTTGATTGTTTTTTTTTATAAATGAAAAACAAATAGAAACTTAATCGCGTTATCCGGTATTGATTGGTATCAGTATTATTAATGAACTGTTGACCTAGTCGTCGATATTATGTGTTATGACGCACGTAATCAAAATACATGAATTAAAGCTTAAAGATGTTTCTAGTTACCTCTCCTCTGTTAGTTATTTACAGTGCCTTAATATAATTTATTATTTCACTGAAATTTATGCGGCCGGTCTTAAATCAAACTATTTTAACGGCTTAAACCAGGAAATATATTAGTTAGCGTGCGGGCTTAAGATTATTATTATTCGAAAAAAAAAATGTATACTACGTAACACCAAATGTTTTTGCGCAGCTTGCAATAAGACCACGTAATTAAGCTTAGAGTTTTCGTAATGTGTTTGCGGTTTGCATTGAACTATCGAAGTTGGAGTTGTATTGAAAATAACCACATTGCATATAGTGCTTCTCCTGTGTAGACGTGTTGAATTGTGACTACGAAGTGCAACGGATAACAGTAAGTAATTTTCACTTTATTATTAGCCATTGATGTCTATATTTAAGTATTTTAATTGCTTCTGAAACATATTAAGAAAGTCATAAAAAAGTTGAGAAAGATTTAAAAACTTTAAGACAAGGAACAAATTATTGTTCGATAAAATTATGCTATTGTAAACCAATATTGTACAATAAGAGGAAATGCTTTAAATTAATTTTGAATAATTCGACATTAAGGAACTAAATAGAAACTTTACTTTAGTTACAGTTTTATATAATATTTCCTTTCTGCATGTAACTGCTAAATATTTTTGGATCCCGAGTAGGTATATAAAAACACCAATTCAAAATATACCGTTAAAGTGTTAACTTCAATTTTTTCAGTTACATAGATTATATAAAAAAAATAGGACAACAGATTGAAAACAATAAATAAATAATCTTAATATTGTGATAACTTTCATCGTGACGCGATTGTTAAATAAACAATTGTATTCGTACGTTACCTTTGAAATCTGTTAATAATATCGGTCCTGATACGTAAAGTAATTATATTTCAGCAAAAAATATGCCTTTAAACGGCGCAGACGCTGCCATTGGTAAGGATCCTGCTGAAAATGGAAACCACGCCTCTCATCAACCAAATGGAAAGGTGTATGATGTTAATTACGAAGAAGAGTCACACAATGATATAAATGCCGTAAGGTTGTAAATTTTTTATTGAAAATTAATAAAATTATAATGTATTTCAATAAGATTTTAACTATTTACGAATTGAATTATTAACGAAATTATTCAGTAGTAGTAGTTAAAAATACATGACGTAAATATGTCTAAAATAAAACATTGTAACAGCCGTGACCACGGCTACTGCAAAGCATCTGAAACGTCGGGCCGAACTTAAAAATAATTTCAATAATTTAATTAATATATCTCGCGTTTTTAACAGTTAAAGTGTTTGAATTAAAGGTGAATTACTAGCGTAAACTAAAGACAGTATGGCTAAGTTACAAATCTAGTCTTATATTGGAACAGAATCAAAAATACGACAGTTTTGATGTGTAGGTACACATCTACTAAAATAACTACGTAGATTTTATAATATGTTTATATGTTCAGCGTATTTGTAATCGATATTTATTATTTACAATTTTTTTTGTTTTTTTTCTAGTTATTTGTTCGTTTTCGTATTTATTCTTGAATTTACGTAATTATTATATTAAACCAGGACTTGTCGATTTAATACGCGTTTTTTATACTTAGTTCTTATACTACATGACTGTTTCGGTTATGAAAGTAGCTTTATTCTCAAACATTATTGTTAATTTTATTTTTCTAGATACCCCGATGGTTCAGTGCGGCTACGAAACCCGAACATCGAACTCATGGATCAAGATATATTGTACCACCTCGCATTGGGCAGTGGGTCACACGATCTCGTGGAAATGTTTGGCGATGTTAAGGTAAGCAGTATATTAGAATACAAAATTTAGTTAAGATTCCAGTGCTGACCAATGTAAAAGTTTTCGTCACGTTTGTAATAACGTTCACTGGGTCATTACAAAAGACTGTTGAAGTTCTTAGTGAATGGTTGTTATGACATAGCATTAGCTAATACTCTTAAGATGAAACTATACGTATTGTAAATTTTATACAATCACAGACTTATTTATTTAAATTGCTCGATCCAGTACATATGCCAATTTTGTATAGTCTTCATTAATATCAAGTGAGAACGTTTGATGGGCTGGTATAATGCTAGCGACCTATGGCTAACGATCAACGGGTCGTGGGTTCGATTCCCGTCGGGTCTAATATGTTTCCAATCAATTCATATTATTTCTGAAATATATTCGACTTCGTCTCAAGATATTGAATGGGCAGTAATAACGAAATTCCGTCCTTGTTACCACCGTTTGCACCTCACAGATGAAAAGCTGTGAAGTTCTAACGCACTTCGGTTTCAGTAATTGTATTTCCGAATATCCAAAGCCAAACAGGTCGACACCACATCTTGTTCAGATGTTATATGGCTGTGGTATTTCACCATCAAGTTAATACCATGCTTGTCTGTCCTATAAATATATAATATAGAAATACTCTCGTCGCGTATTGTTTTAAAAGATATAAATTTGTGCCTGGCGGTCATTTTTAGTTTGTCTGCTTGGGCGGCACGCCTAAACGCATGGAACAGTTTGCCTACAACATAATGGCAGAAATCGGCTACAAGTTGCCATGTGGGACCACTCTGCAGGATATAAGCCATTTCTCCTATCGGTATTCGATGTACAAAGTTGGGCCTGTGCTGTCTATAAGTGTAAGTTGTTTTTATTTATTTAACAATTTTAAATGCGATAAATGCGGAATTGGCTACATTTCATCAAAACACAAAACCATCATTTCACAAAAGTGTTATGTCATGTTGCGTGAAACTTTACTTTTAAATATAAAAGACTATACTTTTAAAATTGTTATGTTTTTGTAGATTTCCTCATTTTCCTTCATAATAGATTTTTTTTTGTTAATTAACAAAATGAAAAACCCTGTACAAATCTCTTTTCCACTTCGAACTGGTAGTAAATGTGAAGTTAGATTGTTTAGTTTTGTGACGTTCATAAGTGTACCTAGTGACCTACATGAATAAATGATTTTTGATTTTTAATACTTTTTTTAGTAAGCCATTATTTATAAATTGTCTCAAAAAGGTCGGTTACAGCGTAACTGTACGTTGGTATTAAGCATCGAAATATTCCACGACACTGTTCAATTGTGATAAATGAGCAGCGTAGAGCTATCACTTGCTTCTCTTGAGAATTATATAATTGGTAAGAGGACAATTGAGATAATCGGTCTTGTAGGATGTTCTCAATCAATGTTAAATTGCTCGTCAAAACTTAATAACTCTGGATGTATTTACTAGGCACTTTAATATTTTTCACATTTTATTGCACATGATGGCACCAAATGAATTAAAAATCGATAATAAATTGAAAAAAAAATGGTACCGATTTTTAATTTATCAGGCACTTTTTTAAATAAATAACCCGTTTCTGTGTGCTGGCTAAATCCAATGGGCAGATGTTATATGGCAAAACTTTGGACGTGCTGGATTGTGTCAACACGATCCTGTGTCACCGGGAATTGAACTTGACCAACACACTCTAGCTAAATCTATATTTGCAGCATGGAATGGGCATACCATCAGTCGGAATCCTCCTTCACGAAGTGATAAAGCTAATGTACCACGCCAAAGTGCAGGATCCGGTGTTCTTCAGGATAGGTACCTGTGGTGGAATTGGCAATGAGGGTGGGACTGTTGTTATATCTGAGGAAGTCGTTGATGGAGCGCTGCGTAACGTTTTGGAACTGGTAAGAAGTCCAACAAACTAGTTTTAGTATATAGTACATCGTTTTATCGTAGGTAGTTACAACACGATCCTAATAAAATTGCAGCTACTTTGAGAGATTGAATTTCGAACTTCGATTGATTGAAGAACTTATTTTTTGAAAACTTTAATATATTTCACATGATGGCACTATATACTTTAAAATCGAAAATAAATTGAAAAAATTTTCGACTTGGGCAGGATTTGAACCGGCATCGTCAGCCTTCCGTGCTCTAACTACTTATTGAGCTACCGAGTCCCTACATCGTCGAAAATTTTCAACTTATTGATTTCACCTCTCGCGCAATGTAATTTCAACCTTAATACGCAAGCACGGAACGCTGACGATGCCGGTTCAAGCCCTGCCGAGTCAATTTTTTTTCGATTTTTAAATTAACTTATTTACTCTGGCGTAATGTGAAAACTGATTTCTAACCGCAATGATAATACGAAAAACTTTCGTACTTTGAAGAATAAACAATCAAATTGATAAGTTAAAAAAAACTAAAAAACCAAACAGAAAAACAAATTATAATACATACTTATAAAAAAATAGTTATATTCAATGTTTCATGATATTAAGTGAGAAACCTTAACTGGCATGATTACTACTTCACGGATTCAAGATTATCGTAAATACATCAAACCGTATGAAATCATATTTGCAATTGCACTACTCTATGCATTATGACTACACTCTGTATATAGTATAGTTCAGTGGCAAGGCTGAATGATAACATTCCTATGTTTCGCAAAGTGATTGTATGTTCCTACGCAACCGTTCTTCAAAGGTTGTTTCAAGTGAACCAGTTTTATTGATAGATTCATGGCTATCATATATCATAACCTTTTTATGCAAATAAATATTGAATAGAGAGATATTTATTGAAAGCACTTTTTTGGGTCACATATATTGGAAACACAGGATATGTATTTTTTTTTTACAAAGACAGATCACAAACAGTTACCTATCGGAAAAATAATCGAAATGACTTGTTATATATTTAACATTTAAGGTACATTGGGCTCGTATCACCTAAATTTAACTTCCTTTTAGATATTCAATACAAATATCATTTATTGACATAAAACAAGAAACAAAATATAACAACAAACTCATACAATATAGTAAAAAATTGCGAGCGCGCAAACGCGTTTTTAAAAAGAAATAAATCATCAATTAATTACGTGTACCTACTGTCTGTAGTCTATGCGAGTAGTACACATTTAATTAAAAAAACTTTAACGGTCGAAAATAAATTGAAAAAATTTTCGACTCGGGCAGGACTTGAACCGGCATCGTCAGCTTTCCGTGCTGTTGCTCTACCAATTGAGCTACCGAGTCCTACACCTCATCGTCGAATTTTTTCAACTTATTGAGTCCTGCCCGAGTCGAAAATTTTTTCAATTTATTTTCGATTTTTAAATTATATAGTGCCTTCATGTGCAATAACATGTGAAAAATATTAATGTTTTCAAACTTTAACGGTTTAAAACGCGATAAATATTAGTTAAACTTATTTGAAAAGTATTTGTAACTTAGGCCCGACGTTGACGACGACGGCTGCTGCAAAGCGTATAAAACAAAGTAAGTATTAAACCGTTAAAGTATTTTATTTAAATAATTACGTGTATTCAAGACATCCGGCCGATAACATACCTATTTCCCGACTTTTTTGTTGAAATGTTCATTCCTGACTTTGATTCTGTATTCCTTCTTAATTTTATTTAGAATCATAAACGTAGTGTGTCTTCGCCTATAATTTGTATTACATTCATTTGTAAAAATATAGAAGAATGCAGAAATGTATATTTGTAAAAATCCGCATGTCATTGTAGTGTAAATTAGCAACGAATCCGGTAAACTCCGCTTTATGATTTTATTTGTGGTAATTGTTGTAGGTGCAAACTAGCTGTTACGCCATCTCTTATAAAATATATTAAAATTACAGACAGTCCTCGGCAAGACACTGCAGAGACCAGCCAAATTAGACAGGCGGTTGGCCCGAGAGCTGAAGGCCTTGGCCGACCCTGAAGACCCTTACGATACAGTCACAGGGAAGACAATGTGCACTTATGATTTCTACGAAGGTATCATTACTGTTATCTATACTAATATTATAAAGTTGAAGAGTTTGCGTGTGCAATCTCAGGAAATACTGGTTCAAGTTAACCAATTCAATTCGAACCAGTAGTTCAAGTATGAAAATTATTGATATTCGAGGGTTAAATATGGAAGAAAGAATGGTCCTCTTTAAATTTCCTAAAAAATGTCCACGACAGTATAAGTATGTCTATCGCTTAAGATTTACTTGCAAGAACGATAAGCGCTATCTATACTAATATACGCGCTAATCTCAGGAACCACAAAGTTCGAATAATTGAAAAATTATTTTTGTGTTGGTTAAGGCATTTATCGAGGAAGGCTATATTACCCTGTAACTAATACAAGCGAATATGCAGCGAGAAATGTGAAAAAAATTGGGAAAATTATTCATCATGATGGGTTTCCGTGTTTCCGAGGCGTACATGTATGAGAGAGATTCTTCATTAAATGATAAAAAAAGTCTGTGACGCTATATGTCTATTTTTTATGATTGACTTGCAAGAACAACGGGAAGGGATGCGACCGACCGTAGGTAACAGCATAAGTTTATAATGATGAAGGGGTTCGCAAAAACGAATTTGGATGCCCATAATAACGATTCTCGCGGTCGAAGTCGCTGACACAGCTAGCTAAGCTATAAGCTTCTGAGCCTCAATGATTATTATTTATTAATTTTCTAACTTACATACATAATTATTAGTAAGATTAATCAAAGCCGGTAATAAAACCGCCTCGCGGTGTATGCATACCGTTTTTAGTACCCTACGACGACCGTAAAAACTATTTTAAGTCCCAACATTGTCCTGTGTATTACTGTCTAAGTTTTTCAAGCACAGAGGTAACATGTACACATACGTTTGCCATTCGAATTGCCCGTTGGGAAGAAAAATAAGTTGCCTCAGGTTCCTAGGTCTCACTGTGTACTTAAGCGACGGAACCCTTTCAATTTCTTGGCACAGTATCTTTAATTATCTTGCAGTACTCAAACAAATCGTTCTCGTCCCGTCGTGCCAAAATAGTACCTAACATATTTTGGTACAATTGAGGATACGCACTTAGTAAATGTTCGAATTTCAGGGTAGTAAAAGTTAAAGCAGTTTAAATTTTTTTGCCGTAGGAGAAATGATCACTGTACCATATTAATAATACTTTTGCTTAGGTCAAGGCCGTTTAGACGGTGCCTTCTGCGATTTCACGGAGGCAGATAAAATGGAATATCTCGAAAAGATTCACAAGTCGGGCGTGATGAATATCGAAATGGAGTCGTTAGCTTTCGCTGCGCTTACGCATCACGCTGGGATTAAGGCGGCCGTTATTTGCGTCACAATCCTTGACAGATTGAAGAGTGATCAGGCAAGATTATTTCTTACTTATTCAATATATAATACCCCTCTATACTTTTCGAATAGAAGTAAAGTATTTATCCTCTTTTTTGTAATATCTTCTAATATATAAAGTTCTCCTGTCACAGTGTTAGTTACCGTACACCTGCGAAACGGCTTTACCGATATTCACCAAATTTCATATGTGTATTCAGTAGATCTGAGAATAGGACAACATCTATTTTTCATCCCCCTAAGTGATAAGGGTTGTTAACCCTTAAATTTAGTTTTTATTTTTTTGACGATTTTTTTTTTCTACTGTGGCATTAAAAAATACATACAACCCTACATTTTCACCCCTCTACGATCAACCCTTATTTTTATATGGCAAAGCAACGTTTGCCGGGTCAGCTAGTTAGTAATATACTAATGTGTGACACAAAATTGAAGAAAATGAGGTCTAAATTAAGTACATAAATAAAGTTTTAACCCAAATAGTTGATAATAAAATAATTTTTAATTTAACTTTTAGGTCTTGGCACCAAGGGAAGTCTTAGATGAATGGCAACAGCGTCCAACAAAACTTGTCTCGAAGTACATCAAAAGGTACATATCACTATAAAAGTACAGACTATAAAGGTCTTAGTAAAGCGATACACCGCCTTTTAGTTTCTGTTTTATTGTTTGTATTAGGAATTAAAGAGTTATTTGTTAGCAATGAAAATCTGTGTTTTTAGTGCTATTTACGTTATTAGTAGACATTTATACGAAACACATTTAAACGGTTTAAAATCCAGAAATATTAGTTAATTATTATTTTACCTGCGCCTAGACGGATGCCTTGTTTTACTCGTTTCGCCTCTTGAGCCAGGGCTTCTGCAAAGATTCTGTAACGCTAACTAATTGTATTTCGCGTTTTAAAACGTTGAAGGTGTTTTATTTGTTTGATTATCCAATTAAGAAAATACATGACACAAAAAATATAATTTTACTTTGAACAAAAAGTGTTGCCAGAGAAATAAATTAAAGAATTAAAATTTAAGTTTATTATATTAAGCTTTTTTTTTTGTTCTTTACCAAGTGTTCCTGAAGCTTGATAATACACTTTTTTAACTTGTTGACTTAAAACTAAACCTACACCGATAAAGTACAATATACCTACACAATAAAAACATATGATAAAGTAGACTAAAATTAAGAGATAATGTATTCAGAAGACTTAGTTTAAGCAAAAAAGTCGCTAAAAATTGAGGTGCTAGGGAGATAGATAAAGAAATTCTTATAAGTTATAAGTTTATTATATTTTAATTTTATATTTTATTTAAAGCTTTCGTGACGGAAATTTTCTGACTGTGATAGCGTTTATATGATTTTTCGTACGCGATCTATTAAGGTTAAATATGTCGATGTCACTGTATTATTTGTTGTAATTATCGGGTAGGCGATGCATGGTTGAGTTATTGAGATAATGTTGGATCGATGGATGTGACAAAGGGCGGATTAAATAAAATTCTGTTTAGGTACCTGCAAATGAAGGGTCGCCTCTCTTTGGATGGACATGGCTCGATCGCAGTGAAGAGTCCTCGACGATTTAAGTTGGTGCAGCAAGAATCCGAAACGTACGATTAAATTAATATATCAGGTTTGAAAATAGCCCGAAGCGAAGATTAATCTAGGTATGCTGGAAAACGAAGATTTGAAAGTTCGTGAGTTGCCAGTATTTTCAGAGTTCAAATAGGTTTTAAGTGCGCTATATTTTATTTTGAAAATATCGTTTTTTTTTGTGTCGCCAGTTCAAAATATTTAAATGAATGTTATTTAACACATATCCTGCGTTCTTTGCAATATGTAACTTGTAAAGTTTTAATACTGACACACGCTAGAATTGTAGTTCACATATTTGATGCGTAGTTATTTTTATCCGTATATACTCTTGTTAATACTGCCATTGAACAAACACACTGTACGTATATGTTAGTTATTACTTATACTCTTACAGAATATGATGAGAAGTTTTTATAATATTATTACTTCGAAGCAAGCAGTTTTGAGTTTATGAATGTTTTCAATCAAATGTTTGAATATTTTTTTTTATCAAGACGTTTTAGCCAATGAAATATCTTGTATATATAAGCTTGAACTATTAGTTTTGATAAAGATGTCTGGTAAAGATTTACATGCTTTTTTCTGTATTTACTTGTATTTCTTAAATTTTTACAAGCTTTCGAGAGTACTTAAACTCGAACTCGTATAGAGTAAATAAAATCAATACATACATATCTATACTTTCTAAAAGACCAACCCGATTCTAAAATGATTTTTTAAAAGTATACATAAAGATATCAAGTTTAATTGACCAAGCAAGGTCTGGTGTTTCTTTCTCACGACTAACAATTTTAATCTACTTATTACTGTAGGCTATAAGTTTAAAACCTTTAAATAAATTAATATATAAGTTTAATAAAATTTAGGCAATTTTGATCTGAAAGATTTTCAAGAAAGAAACATCAACGACTATCGTAGTTTAATGAAAGCGTATCGAAGTAGAAGGCAGTAACAAGAAATACGCATAAATTATAAATGAGGACGATATATACTTATTATACAAAAAAAAACATTTTTTTTTGCAAAACACACTGAAGTGAACTTCTGTGTCCTATACCAGTTTATTTGTTAAAGTATAGAATCCCACTAGAATTGCAGTTAAATATTTATAGGAGCTACTCATAACTGTGTGTTATGTATAGTTTTCAATGAATTTCATTTCTTTTGTACGTAAATCCTATACTATTTGTGGCACTTAGCTTGCACTGAGTAGTGTTTTAGGCTAAAGGATTTTTGAAAAATTTTGTTAATACATATCTTTTAAAATGTATTCTTAATGTTATCGTTACAACCAAATCTTGGTAGTTTTATTTTTACTCTAACTATATTTTTAACATCATGCCTAACTAAGTTCCTAAACGCGAATAATTTTAGGCAATTTTTATTACGATTTTGATCCTAAGTATCACTTGTATAGCCTTGCTATGTAATTAAATATAAAAATAACTTCTGCATTTAATGAGCGAAGATGCTGTGGTAGATCGTTTCCACGTCAACAGCCTCGTCCAAATTCTTACCTGGCGACAAAGACCTATAGTGCCAAAGACGAAGCGACCATCCTTCCGTCAGTACATCTAGGTAAAAGATCACAGCTTCACGATTGTACAATGGCTAGGCGTTAAGTACTAGTATACCTGTAGATAAAACTAGTACCTTAGCTTAGTTTCGGCTCTGAAGTCGATAAGTCTAATGTGCTTCCACAAAAGATATTGTATTTTATTGTTGTTAAATGTTCGTGCACAAACTGTTGTCGATAATCGCTTGAGGTGTTGATGTCTTATTGATAGAAGGTCGTAATTTTTATGAAGTTAAATATTATGTATGTAATTGAAATTGTAACGAAATATAAATAAGATAATATAGACATATTAAGATGGTTGCATTGCCCATTGTTGATTTATAGTCGCACTTACCAACGTTTAAGGTTATGATACACATATAGGTCATTATCACACTAGCGAATTGCGAACGGATCTGAACCCGAAAATCGAAGACACCGAGGAAGTAAGCGAATTCGATGCGTGTGCGCCGCGGGTTAGTTCCGTGCCCATTTCACATTGAAAAAGCTCGCAAACAGCTAGTATGATAATGAGGCTCTTTAATATTTTTAACAAATACCATATCTGATAAACATTTAGCTGACTATTGCCATAAACAAGGATTTTGTGTGATTGATAATTTTAGATATCACTTGTAATCTATCGCACCAAAATTGATATGTATTTTATTAGATATTTAAGTGTTGAAGGAGTAATTTGTTAAAATACAAATGGTTCACAATTTATACCTACCTGCAAAGTTATAGTTATACTGTAAGGTATAAAATACTGTCTATGTAATACTTCTTGTTCCCTGATCTGAACTTAATACAGTCTTAACTAAATCCACTATTTAAAAATAATCACTTCTGAAAAATCGCGATATTTTCATAAATGTTATATGACGGTGAGATATTACTGCTGATTGTAAATCAAACGAATCATTATTGCATTGGTTATTTATTAAGAGTTAATGATATAATAGTAGTTATTATTAAATGTTTGTCTTTAATATACCTACTACGGCTTAAGGTGTGTAAACAAATTAAATGTTTTTTTTCTCCAAAAACTTCTTTTTAATACCTAAATAGTAATTCATATATGTTAAAAAATAACTAACTAATTTTGAAATAAATCTTTCAACGGCTTAAACCGCCAAATATATTAGTTAACCTATTTTTAAGAACGGTCCGGCTGCTTAAAGCGGGGGGGGGGGGAAATTAAATAAAATCAAGTTAACTAATAAATTTCGCGTTTTAGATCGTTAAAATGTGTAGGTACTACTCGCGTAAACTACTGATAAAACTTAAACAAATTCAAGTAAAGTATCACTGGAGATCTAAAGAAATATTCAGTCTCAATAGATATTTATTTAAAACAACTTAAAAATAAGCAGTCGAAACAATATCACGTATTGTTTCAAAATGGCAACAAAAAGTTTTAGTGAGCAAATTTTTATTTACCGATATAAATTCAATTTATACCATCTATTTGAGCTGTAGGAACTTCATAAGCGCATCGTGGATGAGGCGAGGGCTGGCTTCACTATCTGCTGTGTACCGGACACCGCGCAGCGCCCCGTCCTCGTTTCTCACCACTCCGTATTCTCCAACTATAAAGCCATCTGAAGTCCTCTCTTCGACTCTATATTTCCTAAATTGTCTCCCTTCGACGACGTAACCTACTTTACAATTTTCTTGCTTACAATTCTCAGGGTTGTTCGGTTGCTCGCCGTGGCTACGTCCGTCTGTCATGACGCTTACCTTTTCATCTATTTCGTAATTTTTCTCCGGTTGATGTTCCACCGGTCGGTCGTTTGTATAAGGGTTAGTTACACCGTTTGAGGGTGTCGTGCTGTATGTGTGGGCGGTTGTATCAGTTCGCTGAATCCAGGGATTGCGACTTGTTAAGTCGTGGTCTGACGTGAGGTGCAATGAAGCTGGTTCGCTGTAAAACTTTGCCGGTTCACTATAAATTTTTGCCGGCTCGCTATATACCTTTGCCGGTTCGCTATAGATTTTTGAGGGTTCGCTATATACTCTCGCTGGTTCACTGTAAAACTTAGCGGGTTCGCTGTAAATTTGAGCTGGTTCACTGTAGATTTTAGGCGGTGCATTGTAATATTTTTGCTGCGACTGATTCGGTGCGGTATATGCACTTTGTTGATTATAACTTAATTTAGATGAATCGTGTACAACATTAAAACTAACTGTAGTGAGTTTTTGATTATTATAAGAGGGATCTCTCTGTATGTAACTTTTAGATGAATATGATAAAGGGATTGACCTAGCGATTGGAATATCGCCAATGAAGTGTTCATTTTTATCTCCATGTTTAACTGTTAAATCTTTTTGAAATCGGGTGTTTGACTCCGATTGTATTGTGTCGTTTAAGTGATTTTCACTTTGCGATGTTGCGTATTTATCGGCATCGCTAAATAATGTTCTAGATTCCTTTTTAGCTTGAAGCTGTTTAATATATTCAATATTAGCGCCGGCAAGATGAGGCGGTAGCTCTGTTATAGACTCTCTAACATTTTCTGTTGTTTGAAAAGTATTTGTGCCTAAATCATAGTTCGTGGCTGTAGTAAACGCACCAGTGACGTCGGCTAATGTAGTGAACGGTTCGTGGGTTGTTATTGCAACAATGTCTATAGCACCATTGTTTGGTTTTGTTTTAACGCCTCTCTCTACAGCTACAGATGAAGTTATCCTTACTGATATTATTTGTTCTCCCTGTTCTGAGTTACTATCGTGCTTTGGTATAACTTGAGCAGCTGCTATGTTTTGGTCATTGTAACTGAGCGGTTGTGTTTCCACCAATATCACCGGCAAAATCTGTAATTTAATGTTTATTCATTAATGAAGGAATTAAAAAAACTTGAATGAAAAAAGTAAATGTTTGTAAATAGGAATTTGAAGATTTAGAAGAGTAAACATATTAGATATTGGTTTTCTACGTTCTCTTTGTTATACTTTAAAATTAAGTTCTTTAAAAAATTTGCAGTTTAATAGATCCATTCGTGGAATTTAAGCCGGATGCGTACACTGAAAACCAAACCCCATTTGAGATACCGGTTTGACTTATAAAATATGTAGCTGAGTTGTCAGACGAACGAATATGATTGAAGAATCTCTTTACATATCCTTGCGAGCCTTTGTTACACGTTGTTTATATTATTAAAAATAATGTCCCCATTACCGTAAAGTTTAACCTTTTATTATCTCTTAAGTATCTGTTGGAACGTCGTATGAGATTTAAAACTGAGTTATGATTTCAATTTATTTTACCCTCTCTGCGTTATTTATGTTATTATATTGATCTTTACGAAGAGTTTAATTTATGGGTAGAATTATCATTCAACTTTGACAATAACAATAAATATATTGCAGTAAGCTCTTGTGAAACTTGTAAGGTATTTTAAGACGGAGACATTTAAGAGTCCTTGTTATCAATTTATCATTTAGATCAAGTACTTGAGGGCGGAAATCGTTAATTGAACGGCCTAGCAACATCGGGCGGCTGTCAGTGACCGCACAGCGACCTTGGGATCAAGTGTAGATTTCTAGACTACGGCATACGAGTACCTACAACTATAGCGATCTTTAAAAGGCAGGCGCACTTATAATATAGTAATTGAAGATCGGAATTTATTTATTAGTTATTATAGTTTGCAATTCAGACAGGGCTGATTATTAACTTATTAAGCTTATTATTGTTACAATGCTTCTTTGCATCACTGGTTAAAGATTTACTATTATTTATTTAAAAAACTAAGAGTTGTCCCTTGTAATAAATAAAACTAATATAACATCATTTCTTATAGACTATAAAAAGAATAGTATGCACAACAGAAATATAACTTAATCTAAATGTTTATTAATTTATTATAAATAATACTTAGAGACAGTTCCTCAGCAAGTTTCACCGGGAACAAATCAGAAAATACTTTGAGGTGATTAGGTTGTTAGTTTGAACCCCGGAGAATAATAATAAATACTATCGTCCGGGCAGGACACACCCTACACCTTAGAGAAAAAATAATTCTTAAGAGTTTTAAATGGAGTTTTGCAATATTATTTAACTGTTGACCATGTTGGTGTAATGCTATGAGCACCCGACATAAGTTAGTAAAGCAGAGAGTTCGAAAAAAACGTGCTAACTTGTAAGGAAACCACGTATTTCAACTCAATCCCAGCAGTGGAAACTATACAAAAACTGCTTATTTATGTATATACCATCAGCTAGTTGATGTCCGCCCTTACTTACGTCCTACGAATGTGTTGAGAATGCCTTGTCTCTTGACATTGAAATTTAAAGGCCGTGGTTGGTATTTAAACGTGTTACAATTCTTAACAATGGTATATGCGAGCGAGTAAATACGTCACGCATTTCTTCATCCAAATTTTAACACTTGGTTGTCAAAATCGTTTTTATCGTAAAACTTAAATCATTAAATAATGCTAATAATAGAATATTATAGAGAATAAAACACAGGTAGGTGTGTCTGAAATCCCGGCTGCCCTCTGTTTGTTTCTCTGGTTGATTTATGTAAGACAACAAGAGAAGTTAAGACGTAGACAATTTATTTACGTGGATTTGAATTTGGAACCTCACAAAAAGCAATGTGTTAAACCATCAAACTATGAAGGCGGTTAGTATATCATGTAATCTATATCTAAGCGCAACATAAATTAATCTCAATCCCTAAGTGGATATTCTTAGGCAAGTGATTAATTCGAATTACCTTATCATTCTACCCGCGTACTAGTTAGCCTTCAACAACCTTTTATCAAATGGTTTCAGAGGTCTAAAATAATAATTTTAACATTTTGAATAAAAAACGTCTTCTATTATTCAGTTGTATGAAACCCAGCCTACGATAGAATTTGGTTTTTATAGTTGCGACAGATTTCGACGGGCTTCTTGGTCTAATGTCAGCAATGTATGGCTACCAATCAACGGGATGTGAGTTCGATGCCCATTGGATCCACCGTGTTTCTAATTTTTAAATTTAGAATTTTTCTAATACATGTTGGACTTTGTTAAGTCTAGATGAACTACCGTCCATAGATAAAAAATAGTGTTTCCGTTTCAATCTGTGGTTTTCCGAATATCCAAAGCCAAAATAGGTGGACAGTGCATCTCGTTTCAATTATATATGGCTGGGCTATATCACCTACCCTCAAGTGAACAACATGCTTGTCTGTCCCCCTATATAATAAAAATAATAAGGATCTTGTGAGTTCTTTAAATAGCATTAGATACTATTTTAGTACCACATTAGACACAGGATAACTGACTAGGTCTAGGTCATTCTGCGTATTGATACACAAATCTACCAAGTGTCCTTAGTGCGTATTGAACTTTCCATTGTCTTAGCTATTAAGTGTCCGTATTGAATGCAGGGCGAGGCAAGAAAACCAGTTCTGATTTCCCAGATCGTGGCGTATTTTAAACGTGAATGCAAATAAATTGTAAGATGATAGCGAACTTGAAATAACAAAGATATTTTCAACACTGAACAATTGATATAAGAAAAATTTAAATAAAAATATTACTGTAACGTTTTAGTGGTAATACGTTATTGAAACTAAGAAAATATTTTTACGTTTTTGCACATAATAGCATTACAGAGATTAAAAATCGATTTTGAATTTTACAAATTTGACGACCTGCACAGCATCCACAGCGTTCAATGCCAACCAATTGAGCTACCGTAGTAGCTTTCTCAATCTAAAATCGATTTTTAATCTGTGAATTAATCTAGAAATATACCAGTTTATTTTAAAATCTTTATTATTTTTTACATGTTATTGCACATGAAGGCACTATACAATTTAAAAATCAAAAATAAATTGAAAAAAACTTCGACTAAGGTTGAAACCTTAACACTAGCAATTAAACACTTTGTGAAATTACATTGCGCGAGAGGTGCATGTATCAATAAGTTGTAAAAATTCAACGATGAGGTGTAGGACTCGGTAGCTCAATTGGTAGAGCAACAGAACGGAACGCTGACGATGCCGGTTCATGTCCTACCCGTGTCGAAATTTTTTTTAATTTGTTTTCGATTTTTAAATACCAGTTTATTATTTCGTATTCTGAAAGATAAAAAATCTAGTCGATATAAGCGGTGCACGGCCTGTTACTCTGCTAATTGAACCAATATTAAAAAATTGCTCTGTGCATAAAAGAATGTGTTTTGAGGTCTTAATAAAAGGAGGCACTTATCAAGGAAGTAATGTAGACCAGTTTCGTCCTAAACTTGATTAAGGAATCGCATGTACAGGATCAAGTTTATTAAAGATCACTGTGACATTTATTACTTCATACTGTTTTTAATGTCGAGACATGCGTGATGTTTTTTTGTTGTAACGACAACATAGCTCTAAAGAGCATAAAGCAATGAACGAAAATACAGAGAATGTTTCCTTTCGTCGTATGGGTAATTGTCTAAATAGTTTGCATATTCATTCAATAACACACTTTTATTATTTTGAAATACGCCCGGCAAACATTATTTTTCATAAGTTGTATAGTAAAACGTATTTTATTAATTTGAGCTAATTTATATAAAAAGGTATCCCCACGATATGACGCAAAAATAAATAGGTAATATAATATTACTATAGATAATAGGACTATAAGATTATGGAGCATAAAAATATAGGGAATAAAGGGAAAAACTCAGGTCATTAGGGGATGCTATTCTGATAAAAAAGGGGGTTTTGGTGTGTGATAACTACTAAACTATGTATACAATTTCCTATGTATATACACAGATAAAATCACACTAATCATTTCATGCAATAAAGTTGAGTTTCCTTTAAATACTAGAGTAAAATCATATAAGTCGTTACTCTTCTCCATTTAACATACATATTTTGAATAAAAATTAAAGTTTCTTTCGTTATCAATCATAGTTTATACGCAAAGATATATATTCTTGATTGACCAATCTCTTGATTTAATTGGTATATTATAAACGTCTGTTTCAGAAAGTTTATCATTATGAAAATCACATGTCTTTAAATGACGTTTTATATTGGAATTTCCTTACTGGGACTTTTTCTTTTTCCCGTGGTGTGTGACAAAGAATTCGCTTTTACTTATGCTCGGCCGACAATATATTGTAAACTATTTTTTTGTTTCACCAACGAAGGTTACGAGGGAATTGAGTAACACAAGTAGATCGTCTTGGCCTAGGACATATTTCTATATTTAGAGCAGAAAAATACATTAGCTAGGTTTTTTGTACACTATATTATATAAAAAATTTAAAAAATAAACGGACTTGACATTTCGACTTTTAAACATTTATCAATTTCGTCTTACACAGAAATGATATTTCAAGCAGTTTATCATAAGTACAAGCGTTTTAAAATACCCACCATATATAATATCCATACACAAAAAATCCTCATCTCGCCATAGGACGCCATACGTCCACGATATTTCAGTAAAATATGTTATTGTATCGATAGAGACATGTCCACTTGAAACGGAATTATTGTAAAAAACATTTCGAATACTTGTATGTGTATGTTACTGACAGGGCATTTTAATCACTTGGTCAGTTAATATCGGCTCCAGCACAGTGTAAAACTAAGCGAGGTCTCTTATTTTGTATTCGGAATTCGAATCTAAAGAGCGATCACTTCTAGTACACGTGTGCCCTGCGCGCGCGCCGCGTTTAACTACACTACACAAGACCGATTACTTATGACCTTACAATTAAGAATTTAATTTATGTAATGCACTTTCCTAAAGACTCCTGACGTACGAGTCCAGTGCGTGACGGCAAACAGGAGATAAGTATTATAATATTATATTAAATAAGGACGAGGTCCACGTCAAGATGAGGCGGAAAGAGCGTCGATATCGTTTGCTCTGCGCTACGAAATCGTAGCTGCCCTCATCGTCTAAAAATTAATTATTTTTTAAATGCCATACCCATTTTAATGATCACCATTAATACTTACTTAAAGGCGTAGGTGTCAATAATACAATCTACAGACATAATACAATTTTATTTAACCTTGAATCGATTGCATAGTAAACGTAAGAATCTTGCATTTTATTTTCATTTCAAAAATAAAAAAAAAATATTAATTATTTTAGCGACCTGCGCGGTACTAAAATAGATACAAAATTTGCTCAATTTAAATTCCTATATAGGGGTCGTAACCGAACGGAATTGCTGGATACTGCGCATATGTTGGGTCTTGAAGCTGAAACAAATTTTTAACTTTAGTAATTTCACGACTATAAAAAAAAGCTTGTATTATACGCTAAATACGTGACCTCTCGATCACGGCTGCTGCAAAGCATTCGAAACATTGGGTCGTAGTTAAAATAACGAATAAATTCCTAATTTTTAACCCGTAAAAGTAATTATTTTTAATTGCTACTTGCATAAATGTAATAAAGATACAAAATGTCGCCTTCCGGTATATACTTTCTTTTGTTTCACATGTCGAGAAGGTCAGTAACACAACCTAGACCTTGATTGAGCATGCCAAAATCTATAGTAGACTTAAAATATAAAATAAAATTTAAACAAAACACTTTCACGGAGAGACGTGACCACGGCTGCTGCAAAGCATCCGAAACGTCGCGCCGAAGTTAAAAATAAATTTAACTAATATATATCGCGTTTTAAACCGTTGACGTGTTTTATTTAAAAGTGTCGCGTAAGCTATAGACAGTGTTTAAATATACCTGATACTTTATAGGCTTATCCTTCTTCATGAACTCCAATTTCTGCTTCTTCTCCAACATATTGCTAAACAGTTCCTTAACTTTGAGTTTTGTAGTAACGAGATTAGCCATTAATGCTTTGTTGAAAGCTTTCAACTCTTTTACTTTCGCCTTCAAAGCCCACATGCCATCATTTACGAGATCCAGCTTCCCGATTTTGAGATCTTCGGCGTCATCACAGTCGTCATGGTAGGAGGGCGTATCGAATGCATGCTTAAATAATTCGTGTTCGTCCTCGTCTAATTCGACGTACCGTGGCTTGGACATTGCTGTAAATGATAATGTTTATTTATCTCACAAACAATGCAACATATACCAAAATTAAGCTAAAACGAATAATTAAAAGAAAAAAAATCATGTATTTTTACATTTAAATTTGTACGTCATCTATTTTTAAATACGCCATCTAAAGGAGTATAAGGATGTTACTTAGATGGCGTCTTGGTTATTAATATTGTAAAAATAAGACTTGACAAACCACAGTTATAGATATGATTTATACATTATATTAATGGATTGCTTTACATACACGCATATTTTGAATTCTTTACCTCTAAGTAAGGAAATGTTATAATTCTAATTGATTTTATTGCACATGTTACTTAAAGGTCTTAAGAAAATCAGACAAGATGGCGGCGATAAGAATTGATTCTTATTTTAATCATAAGATAAGTAAATTCAAACACGTGCTTCTACTAAATATATGACTAAAAGAAAATTTTAAAGACTTACCTGAAGCGAATATTAAAGATAGTAAAAATGATGTGTACAGGAACATGCCTATTACGAAACTGAAATGCCGTATGTCTTGTTTGTTCGCACTTCTTATTATTTGTCTTGTGTATTTTTGACTACCCTTGTTTTTTTTTGTAAAAAGTATTAGAACGAAGGTAGAAGTGGATAAAAAATAAATACTAGTATAGGGCATTGAAGAACAAAATACATTTCCTTTTCAAAAGATTATACTTTCGTGAAATATTGGATACATTGTCAAAACTTGCAACAAAAAAGCTTTATAACAATTACAGGAACAATAAATTCTTAAATAAGGAACACAGATTTTTGAATACTAAGTGTTTTCTAAGTGCATCTAAATTAATAACGAACAACATTAGGTATCTATTATAATACTTGTACTAGTGTTACTTCTAAAGTGGGGCTTTAAGTTGTTACTAAACATTTATATAATATCATTTTTTACTAGGATATTATTAATATTAACTACATACTAAGAGTTTTAATGAGATCGAATTTGAGAATATTAAATATCTTAAGATAATTGGTAATTATTTAAACATTAAAATTAAGCTTACAAATATAACTAACATTTTAAATAAAACCAAATAACATATTACTAGAAAGTAACAATATAAAATTAATTTAGGCGTCACGTAAAAATATATCGGACGACGTCTTCCGCCTTTGACGAATTTGATTGAAATCTTAGTTACGTAATAGAAACCTTGTCATCAAGGCTGAACTTAGAAGACTTTAGGAGGATAATAGTATAGCCTAAAATTATATTTCCAATAAGAAACAATAATTATACTTAACGCTAATTTTTAAATTGTTCTACGATTGTATTTAACGGAGTACATTTTAACTCAATATAAAGTTAATTACCACCCGCTTGGAGTGTGTTTCAGCGGCCAGGAAGTGGTTGACAATAAATTATGTTGAAAATAGTTTATTGTTACGTATTTCCTTCTGAAGTTATACGTTGAAAGAGTATGAAAGATAACGGAAACGTATAAATTGTATAAAGCGTCGTAAATTAAAAATTGGAATTCTTTTCTAACTCAAACCTTAGAGTAATCTGTATCATATTATTGCGTGAGACCCCAAGTATTTTGATTGTGTTTACAAGACTAAGTGCAGGTAGAACGATTAGTTATGTAGGTGTGAACTGTGAATAGATATATTTGGAGTTGCGTTTGCGCCGTAGTTATATCTAAAAACGGGCGCGACGTCTCGACTGTCACAAAGCCGGGCGTGCCTTATAGAGGTCGTCTTCAAGATCGAATGCTGGGTCCGCGTAGCCCGAGTCGTCGTACCGGAGAGACCTGGAAACATTAATAATTAACGTTTTTGTTCAAAATATCAAGTCTACAATCTACAAATAGAAATGATCAGCCTAACCTCACATCAAAGGGACGCGTTAGATATTTCGTCCCCCAGTTTCAACGTAAAATTTATGCACAAGCGCTAACGTTTCCAATCTAATTCATAAAGCAAGAAACATAAGCCAATTTAAACAATTGAAGAGAAATTTAATTGAATTTTAATTAATTATTTATTACATATCATTTGAGAAGCGGACTTCCGTCTTTGATACTTGCTACAAGGTCGTGGGATAAGTGTTTATAAGCAGCGACGTTAAAGTGTCTTATACATATATGTATAGTTGGATTAATCGATATACTTAAAAGTAATTTAGAAATATTGAAAAATCGATGCTACGGTAAGCGAGGGCGCGTAAAAACAATTTTTTAAACTTTGTAACAATAATCACTCTTAAAAAATCTCTAAAAACATACACATTAGAATTTATGCTAAATTACATAAAACATTCTTTTCACGCTATTTTTACATACGCTATGCTAGGTACAATTGTTACTATACTCACACATAATGTTCATAATTACCTATCTGGTGTCCTTGTTCTACATCGAGATGGCGGTGGTGATCTGGACGAAGCACGCAAGAGGGCTGGATCGTCGTATCGACGGGATACTATGGTGAAGTCGTGGTGAGCATCAATCAGCTTCTGTAGCCGCGATACCATCTCGAAGTCAGATACTGAGCTGGGTACTAGGATCCCCAGCAGTTTCGCTATTGAATGCCTGACAACATAAATGTAATTTGGTTACTCATTCAAAGTATTTAAATCAAAGCTCACTTGTACTACAGACGATGAGCGCGTAGCAATGAATGGCTAATTATCAATCAATTTATAATTTGTCTGATACATGTTAGACTTCGCCTGGATGTCTGGTCCTTAAATATGTTGTAGGAATAACGTCGGAACTATAGTCGAAAGATGGAAAAGCCTTGAAGTTTAGTCTTGTTACGGTGTCAGTCAGTGGATTTCTGAATATACAAAGTCAAATATAAGTCGACGCGCGTCTTGTTTAGCTGTTATATGGCTAGAGTATATAGTAAAAAAATTGTGACGATTATAAATCGCGTTAAGCGAGTGGTTCTTTCTTAAGGTCCAGAAAAAATATATGTTTCAGTCACACCTGACATTCAAGTGCTTGCCCTTTAAAAATATACCAGGAAAACACAGATACACAAAGGAATCTACAAAATACCCAATTACCTATTTTTACACTAGCAAAAAAATTCAAAAGTTGAAAACCCCGACATATACCCCACGTCGGGGTTTTCAACTTTTCTCGTAAAATTGCAAAAAAACTAGTAAAACGTGTACCTACATATGTTGTTAAGCTAGGTTGACTTTGCACATAGTTTTTATTTTATTACACTTCTAAAAAAAATATAATAGCGTTGACAAAATGTATCAGGGATCTGCCTCATAGATTACTCACTAGGCTCTCGCAACATGACTCCTTAATTATTGTAACCTACGAGTATGTTTTTTTGAACGCGCTAATCTCAGGAACTACTGGTTCCAATTGAAAATATATTTTTTGTTGGACAGACCATTTATTTTGAAAGGCTTTAAGCTATATAACATCACGCTGTAACCAATAGAAGAAAAAAAGTTAATCCCTGAGGGTTTCCGTTGCAAACGAAACTCTCAGAAACTCCTAGAAGGGTATCAACCCCACCAGAAAATATAAAAAAAACTAATGATTTATTTAAAAAAAAAGGTCCGCGACACTATATTATGTCTTTCTTTTAATGTTGAAAGAACGACGGGGCGCGGCTGGGAGCGTTAGTAACACTTTACAGCTATAATTTATAAAGTTGAGGTTTGCAAAAACAAATTTTGATGCCCAAAATAAATCAACTTGTGGTGACGAGATCTTTGAAGGTATATTAGGTATACATATATGTACTTGAATTGTATCGTTTACCTGAAGCTCTGTAATTGTGCTTCTCGGCGTTGGCACTCGACTAGGGCTTCTTTTGCTCTTGCCAGATCATCTCGGAGCACGCTGATCTGGTGCTCAGTACTTGTTCTCTCTTGTTCGAATGTCTCCCCAGTGGCGCGCACTTGGTCCTTTAGAACGCTCACTTTGCGATTGTAGCGCGTTCTCAACAATTCCGCTTCGTCTAATTTCTTTTGCAGCTCTTCTATCTTCCGGGCTCTCTCTAAAGATGTTATCTGTCAAAGACCTAATAGTTAAAAAAGTAATGGACGATACAAGAGGAAGCCTCAAATCTACGAGTAAATACTTTTTCATTTTCAAACACTTTCATCTACGCTAGTGAAATTCATAAGTATTGTTCGTAGTTTACGCGAGTAATACTCATTTAAATAAAACATTTTTAACGGTTTAAACCGCGAAATCTATTAGTATGCTGTAAAGCAACGTTAGCTTGTAGTTAAAACTTATTTGTAAATGCATACATTTCGCGTTTGCATCTGTTAAAAGTGTTTTATTTACGTTATTTTAATAATTAATTCACGTCCAATCTCTCTTTAATTTGTTCGGGTTCACTTTTAAAGCACTCCACAGTGATTGTTTCATTCCCAATGTTGCCATTTTAAAATGCGTAAGATATTTTACGAGCCATCAATAATTTTCATACGATCTTTAAATGTCAGTTTGTATGTATTGTAATCGTAAGTTAACGTTTTGCGTTCGCTACAATAAGATTTATACAAAGTGATTACTTTAACCTTCTTGCAAGTATTCCAGTAAATCCACTTTATTGAATCATTTACATGTATTTTATGACTAATATTCATGTAGATTGACGACTTTACAATAATTACAAGATTTTTTTTATATCATAATAATTTCTTGGAAGATGTATGAACTTTTACAAATATGCTGATATGTAACGTATAGTTAATAATATAACAAATGTACATTTAAATAAAAAAGTTGATTATATTGACAAAATTTTTGACACGGGCGAAACTTGAATCGGCATCCAAAGCGTTCCGTGCTCTAAAATATTGAGCTATTGCGCCAGTAGTTCATTTAAGCTGCAGCACGAAAAGCTTGGGTTCTAGTTCAAGACCCGGCCATATCATTAATTTTCACTCGACAAAGAGAGATATTTTTAAAGAGATTTTTAATTTTTATAATTGAGATATAAATTTGTTTGACAGATTGTACATACTATTTGTGATTATATAAAGATGTTTAAACATAAATGTGATAATTGTATTTGGTCAAAATGTTAATAAATAAAATATTTTATATTCTATGCGGTTACATTACATACATACTTATTATTATTATTTTATATTGGACACAGATAGAAGGCCGGGTGATGTTGACTTTTTCAACCATGTAAATATTAATGCCTAGTATGACGGGCAGCGGAAGTCACTTTTTACGCAGGTCGCGGGCTAACTACTCATCAAAATTACACTATAGTTTTATTTTAAACCACTTAACAAACACTAGATCTACAAATGCATAGAACAATATACGCGTTACGTTACATATTATTTGCGGAATCGTGACTGATTTACGCATAAATACTTCCTTTAAGGATTCCTTTTTTGCTTTTTTTTCTACACTCCTACGTAAGCCAAATGTATATGCCTTATATGCGTCTCAACTAAGAATACTTCCGCATTATTGATAAATATGTAATTCATTTGATGATTGATTTAATTACCGTTTTTATACTCTGTTATAATGAGAATTAGAAATATGCCAAGATTTAAAACTGCATAAGTCTTTAGGAAATAAATACAATGCATATTATACGGACCACTACTATGTTTCTTGAAAAAGGCTTATAGTAAGGTTTTATTAAGCGACTTCTATTTATTATGAATTTTGGGTTTACTTTGTAGTAAAATAAATGTCGACAATTATGGTAGCGATAGTCTTGTCGCCTATACGCTAAGACTCTATTTCCTTGTGATAAATATATAAATTTATCGGTGTCTGTATTTGTCTATAAATATGTACTTATTGACATCCAAACTCAATGAAAAAGACTTACAGTTAAAAAGAAACAATATTTCACGTAGATAAAGTCGCAGACACACATACATTACATACTGATTTAATCTCTAGAAAAAGATTTGGGTTTATTATCCTGTTTTCCACAAGAAAATAGAATTAGGAATTAATTATAAGATAGCCTATTAAAATATCGGTGGCAAAAGCAAGCTTAATACATTGTGTAAGGCTTTCATGGCCGTCGTTCAGCATATCATTGTTTTTCGGGCTGTCGGCCGTCGGCGTTAGCTCTCTAACATCTCCTGGTGCTGCCGTCCGCTCGTGATGGCGAAATGTCGAGAACCTCTTCTCGCTCACGTCGGTTGAACAGCCCGAAAGACAATGATAATTAAGCCTATATTTTAGTCGAAGATTAAATATTTATATTTTTCTTGCCTTATACTCAGCTGCATCTGCTAACTGTGCATTGAGATCACGTAGTTGGGATCTGGCATCACTGAGTTGTACATTCAACTTGTCGCACTGTCGAGCCAACTTTTTACTACGGCCAATTGCTTCATCCCTTTCCGCTTGCAGGACTGCACGAACCCGCGAACTCTCATCCTAGGGTTATCCAAAGGCAATTAGGCTTGGACACATCTATATCTATACTAATATATAGAGCGAAGAATTTGTTTGTTTGAACGCGCTAATCTGAGGAACTACAGATCCGAATTAAAAAATAATTTTTATGTTGGTTAGAGCATTTATCAAGGAAGGCTATTGGCTATTAAACACCGCCCTGTGACTATTACTATACAGCGAGAAATAGGAAAAAAGGGGAAGATTATTAATCATTATGGGTTGCCGAGGCGTACGCAGTAAAAAACGGTTCAAGATACCCAAAAATTTGTATGAAAGAATAAATCTTTTAAGATTAACTTGCAAGAACGACGGGAAGGGATGCGACCCACGTCGTGGGTATAAATATCAAGAGGTTTACAAATACGAATTTCGATGCCCAAAATAACTATTCCACGTGAACGAAGTCGCGGAGACAGCTAGTAAGCTATAATCCGCCTTTAACCGCATGGTAAACAAAAACTGTTTCGAAAGGGTTATTATGCCGTTAATTCATATTTAAACGATAAAAATGCTTGGGGTTTGGAAGAACCCGCTCTAACAAGAATAACAATGTGCACTTATAGTTCGTGAAGACTGTAAAATGAAATATGGCGAGTTTCTTGACAGTTCTTCTCGTTCGTTCTACGCCCTTGATTTGAGAAGTGGTAGTGAATGTAAATTTAGAGTCTTTAGCTCTTAACTGATGTCACGTACATAAGTGTAGCTGAATAAATGCTTTTTGACTTTGATTTCGATAGTGCGGAAGAAGGGGCATAGCCAATTTTTAAGAGACTCGTTCTTTACATAAAAATACTTCGAAGTACACCGCATTGGTCATAGTTTGAGTACTGTTAGGAATTAAACCTAATTTTATCAGCTTCAAATATATGTATGATTGATGCCGTGAGTCATCAATAGTTTCGTCACGATTTGTGACTTATGCCGGTGTAACTATGAATATTTATATAATATTCATAATGGTATAATAGCTTGAGTATTCCCCTCCAAATCTCAATACTTACCTGAACACTTAGTTTACGTCGTAGTAAATCCAAGTGCAGATCTTTTCTTTGAAGTTGCTCTCTTAGTATTCGGATTCTACGCTGCAACTGATACACCACGGCTGTCTGAAATAAACTTGAAAATGTAATTTAAAAGCAACGGTTAAACGGAGCGCGGGTTCGAAACCCGGGGAAACGTAATACGTAGTATGTCAGCCAGGGCACAGAAATTTGATAAAGTAATTATATAAAAATCGTACAGAACTAGACACAGTTTTAGGACTGGTTTGGTCCCCCTGATCTAAATAGGGAAAACGAAATTACACCCTTTATCAAATAGATATATAAGAAACTAATAACTATATAATACATGCACTGTTCTGATAAACTAGCTAATACGTTGAACGAATTTCTTCATGAATTTTTCTAACTACAATTTTTTAATTAACAATTGTTATCAATTTGCTAGTACGGATGTAAGTTCACGCTAAAGTTACGTGATAATGATTTAATACTTGTATAAAATATGTGAATATTAATCGATCTGTGAGGCGAGCGTGCTATAGTTAATATGTATTGACCTAACTAGAGTGTAAGGCTGTGGTCTACTATAAACGTAGTAGATCGCATATAGCGACCCCATTTAAATATTGCTGTCTTCTTATAACTGCGTATAAACTATTTTCGTTACGTCTTTAGTTATTTCGAATAATTGAAGCGTAACCGTAATGAAGTATTTATTTAAATAAAGCACTTTAAACGGGTTTAAGCGCACAATGTATTAATTAAACTTATTTACAAATAATTTTAACGTTGGCCCGACGCGGATGTTTCGGATGCATTGTAACGGCCGTGGTCACGGGGAGTCTCCCCATCACCACGGCTTAACCACATTAAAATATTTATTTAAATGTGTTCTACTCACGTTAACTACAGATAATGCTTATGGTGGTATGTTATTGACCAATTGTAATGGACGCGTGCAAACGCGTTTTAAGAAGACCCCAGCCTTAATGATTAACCTTAAAGCAGTTTGTTTTACATTCACCTAAACGTGGAGACTCAGAAGTCATAACTGTAATACCATGCCAATGTATGCCAAGTGCATATCTTACTTCTTTGATATACGGTAAATCATGGAAAGATCTTTCTCTGCGCAGCCTCGGTAACGTGCCATAGTATCCGTAATATAGCAGCTATACAGAATATACAAATATCGTAATAATATTTTTTTTAGAGAGGAAGACCAGTTCGTAAGATGAAAAAATACTAATTGGGACTCGCCAACCTATTTTGTCTGTAGACCTTCGGCAATTCACAGACTAAAAATGTAAACTTCACGATTTATTATCTGTAGTAGTAGCTTTTTTAATTTATATTGATACTAAATTTCTACGATTTTTTTCGTTTACTTATATTGAAATATTACGATATATATATATGGTACGATAGTAACTAAAAATAAATAATTTTTAAACTGATAGTCCTTTAATATAAAAATTATGTACCATGAATGTGGACGTAACTAAAGGGTTGTAGTCCGAATTTATGATCTTAAACATATTTTAAGTTTAAACTCATTTTATTTAAAAAAGTAAAATTTTAGTCTTCTATTAAAATGGGTATCAGAGATTATTAACTGTACTTCAACATTAATTGAAACTGGAATTCTCTGCCATACTTGAATGTGACTGGAATAAAAAATAATAATGTTTTTCCTTTCACTAAGTATGTTACTGGAACTGACCTTGTCTACAATTTTATCGCTCTCGAGCCGCGCCAGTTGCTCGGCCCTATGCATAATGGACTCTGTGTGGAGATCTATACCAATATCTTGCGTTAACTCATCCATATTGAGTGTGCGACTCAGCCGTTCAAGGAATGCCACGAACTATTAAAACATATTTATATGTATTCCGAGAAAATAATGCTAATATATGTCTTCGTATTATTTCACATTCTTACGTTCGCTTTGTCCTTGCGTAGACCGTCTCGGGAGAGCTCTAAAGCATTTAATTCCGATTCCAACTTGTGAACTTTGGCTTCAAGCATGTTTCTTTCGTCTTCTAGGATCCTCACGCGGGTCGACGCTTGGTCGTGCATATGAGCTGTTCTACCTAGCTGTTGACTTTCCAGGTTCAGTTTATCGCGTAGCGCTTCTAATTGCTAAAAAAACATTGAGTAAGCGGAAATTCTTCATTAAAATGTCATGTTTTTTATCTAAGTTACATTTCTTCTACGGCGTATGAAACGTTACTGATTCCTACTATCTATAGAAAACTAAGTGATTAGCATTCTTTGATTCTTCTGACTTTTCGTAACTAAACAAAAGTAAAAAGAATATATATTTATAATACATACCACTGATCTATCTTTGTTGTCACTGAGGATTTCTCTAATGCGGTCTTTAATAGTACTCTCATGAGCTTCAACAAACCGAGTTGGCAAGCTCAACAATATTGCAATAGATTCCATGGTATTGCGAAATTCAGTCTGCAATCTTTGATATTTTTCGTCTCGATGTCTCAGATCCTCTAAATGAAAATGCATAGGATTTAACCATTAAACAAGTCCTTCGCGAAGTTCATTAGTTCGAAAGTTAAGCAATTTCAAGCTCGACATACACCAAATAAAATGTCAATCCGCTAACGAAATAAGGCAAAATATACGTTTTTTAATGATCACTTAGCTGCCCTAGATAATGCTCACAATTTACCTTTTAACTGTATAATCATAGATTCGTTCTGATTCACATTATCGGTTACAACATTAAGGTTCTTGGAGCAATGAGATAGTTTTTCACGTGCTTCATGAAGCTCTCTATCCAGGACCCTATTAGATACAGCAAGAGATTCTTTCTCTTGTTTCAATCGTTCCATATCGAGGAGTTGCGATGACAGCTGTCTTTGAAGAATTTCCTTATCGGCGTTAGCGCGATCTAAGCTATCTCTGCAACTGCGCAAATCTTGTTCAATAGTCGACAAGTTTTCTGTTGTGTTCATACATCTGTTTTTGAGTCTCGTAATATCTTGAACCAATTCAGCTGCCTTTATGATCAAGCTTTCCGGGGAATGCGTGTGAGTTGTGTCACAAAATTCCACATCCAATGCGACGGACAACCTTCTTATAAGGTCATGGAATTGACATCGTGCATTTTCCTTTTGTTGTTCCTCATTGTGGCAATCCAATTCGAGGGACCTGAGTTTCTTTTCTAGATCTTTTATCTTCTCTTCACAGTAGCGATTATCTCTTTGGAGAGTCTGAACGGTTAGTTCACTTCTTCCTTGTGACGTTTGAAAACTGCGATTAATCTCTTCAAGGTCCTGAATTTTCTTTTTGAGAGATGATATAATTGCATTTTGTCGAGCGTTTTGCTCTCGAAGATGATCTATTTCGACTTGCTGTTCGAGAATCCTTTGATCTCTCGACAACATCTGGTTTTTTAAGTCGCTGTTCTAAATTATAAAAAAATAATTTAAAATACTATAATTCACTGGTAATTTAATCTTTATTAGAAATTTAAATTTTAAATACTAAATACCTCCGATATTAACTTGTCTCGCTTATACTGCAGTCCTGCTAGGTCACTTCTTAAAGCAGTTACGATATCATTACCTAAATCTGGATCCATCTGTTAAAAAATAATATCTATTTATAGCAACTTACTAACTTATATTAACAAAATTATATAAGATAGACAGTTGCACTTTTCTAGCCGGCAATAGGATAGGTAAAAAAATGTCCACAAAATATACAAAAAAGAATAAAAATTAGTAAAATTATGCAATAGCAGAGGTGGTTAACGAATATGATACAAATTTAATAAACACTTTTAACAGCTTAAACGCGAACTACATTACTTAGACCCTGTCAATACACTAACATGACCACGGGTGCTGTAAAATATACGGAAAATCGAATTTAAAAATTTATCAACTATCATAGTTTTCGTTTTATGTTAAGAAGTTAGTCAATGTCCAGTCTAAGGTTGTTCTATTAAATAAAGAAATTTTAATAGATAACTCACACAATTTCATATTAAATTATTGGATATTATTACGATGCGATTATTTGAATTTTTCATAAGAGTCAGTTAAACCTGGCGTGCAAGAGACGACTAGGTAACGGGAAGCAGAACGTACTTTTGCTGGGGTGTAGCGTGATAAGAAATACTATTTCAAGCTCGCGAGTCACGATCACGATATCTTCTTATAATCAGCGAATATTATTACCTTTACTAAGACTTTTTAAACCGTTTAAAACGTGATGTCAACTAGTTCATGCAATTTTACCACCACTACTACTGCGGGGCGATCTGATATATGTTTTTATTCGGAACTACAATTTAAACCCAAACATTTTTATATATCATATCCTTCAGGAAAGGTATTAGTTATGTCAATATAAATAAAATGACTAGATACATACAGACAGTTTTTTTTTATAATTATATATTAATTTATATATACTTGTATATAAATCAATCTGTCTGGGATTCAACAGAACATAACGCAATGCTAGACACTTCATTAAACTATTAAACCTTTGTACTGACTGTATTAATATTGTATACTTTTTTTACTGCAATGTATAGGAACGACTTAATTGTTTCTTAAATAATATAGATAATTAATTAATAAATATTTATGATTATAGTACTACAATGTATGATAATAAGTTTTTAAAGTAAGTAGTAGAGAGTATACATTTCAACGGTGACGTAAAAGAAAAGAATAGATTTCACGAAAGTATCATGGATATAGAGTAGCATGTTTTTCGAAACCTCATTACCATAATTATTATTATTAGAAAATCATAAACCGATAACTTAACAGGCGGTGCATGGTACGGGAAAGCGCATGCTCTGTTAAAAAAAGTCATGACATCTCTAAGAAAAAAGGAAAGTTATAGATAGACATATTTACATAGGACAAACTGTAAATCAAGTACATATCCAATTTCAAAGTTCGAACAAACTCTGCGTACAGACACAGACAAAATATATTGTTCAGTTCTTAGCCCAGACTATACAGAATATGTAATATTTATTTATAGATGTTTTTTATGACACAACCTTTTTAGAGATACAGACATATTTTTTACATGTTTTGCCTTTTAAATATTTATCAATGTAATATTATCTATAGGAACTATGTAATATTGATGCATACAGTGAGTTTTACCATACAAATATAATGTTAACAGTTTATGTAATATTTTTAAATAAAATGTACCTATAACTATAGTTTTAATATATTAGTGTGGCTTAATTATACCTCTGATTCTCGTAGTGCTTCATATACTTTCCAATCTTTGAGTTCGTCTTTACTTTTTTCTTCTTCCATTTTCTGGAAAGAACTACTATCAGTTATTTATTAGAAGATATGAGTGTGTTGTTTGAGATTATTAATTTCGACTTGTACTGTAACTAGCGTTGCTATGACAGAGGATTCCCAAACAAAAATGGATAGTATTAAAAAAGAGTAACTTTAATTTTCGGATATATTTTATTCTACAATTAATTATAGAAACGATTGTGAGATTAAAGTAGGTTAATAAAAACTAAAAAGCAATGTAGCGTATGCAATGTAATAATTCTTAATAATTTTTAAAAACATTATTTTTACATCCACAAAAGAAACATTTACGTAATTTTAATTAATGAAAATTAAGGCATAATTCCTACGTTGACTAACGTATTAGAAATAGATTTGAATGTCACGGGCTTCCCGGTCAGTTATAACAATTTAAACATATATTTTTCATCTACAAAACAAAATATGTACATCACTAAAAATGTACACACAGACTATACAAAAAAATATACTTTTATTATTGCCACAGATATAAAATCTGTTTATCCGTCTGTGGGTACACAACAGCAGCGATATTGTCTGGTTTGATCAAAGATAACAGACGACTAAACTTCGATTTGACCCTTCACTAGAGTGATGGCGATTGGGCTCATGACAGATGATGTAAAAAATTGTTATAGCAAGAAAAGATGTTTCCCATGTAATTAAATTGTATTCTAAGTGAAAGTCGTAATACAATAATAAAAATAAGGTATCCTTAAGATTTTGCAAGACTAAAGTAGTGATGATTTAATAAGGTAAGTTATTGAAATCCGATTTCATTGTTCAACTTCGTCACACAATTTTTTTTAGATAGATACCTGCGTATTTGTTTTCAACATAAAAAACAAAACACATTATTTCCTGCATGCAGCGTTTTTAGGTACATTTTGCAACTATTATTGCGAAGAACTTACTTTACATAGTTATCTATTCATCAAAGAGAAAGGGTCATTACTCTTTAGTATTTGAAATTAACCTACATTCGAAAATATTCGACAATTGAATCATTGATTCACTGTTATTTTCTTTTACCTATTGTAAGCTGCTTATATCCTTGATAAAAAGTCTCACGTGGCATAAGTTTGACTTAATTAAACAGATTGGCTTATATTCAATTAATTTAACATTTAAAATTGCTAGATTAGTCAGTTAGAGAAGGTGAAATATATTTTAGTAAACAGTATCTTATTGAGACTGCATGATTTTTACCTCTTGCATCATTTTTTAAAAGTACTCATTTTATTTACTTTTTTAGGAAGAAGAAAATATAACAGCCAAAGGTTGGTTTGGTCAATATAATTTGATTATTAATGCTAAAAAAAGAATATATTTTCTGATCTTTTGTTTCTTGTAGATGGCGGAGGTAGATCCAGAGACGTTGTTGGAATGGCTGTTGACTGGCCAAGGCGATGAGCGAGATATGCAGCTCATTGCCTTGGAACAGCTCTGCATGCTACTACTTATGTCAGACAATGTGGACAGGTGTTTTGAAAGGTATTTTGGAACTTTCTTTAGGAAGGAATTTTTTGCTGTTGTACCATAGTTTACAAAGAATTCTAGAAACTAAATGGGTTATGGGGCAAATTGAATTCTGTGCCTGTATGTAGTTGTATTCAATACACATAACATAACTAATTTATGTGTATTTTTCATCTATATGTATCTTGCCCAATGTAAACAAATTACTCTAGATTAGTTGCGTACCAGCACCACATGGAAGCATTACATGTTAAACCTTAAAAAATTACAAAATTTAATATCAATCCATTTGTTAAAACAGACTAGTTACGTATAGTATTTTGACACTTAAGTAAATAATAAATGGAACAGTGACCTCCTTAGATTATCAATTTAGATTAACTTAGTATTATGTAATAAAATCCTGTTTATGACTATTTGAAACATATAGTAAACATAAATAATAGATTTTTAATTTCATTTATATGCATAAAATATTTTTTACTGCAATATACATATATTTTTTTTATTTCAGCTGTCCTCCTAGAACATTTCTTCCAGCTCTGTGCAAAATATTTCTAGATGAATATGCACCAGATAATGTATTGGAAGTAACTGCTAGAGCGATCACTTACTACTTGGATGTTTCAGGTCAGTCACACTTGCTGGCAAGTCGTTATTGTGAATTTATTTACAAACAACATTCTTATCTGGCCCATTTTATTTGATATATTGTCTATAAGTTATAATTTATTTGAGAATTACAGTTGTTAGAAATAGTCGTGAGATCTAGTATGACAGACTATAACAAATATTTTCTGTACTATATTATGTATATAATACAGATTATCCAAAATTCTAATGTTTCAAGCTAACCACTCATCTCTAATTATTATTGTTGCCTCATTTTGATTCATGCTTTATTGAATGAAGTATGTATGTATTTTTTTTTCTCTTCCAGCTGAATGTACTAGAAGAATAGTAGCCATAGAAGGTGCAGTAAAGGCTATTTGTAGCCGTTTGTTAACTGTAGATCCTAATAATAGAACAAGTAAGGATCTTGCCGAACAATGTATAAAGGTTTGTGGATGTTATTCTTTTTCATAATAATATATATAGTGAACAAAGGTTGGAAGTTTAATCCTGATTGTGTACAAAAAAAAAATAATATTAATTTAAATTTTGAATAATAAGAAACCAATATGTTGTTTACCACAAGTGTCCATAATAGCACAGGACTAAAACATTATCTTCAAAATAATGACAGAACCTGGAAGTGGGAACTACTCAAATCCATAATATTTTAAACAGGGTTTATTTTACTATTTTTTTTAGGTGTTAGAATTAGTATGCACCCGTGAGCCTGGCGCAGTCTGGGAAGGGGGAGGTTTACCAGCTGTATTACACTTTATAACTCATTATGGAACTTCTGTGCATAAGGATACACTTCACTCAGCCATGGCTGTTGTTTCAAGGTAACATGTTGTTCTAATAAGGTCAACAATGTATTAACAAGGCTTAGTATCTTTGTAATAAGGATATCATGTGTTTTTTAAGTAATATTTTATGCATATGATAAGTGAGGCTGCCTTATAACAAAAAAACATGATTTTCATTAAGGAGAAAAATAAAAATTCGCAATTAGCTTAGGCGAAATGAATTTGTGCTATTATATGAGTAAGAATTATGTAACAATTTTCAGTCTCCGTGATCTTGTAGATTAACATGTTTAGCATAAAATTGCAGTTAGGCTACTTTGTCTCCAGTGGCCAAATAGTAATTTAGCTATTGCCTAAGCCTAACAAAAGAATGCGATTTTTAATAATTACTGTGTAACAATACAGTGTTGATAATGTGGCTTTTACCACTTAGTGCAAGGTATATGTATGATATGTTGTTGAAATTAATTAGAATGTGTCTCAGTAGACACCAGATATCAGATTACATATCATATATGTGCTTGTTAAAAAAACTACAAACTTAAATATATTTTTGTATTTCCAGAGTCTGTGGTAAAATGGAACCCGGTGACGCTCGTGTTGGTGACGCCGTCAGTTCGTTATCCTCGCTGCTTCGGCATAGCGATACCCGCGTTGCTGATGCGGCCTTACGGTGCTTCGCATCTCTAGCTGATCGATTTGCAAGGGCTCACGCCGATCCAGCACCGCTTGCTGAACATGGTATGATAAGGGCAATAGAAATCGCATCGTTGAATAAAGTTGACAATAATTAATTTAATCATAAAATGAAAAAGGATGATTTTAGTTATGTTTGGATGGTTGTCTCTTGTGTCCTTAAAATAGTTATATGGATCTGACTATAACAATTAAGATTGCAATAAGCTTTTAAGGTAATAGCTTTACTCTCTCAAGTTACTTTCCACGGACGCAATATCACAGACACAGCTAATAATAAAATATTCATACTATTAAAGTTCGAAATTTTTTGACCATTTTAGATGTATTTAAGACCGTCGACATTGATTGTAATCTAGTTCTGTAGACTATTCACGACAGTCTACAGAACTAGATTACAATCAATATTCAATTCCTTACACTATCTTCAAATAAGCATTAATGACTCATAATTATAATAAATCTAATTAGGTTTTTGGGTTATTGACTAATGTCTGACTAACGATTAGAAATAGATACGATTATTTTGTTAATGATGAAAGCCTTACACGATTTATTATTAATGTTTGTCATAACTTTACGAATAATAATGTATTTTTTAAGATGTGAATGTATCTCTAAAATCTTCTAACGTTTTTTTTAAATGTATGTTTCAGGTCTTATTCAAGAATTAGTACACCGCCTGGGTAGTACTGAAAACAGTGATGACAAATGCTCTGTGCCGTCTGTTTCTACCACAGTTAGCTTACTAACGACCCTATGTCGGGGCTCTGAACAAATTACTCATGTAAGTATCAATTTGTCTACTTTATTAATCTATAGAGATTAAATGATCTACCGGAATGATGAACATTTTGATAGACAGATCTTTTTCTGGCTAGCTAAACAGAATAAAAAATATACCTATCATAAAGAGTTATTGTAACTAAAAACAAAAATAAAGAACTTAGTGAAGTAATAGTTAATAATACCAATATTTTATGGTCTTTGTTATTTTCAGGATTTGGTTCGTTTAGACTTATGCGCGGCTATTGAAGCCGCAGTACAATCAGATGAACGCTGGAGTTTAGAATGCATGCGTTTAGTGGACTTATTGCTCGTTCTTCTTTGTGAGGGACGTCAAGCTATACAAACGTTAGTATTGTGTATTTTTGTCCTGGTATTGTTTTGATCATTGGTAGCAAATTCGTCTCATATACTTTACCTTCAATTTAGTAATTGGTTCTTTTTATGTAGGTGTGAGTGTGTATCGTTTTCATTAATATGAATGAAAACGATACACATTCTTTCATATGTAACAACATTTTAATGTAACTAAAATATTTTAACGGTTTAAAACGCGAAATATATTAGTTAACCTTCTTTTAAAATTACGTTAACTACGGCTCGACGTTTCGGATGCTTTGCCGCACCTGTGATCACCGAAAGACGTGGGGCCGTATTACAACTAATATTATTTGCGTTAAACGGTTTAAAGCGTTTTTTTAAATGTGTGCTACTTACGCGAGTAGCACAAGCAAACTACATATAGTATATAACGTTTTGTGATTCTAGGGGCTTAAACCGTAACGGATCAGCAGCAGCCAGCACTAGTTCTTCGGTAGTGGGCTCGTCGAATGTAACAGCGAGCGGGGAGGGCTCAGTAAGGGACAAATCTCACAGGCAACTCATTGATTGCATCCGGGGAAAAGATACAGATGCCCTTATGTCAGCGGTTAACAGTGGCGCCGTAGATGTCAACTTCACGGATGATGTGGGCCAGACCTTACTAAACTGGGCAGCTGCATTCGGTACAAGAGAAATGGTGGAGTTTTTGTGTGAGAAAGGTCTGTACTAACATTGGAATCTTAAGACAAGTTAAATATATTTTAAAACAGCGACGTTATTGATTTTTATTCTTTAAGCATATTATAATACTAACTTTCGATACTATAGGTGCGGACGTAAACCGTGGACAGCGTAGCTCGTCCCTCCACTATGCGGCTTGCTTCGGCCGACCAGCGATCGCCAAAGTTCTACTCAGATATGGCGCAAACGCCGATCTCAGGGATGAAGACGGTAAAACGCCCCTTGACAAAGCGAGAGAAAGGCACGATCAAGGTAAACGGACCGGTCAGTTTGTATTATAGCATTTTCATTTTCAACACTAATACAACTCCAACTCTTATCCCTATACTTTGACTAATATAGAATATTAAGTTTAACAATTTTTAATAAGAATAAGGGAAGGGAAAAATGACAAGTTAGAAAAAAATAACTATAAGCAATAATCGATTTTTATTTCAACTATGTACACAGATATTTTTTTTAAAATAATTTCTAGTGCATTAATAATTTTATATCACCATTGATCCACTATTGTAAAGGAATTTCTTTTGCAAAACACTCCACTAAGAGGGTGGTGCAAGGAATCTACATTTTTTTTTGTTATACGCTTTAATAAAACATTGCTTCATTAGTGTGTAGTCTCAAATATATTGTCCTACATTGGTCGAAGTATAATTAACTTCACTTACATTGCACAACTTCCACAATATTAAAAGTATTGTAATTCTTACCTCATTTAATGCATTAATATCCTAAAATTACTCGAGTCTTTCCAGACAACCATAAAATATAATATTTGTTGATTTGCCAAGCGAAGTAATAAAGAAATTAACAATTTTTTACAGGCCATCGTGAAGTGGCTGCGATATTGCAATGTCCCGGGGAATGGCTTGTAGTCAGTAATCAGGATTCACCCGCTTCTTCAAACGATGAAGATTTTCCGGACACTGGTGATAAGGAAATGGCATCGATATACCTTGAGTGAGCTTATACATTTTGTATTTTATTTATTTTGACTGTAACTATTTATTTACCTTTTTGTTTCATATATCTTGTTTGTTTCAGACGACTTGTACCAGTCTTCTGTTCGCGTTATATAGGGGCAGGTGGTGCTGGTGTAAAGCGAGCATGTTTGTCACTAGTACGCAAAATGGTTCACTATGCGCCCGCGCAGCGTTTACGCTCCCTTTCAGTTCCTCGCACCGCCTCGCTCGTAACTAGGCTAATCGCTCGCGTACTTGACACACAGGTAAGATACACAAGAGTTATATTAAATAAATGTGTTTGTTCTAAGGTCTGCTTATAATTAAGAACTAGATATAATATATTTCTGATTTATATATATGTAATTCTCATGTAATTGATAACTAATCTAATTTTCGACGTCTAATCGTGTTATATATCTGATACATACTAGTATACATAAGGATTTCCGCATAAATTAATATTTGTATCGCCTAGGACGAACTGAGTCTGGGAAAGCGGGCGCAGTCGCGGTATCTGCGCAGTCGCTATATCCGCCCGCCCGTGGTAAAGTTACGATGGTGTGATGATTGTTCCTTGATCCTCTCATTGTATTCTTGTTCCTTTATTGTAGCGACATCTAGTTTCAAATAGTGTAAACTGAAGAGTTTAGTCTTGTAATCTCAATTGAACTAGTTCCACTGTTTCGAAAACCTGTTCATAGCTAGATTATCCCCAGTTAACAGCGTTTCGTTCACAATTTTATATAAAACTTATTTCAGTAACCAGTAAACATTACCATTGAACATCACTAATACTATGTAAATTAAAAAACATCACACCATCGAATTTTACTTGCATTGACTAAATGTACTTATTTCCATTAAAACATTGTATCCACATTTAAAACAAGTAATAATATAAAATGACCATATATCTTGCATGCCTCTGTTATAACCGTTTTTACAGACATATGTAAGGTATTGTTTAAATATTTGATTAAAAGAAAGAAAACGAAGTATGACATACTAAGCTTTAATGTTTGTTGTAGGTAATTATTTTTTTATGTTATGTTAATTTATACTTTAAAACAACATATTTCTTTTACGAATAAACTGCGTTATGGTTGAAAAAACTTGTCCTGAGAAATATGTGCTTATTTAAATTAAACTATATAATAACATATTTTTTTTGTTGTAACAGGACGATGATGACGGACATTTAACTGTGTTAGCTATAGCTGAAGAACTAATGGTGAAAGCTGCTGACATTTACCTAGAGCAGTTTGCTAGATTGGGTGTTTTCAGCAAAGTTGAAGCATTGGCTGCTGCCCATCCAGCACCACGTCCCGTTGAAAGTACCACTGTCATAGCATCAGGTGAGTTCGTCTATTCTCAATAATATTGCGTTAATATCTATAAGTTTAAATACAACACTAACGGTTTAAAACGCAAAATATGTTAGTTAAACTAATTTATGAATTTATTAAACAAATAAGTTTGACTAATATATTCCGCATAATAACACAACAAATACTTCAAACACCGTAATTATTTAACTTAATGAGAATAAAACACTTTAATAAACCGTTAAAGTGTTTTATTCTCAAGTATTTGTTGTGTTATTATGTCAACATTATTAATTATTATATAAAAGTATTTTTTCACAATACTATGTGTGAAATATCTCTTTTTGTCATGTGTTTATCTGAAATTAAAGATTCTAAATAAACATCGGTTTAACACAACGAATTCGGTGCCATACATTCAAAAGATATACTTATACAGATGTGAGGTTTCCACAACATCGACAAGTCAAAATTTGTTAAATAACTATCAATACGCTAACTGAATAGATACTAGGTATGAGAGTAAATGTTAAATTTGTCAATATTCTAAAACAGGTTCGTCGACTGAATCTCCTGGAGAAGACGCATCTAGCTTAGCAAGTGGCACTGCCTATTCTTGGGGCGAGTGGTTTTTGTGTCGCGGACGCGATGCCCTATACGTTTGGAGTGATGTAGCAGCCCTTGAACTAAGTACCGGCTCTAACGGCTGGTTCCGCTTCTTGCTAGATGGCAAACTGGCTACCATGTACTCAAGTGGCAGTCCAGAACATCAGACAGATAATACTGGTAAGATCGCCCTGAAAGTATTTTATTAAATAAGTTTTTAGGCTGAAAAAAAACAATCAGCTTGGAAGGATTCGAACCCACTACCGGTGTACCCTTTGTTGCCTACATATTTAAAATTGGCATAAAAATATATCTGCTTTAAACATGACTTTAAAGTTTCTCACAAATTAAATGTGTGTCAAAAACGTTTAAATTGAAATATTCTATATATAGTAGTAATAAGCTACTAATATATATTACAAAATATGTTTAATTCATTCGTCAGTACAATTAAATAAATAATAATGGTAAAAATATAAAGTAATAATGGTTCTCAAATAAAGGGACGAGATTGAACGCTAAAACGAATTTTTTAAACACGGTTTCATTTTCATTGCATTGTATATAGTGTTCTATATTAATTACTTCTAGAAAATCGTGGTGAATTCATCGACAAACTGCAAAGGGCAAGAGCCTCCGTGAAGAACTCGGTTCCACAACCGATACTATCTAAGCCAGGCAATACGAAGTTAATTCTTGGAAACTGGGTGCTTTCATGCAAAAAGTAAGTAACGGCTGTATTTAAAAACGGTATTTCTCTTAAGATATATACAAACTCGTTATTTATTATATATTGTTTGAACAGGGAGAAAGAACTTCACATCCACAATACAGATGGACAACAACAAACGACAATATTACGGGAAGATCTACCTGGTTTCATATTTGAATCTAATAGAGGGACTAAGCACTCCTTTACGGCTGAAACATTTTTGGGTAATTATTTCGTATGCTGTGGTTATATGTCCTTAGAGCGTAATTTAGTATTGGGTATAATGTTTAAATTGTCTATTTAGGTCCAGACTTAGCTACTGGCTGGGTGGATCGTAGGCTAACTACGACGAGTAACGGAAACGTAACTCAACGAAGCCGGCTCTCCGCTAAGGCTGAGGCACAAAAAGCACAGGTAAAGAACGCTCCATTTAAGTTACTATTTAAAATGTAAACGTCTTGAAATTTTCTCTTGTTCGTAATAAAATCTCATTTAATCCTTAACCCAAAATGTTTGCTATTAAAAATGTTCGATTGAAAAGTATTGTTATTGTAATTGTTTTTTACATGGATTATGTATGTTTAATCATCACTCCTATTATATTATTAAAGTATATTTTAATTACCAACTTTTTTAGGTCGGAGAAAGAGCCCGTGCGTTATACACCCGCCATCTTGCTAGCGCCGCTTGTAGACAACCACGGGCACCTGTTGCTAGATTGCGGGCTCTACTGGCTTTGCTTCACAAAATTGCTTCTGAACCTACCGGTAATTTATAATTTATTTACAAAAGTAAACACTTTAACGGTTTAAAACGCGATATATTGGTTAAACTTATTGACAATGATTTTTAACTTCGGCCCGACGTTTCGGATGCTTTGCAACAGCCGTGGTCACAGGAAGACTGCGGGGAAGACGAAACGGCGGGCCAGTATTGGATTTACACGTATTAAAAAGGAAATTATATATTTCATGTATAACCATCTGTAGTATTTATTTATTGAATACCTTTCAACAAGTATAGTGATGAATTTGTATTGCAGGTGATTGGAAGAAGGAATTGAAGGAAACAATCAATCATTTAACGGAGTTGTTATGTGGAGAAGAGTTGCTGTCAGCGTATGAATTGGAGTCATCTGGATTAGCACCCGCTCTCCTACAAGTACTTTCGCCCCAACCTAATGGTGAGCCTTTTAGCCTTTCTAATATCAGTAAGTGTTAAAAGCTCTTTTTAACTGCCCACGTGGGAAATAGTGACGTGGAAATAGTACTATTACTATTACCTTCTCGGAGACAATAGTCGACCAGAACCACTAAACATACCACGAGCCCGCTACGGTGCTTTCAAGGGAGCCCCGGGAACACGTTTGAAAGGCCCCAAAGCTAAGTGCTTAAACCTAGTAAATGTTTTTTAAACATGCGTAAGTTTAGTTCTCTGAATCAATTGTAAAACACGTAGCCTATACGTAGCGTAAAATATGTTCAAATTGAAGATTTAAAAAATATATGCATTTTTTAGATTCTCCGGGTCAACTAGCAGAGCGTGAACGAATTATACGAGAATGGCTGATGGAAGGCGAAACCGGCGGTACTGTGGCTTCACGACTGGTGGCTGTTTTGGAGAGTGTGGAGAGGTTGCCGGTACTTGCGCCTGCGCCGGATGCGCCGCCCGCTCATCCAGCCGCTTTACACCATCTTACTAAACGCATTAGGTACAGCCACATATTTTTTATCAACTATATTTAAATCTATTAAAACATTTAGCTTTTTATTTTGCATAACGTATAGACGAACGAATGATGAATAAATTATGTGAACGACTTGTGTTCTTTTATATGTTAGTCTAAGATAATAGATTGTTAGAACTTTACTTGCGTCTGTATCTAATATATATCAAAATAAATAATAAACTTACAATTTATCATGTATATTTTCTAACCGATATTTAAATCACAGGTTGCGCGTAGAACGTGCAAGCGAAGATACTTCCGACGATTCGACATCAAACAACAGCAGTAGGAATTTGAGAGTGGAAGCGCTAACTACAGTGCGTCAATTGGAACGCTTCCTTGCTAAGTCGGTGGCTCGCCAGTGGTACGATATGGAAAGGGCCACCTACAATTTCGTACAGAAAATCAAATCGGAAGCACCAATTTCATTTACATACGATGTGAGTTAATTTACACAATAACTAGCTGTGTCATCGACGTCGTTCGCGTAGAATAGTTATTTTATCTTTATTGATTTAAACTGTTGCCCATGATGTCGGTGCGTTCCGTGGTTCCTTCTTCGTCGGGTATCTTGTACCGTATTCGCAGCGTACTTAACGGAAAGATGAATAATTTCCCCCGTTTTCTTCACATTTTCCGCTGTTTCTTCGTTCGATTTTTATGACCTATAGCTTTCTTCGATAAATGTTCTAACCAGCATAAAAATAATTTTTCAATTCCCTACTAGGGGGAATTCCTGAGATGAATGCGAAACAAAGAAACTCTTCAGCTTTATTTTATATTAGTATAGATAGGGATGGCGAGAGATGTGTCAAATTTGTGAACTACTCGAGCAATAACCTCACAGAAAGAACAAATTTTATATAATTAAGTTACTCATATGAATTTTATATAATGTGCCTTTAATATAACATAATGTGACATCATAGCTTAGTTTTCATGTGTATGAGCTGTTTCCAAAGCTTAAATTTTGTCTACATAAAGGTGGACTTTAATAAACAGGAATAGTAAGTAAATTTTCTTATTGTTTACAGCATGATTTTGATGACAACGGCTTATTCTATTTCATCGGAAGTAACGCTGGTACAAGCGAGTGGGTCAACCCAGGTGCACATGGTCTAGTCAGTGTATGGTCATCAGATGGACGTCAGCTACCATACGGACGCGCTGAAGACGTTCTCTCAAGGTCACCTGAACCCTTAAACGTTCATACCAATGACGATAGACGTGCCTTCATAGCAGTCGACTTGGGACTCAATGTGGTTCCGTCTGCGTATACTTTGAGACACGCCCGGGGTTACGGCAGATCTGCTCTCAGGAATTGGCTTTTCCAGGTTTGTAATATTTTAAGACAAGTGAAAAGATCCAATAACATCTACAGATGTTGTTAATTATTGCCAAAGAAATAATTGTAAGTACAATTCAGACTGGAAGGGATGCATGCAGTTAAATACTGTCTGTAATTTACGCGAATAGTACATAGTTAGCCGTAGTTGTAATAACTTGTTAAATAATTCGCGTTTCAAACCGATAAAAGTGTTTTATTTAGACACGCAACTATTTAACTTTTTATTGTATCGTGTCTAAATAGAACAACATTGAAGTTGAAATAAGGCTCCACTTAAGATAAAAACTGACTTCTTATAGATGTCAGCGGATGGTGTTACTTGGAGTACTCTTGTATCACACACTGACGAACAAGCACTGCAAGAGCCTGGAAGCACAGCGACGTGGCGAGTGCGCGCTGATGTACCCTATCGTTACATGCGTATACAACAGAACGGGAAAAATTCTTCAGGCCAAAGTCATTATCTCTCGCTCTCGGGTCTTGAAATCTATGGGAAGGTAAACAGCAAAACTATTCACATTGAACACGATTTTTTAAAGTGTAGTCCTCAAAGCTAGTTTGATATATTAATATTTAGTTTTATATATTGTTATTAGGAATTATTACTATTCTTATATATATATATATAAGAATACAACAACACATAATAAGTATTTTATAAATAATATTAATTTTTAATTCTGCATCTTGTAGTACATTGGCATACCAATGTATTTATTTCTTCCCTACTGTTTATTTATCAAATAATGAAATCTCTAGGTAACGAGCGTATTTGATACGGTCCCCCGTCAAGTAGGCGGACCGACGTGTGTAAGCGGCGCTGTGACGTCAGCGAGTACTGGGAGTGGAGGTAGCACGGGCCGTGCGCGTCGCGTGTCGCGGAACGCGCGAGGAATATGCGTAGGCGCACGCGTCGCACGCGGTCCGGATTGGAAATGGCGCGACCAAGACGGTGCGCAACCCGCTATGGGGACGGTGACGTCAGATCTACACAACGGATGGGTGGATGTCAGGTATAACAATTTTTTATAATTACTTCAAATTGTAATATTTTTTACATGATATTGCACTTGAAATTTTAATATTTTTCATATTATCATTTTGCACATGATAGCATTATATCATTTAATAATCGAAACTAAATTGAAAAAAAATTCGACTCGGGCAGTACTTGAACCTTGACATTGCGCAGGAGGTGCATGTATCAATAAGTTGAAAAAAATCGATGATGAGGTGTAGGACTCGGTAGGTCAATTGGTTGCAACAGCACAGAACGCTGATGATACCGGTTCAAGTCCCGCCCGAGTCGATGTTTTTTTCAATTTAGCTTCGATTTTTAAATTGTATTTTTTTATTTGTACCGATGGCGTGTATAGAGTAAGTAATCTTTATCTTCCTTTTTCAAACATAATCATAACTGGGTATACTTTCAGGTGGGATCATGGCGGTCGAAACTCGTACCGCATGGGCGCAGAAGGAAAGTTCGATTTGAAATTGATTGGAAGCTATGAACACAACACGAATTCGCGTTCTCGTAAGAGCCATTCCACGCCTAGTCTACCTGACGCTACGAATAATGATAACCAGGTTTGTATTATAATAATCTTATCTTATCCATAACATTTTGGTGGTAAACATATTATAAAATTTCCTTTCTCCCCTTGCTCTCAAACAATGGTTATAATTCTGATTTTAATAAATTAATCCACTTTTCAGGTTTCCGTAGCTTCGACTGAGCAAGCATCGTCGGCAGACAATATTTCAGGCGAGGAAATGGCGACCAACATGACACGCCCCCGCATGCACGCAACTGACCTCTCGGCCATCAATAACTCTACCCACCATATAAACACAGGTAAATAAAAGAGAAAATATTAAAAGGTGAGGGAATTTTCAAGTAAATTACTACAATCTGTCAATCAGTTAATTTCATATTTCTCCATAATATAATAAGCATATTAATTATATCATTATACATTGTTATTACACCACCAATAGTATATGTCCACGATGATGTATGTATTTTATATCGTATCTCAGAGCTAAAGCTTCACATTCTTTCCAAATAATAACTCTCAGCGACTACTTTATTGTTAAGTCTCGTTTCTCCCCAGGACACTTCCATGTCGGTTTCAGTGATCGATTTTTGTAAAGGCAAAAAGTTGATTAGACTTCTTTGCCTTGCCTAACGAAACTAATTATCGTTTCCCTAGGATTCTAAAGCAGGACAACTCGCGCTTAACGCAATTCTGGGTAACACGTTTAACCATTTGGCTATAGAGGTAAACTTTATTTACATATTCAATAGCGATTAACATGAACAAATATATAAACAGATCTCGCGACAATCGTAGAGTCACTAACCCTCGGAGCAGAAGGCAACAATTGTATGGCGGATTTGGCGAATACTTCGTTAACCAACATGGAGATGGGACCCACCAGTATTACTGATATTACGAAACCTTACCCAGCTAAAGAGCCCGCCCCGGAGTCTAACAGTCAGGAGGTGAGTGTTTTCTTTTAAATGCTTTTTTGTGTCAGTATTTGTATGCTAATAATAATACTGTGTGTCAATAATCCAATTGTCTATTTGACTGATGTGGAAATAACAAAAATGTTTTAAACAAAATAGGGTGACATTTTTTTGAATATACATTTGACTTTATCTACGGCTAAAAAAAATTATCACCCGGGTGATCGTGGCGTATTTAAAAAAATTAAGAATAAATATTGTTAAAGGTATAAATTTAAAAAAAAAATAGAAGAATTGTCAAATAGCCAATTATGAATGGTGCAAGAATTCAAAGTGGTACACGTTTTGGTATCGATTAACACTTAACGGGTTCAAACGGGAGCTAAAAGCACGTTTTTCGGTTTCACCTTTTACACCGACTGTGCCGGTTCTAGAACGTTTAAAATAGTGTAGAGTAGTGTGTTGTGAAGGAGGAGAGGCGGCGACGAAGTTCTGGCGAGGCGCAGCGGAATAGCGCGAACGCGTTGCTTTCGAGCGAGTTGCTCGCGCTGCCCGCCAGCCTGTTGCACACGCTGCGTAATAATGCTAACAGACTGCACATACAGGTATATTTACCCGCCTATTCTGAGACGAGTACACACGGACTGAAAAATTTAACTAACGTCTTAGAATATGAGGGAAGATATCAGTGAAACGATTGTTGCATGGTATTCTAGTAGTAATTTAGTGTATGAAGGTATATACGATTAAAACCACTCAAACAATATAATTACTGTATTTATGTATACTTATAGTACCAGTATCAAATTGATATTACGATTAGTTACATACATATTATATATGTATAAGTTCAACTAAAGTGTTTCTGTATTTTGCATGAGATAAAATGGTAACTTTTATTTTTAAAATTTTTCTTTGTATTAGTTAGGTACAGAACTGGTTGTTAAAAGGTGAAGTTTAATAACAAATTATTTTATTGTAGTGCGAGGAGAATGAGAATAGCGAGGGTCAGTACGTAGAGCACAAAAACGATGGACAAGCAGGCAGCGGTACTATGAGTGCCAGCGAACCAGATCTGACGCAGCAGGTGACGAATATAGCTTATCTATTTCAATATATCTTTAATATTGTGTAAATTGAAAAATATTCACGAATAACCTTGTTTATAGGGTGCGGCGCGGTTACTAGAATCTCTTGGTGTGGGTCGGATGACGAGCGGGTCTCGGAACAACTCTAACCAGCAGAGATCTAATCGTAACAATCCCAGCTCTCTGTTCCCTAGGTTAGTACATTTTTTAAATTTGTTAACACTCTTTTAACAGTTTAATACGCGAAACATATAAATTACAACGTGTCCATGGGTGCTGCATCGTATATGAATAGTCGGGCCGTTGTTTTAATACTTAAAAGTGTTTTATTTAAATATTTTGTGAAACATCTTATATTGTTATGTTTGCATAGTTCTTAAAATGTAATCTTGTCGTTACGCTTAGTTTACATTCAAAATGTGTTTTATTATATTATGTGTTTAATATAAATTAAAATGTAGTTCTAGAGTAAAATACGATAAACACTTGGTGATTTAAAATTTTTGTATGACAGAAGAGGGCAGACAATCTTGGGGGTTTACTAAATGGAATGCGAAACACTGGCTATATAACGTCCAAATGAGATACTCTATCGACATATTATCTACGCCGCTTTGGATATTCGGAAAATTTACATGAGTATTATTGTTTTTCACAGCTTAGTACGCCTAGCGCTGTCCAGTAACTTTCCGGGCGGTCTTTTGTCTGCCGCGCAAAGCTATCCGTCCCTTGCACCGAACGCCCAGAATGCTCTCACGTTATCGCTGACCTCTACGTCCAGTGAAAGTGAACAGGTATTTGATACTTCTCACACTATATGAAAAGATGTCACTGATTGTGAATGTCAAATTCATCTTACCCTTGTTCTTTTTATGGGGTCCACTTGTGGAAATACCTCAGTCATAAAAACATTTACACAAATGCACTGTTGACCTATTTTGACTTTGGATATTCGGAAATCCACAGACTGTAACCGAAACGCTCGATGCCTTTTTAATCTGTTCAACTTTAGAATTATTATACAATCGTTTAATGAGTTTTGATATGATAAAATTGTTTGTTACTTCTTAGGTCTCATTAGAAGACTTCCTAGAGTCGTGTCGTGCGCCGGCTCTCCTCACAGAGTTGGACGACGATGATGAGGGTGACGACGCACTTGATAGTGACAAAGAAAATGAACCCACATACCAGGATCTACCGCGCGTTGCTTATGTAAGAATTTCATCTTTATAAATGTCGGATATGTTTGCATTATTTTACGTTTAAAATATAATATTTTTGTGAGACAAATAATAATATTAATAAAGTAATTTTAACTATCGATTACGTTAAAATACGCGCCTCAGAAAGAATAATTTATCTGTAAGAATATAATTTATCTGCTCTATGTTAGTAGTGTTAGTAGTATAAAACTCGCTATACTCTTCATGATGTTATTCTATATTTAAAGTATTGTATATTTCTGTTTTTGTAGGTATCTCGTAATCTATTATCTTTGATGGAGGAGGAGGCGTTAGAAGCAGTTCATGGCGGCGCTAGTGGTCGCAATGGAGCCCCGGCATGGCGTGCGCGGAAGCCTTGGGATGACGATTTTGTTCTCAAGCGTCAATTCTCAGCGTTGATACCCGCTTTTGACCCAAGACCCGGGCGCACTAATCTCAACCAGACTGTTGGTTCGTTCAATTCTCTTCCAAATACTAGTATTATTTTGTTTATTGGATCATAATATGATTTGTAGTTTGTTACTTGTAATAATTTTACGTTCGATATCTAATTATTAATATATTTCAACAATTTAGATTTTTATAAAATTTTTAAAACACTTTAACGGTTTAAAACGCGATATATATTCGTTTCTTATTTTTAAATTATCTTAACAGTTCTTGGTTCTCCTTGTGACCACGACTGCTGCGAAGCATCTGAAACGACAAGCCGTAATTAAAATAATATCCAAATAAGTTTTATTATTATATAGCTCGAGTTAAACCGTTGAAGTGTTTTATTTGAATGTGTACTCGCGTAAACTACAAACAATATTTCATATAGATCTCGATATACCCCTGAACGAAGAATCCGAATCGGAAGAAGCCGATGAACCCACAGCCAGCGGCAGTGATGCGACACTCACGGAGAACACAAACGTAACTAGCTCGCGACTGCCTGCCTTAAAGCTGGTCCTTAATTCAGCTGGTGTATCACTACCGTTGGATAGGCCATCGTGGACGCTTTACCGAGCCGTGCTTGCCCTAAATGCCAAACTGCCAGCGCATGATTCGCACAGAGATACAACGTACACGTTAGTATTTATATTTATTATTTGTGCCAGAAACATTTCAACGTCAATTGATCTTAGACAATCCATTTCTTTTTTATCAGATTGTCTTATATGGTAATAATACGAAATTTTTCGAAGTATAAAGGTTATCAGGATACCAAAGGCTTACTCTTACAATATTAACTTATGGAGGAACTATGTTGAGTTAGTCTTATAAAATTAAGTTTGTTCTACTAATATACTGTCCAGAAAAATAATATATGCTGCCAGGATTGTTTCTAATCTAGGAGGTAAGTTAACATTGGTGTAATAAATGTAAGATAGATCTACTCTAATTGTCGGTGTTTTGTGACAGGTTGACTTACAAGGAGGTAGAGAGTGCGGACACGTTGACTCCAACAAGTAATAGCGAAGAGGACGAGCCTGAAGACCCAGGTATATAGTTAGCAACGATTAGTATGCATACATTAATAATTTTTTACAAAAACATGCCAAAAGTTGAAGATAAAGTATAAAAAAATTACCATCATTATTACTATTATATTTTGTTACCACGATTTACGTGGCCACTTATTTTTATGATAAAGGAGGACAGTCAAGCATGAGGTTCTATGATAGCGTAAACGCAATTAATTTCAAGGACTACGGTCGGTGGTTGTGACCCGAACGGAATTTTGATATTTCTATTACCCACATCCAGATTTCCGAACTGTTGATTTATTGGCCTACCATCTCACCAACGAGCCCGTTAGATTACTTCTTATCGGCTAATTAATTCACCTGTTGTATATGCCTGGTTACTTTTTATTTTTAAATAATTTGAAATAACTAACAACCGAATCAGTCCTGGTTTATTTTTATCATATCTATATTTGTTTATTTCTACAATTTAATATCATACACAAAATTGGTGTACGTATAATAACTTACCTTGTATGATGTGTTTATTAGTGGAGCGTGGTGTCTTGGGATCCGAGGGCGACAGTGATAAGGGCGCGATGGTGACCTGCTGTGTTCGCGTGCTACGACGTCTACGAGCCACTGTACCTTCCTTGTCACCTGAAGCACTCCTTTCTACCAAGCTGACTAACAAACTGCACCACCAGCTACAGGAGCCTCTTACACTAGCAGCAGCAGCTGCGCCTAGATGGTAATACTTTTCTTAGTCGTTATCAGCTTACTTTTATATTAAGAATTATCTGTGGCCGTGACTTCGCCTGCGTAGAGTAGTAATGGACATCTAAATTTGTTTTAGCATACTATGCAAAAATTTTAGCTGTTATGCACGACGTCGTCCACGTCCCGTCCGTCTAGCAAGTATATTATACATATTTTTCGGGTACCTTGATCCGGAAAAACCTTTGAGAAACCTTGAAAGATGAAAAATTTTAGCACACAACACTTCATTCCTATTGTTCATGGTGTGGTGTTTTATGGCCTCAAATATTTCTACGATAAATGTTCTAACCAATATTTCTTTTTTAAATTAAAACCAGTAACTCCTAAGAACCTCTAGCTTTATAATTTAGTGTGGATGCTGGCTTCTCAAGAAGTCGTTTCATGTTATGTGCCTAGTGAATTCGATTTACGATTCGTAGTACTTTAATGATTATTACTTGCAATGTACAGAATAGTATTTGAAATAATAAATATTCATCTGTTACAGGTGTCAACAGTTAAATGATTGGTGTCCGTTCCTGTTTCCATTGGAAACTAGACAGATGTTCTTCGCTTGCACTGCATTTGGCACTTCCAGGACGATAGTCTGGTTACAAGCGCAGCGGGATCGAGCCTTAGACAGACAGAGGTATTTTCAATTTGACATATGTATATTTATTTTCGTATAATGTTTTATAAATGCCACGTTTACCATCATTACTTTCTTATACAATTTGTATAACAATACGGCCTATGCGACTCGGACTAGAACTAGTTAATACGAATCACTAACACCTTACTAAATAAATTCATTTGATAAAAAATTAAAATATACCATATTCTTTTAAATAAAATTCTTAAGATTTGAAATCGAAATATATTATTCATCTACTAGCACCATAGCAGATTTGACTGAAGATGAAGGCTTTCCCTAAAGTCAACATTTGGGAGTCTCCTTTATCAGTCTTCATATTGTGACCATATTTTTTTTCAACAATGCACACGCACAATAATCCACATTTTATTACAGAGCTGGTAACACGGTATCTCCAAGACGAGCGGATCTAGAAGCGTCAGAGTTTCGTATGGGCAGATTGAGGCACGAGCGAGTCAGAATACCACGTGATCCACACTTGCTACGGTCAGCCATGCAAGTATGTACAATAGATTTTGTTTTGAAATTTATGATAAGCCCTAAAACTTGTATATTCCACCGAATCTTCATTGTATTAATCGGTATATAATTTACATTAGGTGATGCGTGTACACGCGGGTCGGAAGTCCGTGCTCGAGGTAGAATTCGCCGGTGAGGAGGGCACAGGGCTCGGTCCAACTTTAGAGTTCTACGCGCTTGTCGCGGCAGAATTACAGCGAGCTGACCTAAACATGTGGCTGAACGATGCGCACACGCAAGAAAGCAGCACACCGCATATAACGCTGCCAGATGGTAATAAATTATTATATTCTTAAAAACCAGGAGTGGAATATAATAAAAATGGCAATAAATTATTAATATAATTTATAAATTAAATTATAAACAAGCTAAATAATCATCTTTTCTACTAAATGTCACAACACTGAATTATTTGAAAGACAGATAGAGTGACTTTTCGGCCTGAAGCAAGTTGTCGATACAATCAAGCTCTTGACGAGCTTGGTTCTATGAGGCGTGCATGAGCTCTAACAATATGTTACTAGAATTAGAATGGCTGTCGGATGTTCAGATTGTTATACGTTAAGTAGCAAGCAAGATTCACTTAATTTTTTTATTAGCTGACTCTGAACTGCATACCGCCTATTACCAATAAAGTAAGGTTTCGTTGGGAAAATCGTTGTTACTATAAAATTTATAATCTTTTCTTTTTGCAGTAGAAAAACCATTGGGTTACTACGTGTCGTGCGCTGGTGGCCTGTTCCCAGCGCCGTTGCCTCAAGACTCAACTATCTGTGATAAAGTTTGCAAATATTTCTGGTTCCTAGGAGTATTTTTAGCTAAGGTAAATAAGTACAATAATAAAAAAAATAATAGAATAACAAAAAAATAATTGTATGTATATTGTAATGTTATGCGTTTTTGCAGGTTTTACAAGACGGGCGACTAGTCGATTTACCTTTATCTGAGCCTTTCTTGCGAATAATGTGCGGCGAAGAGCTCGCGACTGATCTCTTGGAGGAAGTTGATCCAATTAGATATAGGTAATATTATTTTAAATAAAAAAATAAACTGTACTGTTACTCGTATCTCATGATATGACGTTTGGTGGAGTTTTCAGACTTCTGTTGTAACTAGAAGAGAATCATAATTTTTTAAAAGGGGTCACACCCATACGACAAACTTTATCTATAATTATCATTTGGTAGGTGTTGCAGTTAATATGATCATTGCTCAATGTAGTAACGTAAGAGTTTATTTTCGTAGGTTCCTTATTAGTGTATTAGCCGCGGCGGATATATACGACGCGATAATGAGAGATACAACACTAAATGAGGAGCAGCGTGAAAGCCGTACGAAAGAGTTATCGGTAGATGGCGCCACGTTTGAGCAACTCTCTCTTACTATGACTTATGTAGCAGCCAACACGGACAGTTCGGTAGCCATACAGCCATTGTGTGAGGGAGGTGAACATATCGAGGTAAATACAGAACTACATCTCAAGGTTAAGGGAATCAACAACTACATTAAAATAATCCCTAACAGTTTAAATTTCGTCAATATTACGAAACGTCAGGCCGTAGTTAAAATAATTTGTAAATTAGTGTAACTAATATATTTCAGTTTTAAACCGTTAGTGTTTCATTTAAATGTTCTTGTACTTATGAAATACGATTGATGACAATGTCTAAACTTTATTAAGGTTGGACCGCACAATGCCCGCGAGTACGCTCTCTCTAGCGCCCGCTGGATGGTGTCTGACGGTGTGAGACGTCAAACGGACGAATTTCGACGCGGCTTCGGCGCTGTGTTCCCCCCTCGACGGTTACGTGCCTTTTCACCATCCGAACTGCGGCTTCTCGTGTGCGGGGAGCGTGGCCCTGTCTGGACTAGAGATCATTTGCTGCAGTACACAGAGCCCAAACTTGGATATACCCGTGACAGGTAATTTTTATTAATGAATTATACTTGATTCAAGTTTTAGGTACTTATTAAATCGTTTGAAAACTTTAATATTTTTCTTATTTTTTTTTATTTGTTTTTCGGAACGGAACGCTGACGATGCTGGTTCAAGTCCTGCCCGAGTCGAATTTTTTTTTCAATTTATTTTCGATTTTTAAATTACTTATTAAATTGTTAAGCCCTATTACTAAGCAGGAGTCTTGACTATCGGTCATCACGCTGTTTCTCATTGTCCACGACAGACACAAAGATACAAAAATTAATACACAGTAACAATAAAATGATAATTCCATAGGACTCTTATTTATGAGCTCCAGTCTTACTTTCACTTGATACCAAGCAAAGTTTATTTCAACAGTTGTATAATTATTGCGACGTTGGATAAACATAAACATTACATTGAGCAAGAGGTGCATGTATCAATAGGTTGAAAAAATTCGATGATGACATGTAGGGCACGGTAGCTCAATTGGTTAATACAACGAAACACTGTGGATACCGGTTCAAGCCTGCCTGTGTTATATTTTCTAAAATCGATTTATACGTTATGTTGGTGAAGTTATTTTCCATAACACTATCCAATATTTACTACATGCAATCTTATAGATAAGAAGATCCACATTTATTTTGACTTCATCTACCTACTATAAAATTTACCTTGCTCGTTTTTCTGTTTTCTGTTCAAGACGGGTATGGTAATATAATTTATTTTGCAGTCCGGGCTTCTTACGGCTCGTGGAAGTGCTGGTGGAGATGTCTTGTCGGGAGCGCAAGGCTTTCCTACAATTTGCGACTGGCTGTAGCAGTCTGCCGCCTGGTGGTCTGGCTAATTTGCATCCTCGACTCACTGTAGTGCGCAAGGTAAGAAAAAAAAAATCACTTAAAAGCCGTTAATTTATACTAATACTAGAAAGGTTGAAGAGTTTGTTTGGTTAAACGCGCTAATCCCTGGAACTACTTGTTTGGATTGAAAATTTATTTTTTTGTCGGTTAGATCATCCGTCGAGAAAGTCCTTAGGCTATAAAACGTCACACTACAAACAAAAAGAGCGAAATAAGATTAGAAAATGTGGTAAAAACGGAAATAAATATACCTCTTTGAGGGTTTCCGTTACGTGCGCTGCAAATACGCTTTATACCACACCAATATATATGAAAAAAGTATTCCTCTTTAAAGGACCTAAAAGAAATGGCCACGACAGTATATGACTATATTTTAAGATTAACTACAAAACAGACGGGACATAGTTGATGCCGAGGATAACAGCTATTATTTATAAAGGAGGTTGTTTGCAAAAAATAAATTTTGACGAAAAAGCACAGTTAGTACTATAGGTATATTTGCGGTTGCCAAGTTACTTATACCTAATGTCTCTATATTCGTATAAAGTAATTACAATTATGTTTCTAATTTGCAGGTGGACGCGGGCGATGGTTCCTATCCCTCTGTGAACACATGCGTACACTATCTCAAGCTACCCGAGTACTCGTGTAAAGAAGTTCTACGCGAAAGACTTCTAGCAGCGACTAACGAGCGAGGCTTCCATCTCAACTAGATACAATTAGCCTAACCATGGTGAAGACTATAGGTCCTTTTTATTACGCTGAAATTAATTACATTTTCATTAATACAATTATCATAGCAGTTTAAAACAGTTAGGGAGCTGGTCAAAAAAAACACTAAAATGATGTTTTCGTTCCTGTTACTGAATTAACGTATTAAATATATTAAGAATGGAAGCCTTTATATAGGGAATAGCGTTTGTGTTATATCAGTTTTGATTTTTTGGTAGAAATTATTCAAATAAAATGTTTATACTTAAAATTATCAAGTTTAAATAAAACACTTTAACGGTTTAAAACACGATATATTAGTAAAACTTATTTGAAAATGATTTTTAACTTCGCTTGTCTCCCCGTGACCACGGCTGCTGCAAAGCATCCGAAACATCGGGCCGAAGTTAAAAATCATTTTCAAACAAGTTTAACTAATATATCGCGATTTAAACCGTTAAAGTGTTTTATTTAAACTTGATAATTTTAAGTATAAACTATAGACAGTATTATCAAGTTTGTCTAGACAGCGAAATCATAAAATGAGTACCACCAGCTCTCTGGCTTCGGCCCATTTAATTGCCAGGCTGACTTAAACAGTTTTGGTATCATGTAATTAAGAGGAAAATATTTATGTACTTATATGCACCACAAATAGTATAGTCACTTTCAGCTTTAAGTTAATTTTTGAATTCATTCATACAACAAAAACGTTCTGTCACTTATAAAGAGTTGCAAGCTTGGTCTGTGTTCAATTTAATACAAATTTTAGTGAAATAATGTAGTCGTCGTAATATGGGTGTTGAGAGGATATATTTTGTAGCATATTTTCTAAGATACTGTGCAGTTTACATCAGCTGGCCGCAGCAAGATAATCTCAAAAGTTTTTCTTTGTATACCTATGGCAGCTTTTTTCTGTCCTCATTCTGTATTCGTAATAAATTAGGATGTCGACTGTTAACATACGAAAAATACATATACTCAAATACATCTAGACCGGCGTCTTCAAACACAAAAAACTTCGAAGAGGTAAATAGGTTTTTGCGATGGCTAAAAACGTTTTAATAAAGATAAAGTTTAAAAATAGTGAGTTAATTCTGCAATGAAGTGAAGTATTATTGTTGCCTTATACTTTATTAGGTGAACGTGTGTATTTTTCTATTATAATTAGTGTATTATTCGTCTTGAGGCTATAATAGCTATGATCCCTTTGACGAATCGTCAGAAATTTGCATACAACTTCATAGCACATAAGTTTTTTTTTTTATACACTTATCTGGCAACACAATGTATTATATATAACAGTGTATTACCAGGTTATTAACACAATATTTGTTCTTACGCTTCGAAACAATTGTGGTTATTTCATGAAAAATATGTAGTGGGAATTTCAATTTTATGTAAAATAGTTTGTTTTTAACATGCAATGTATTCTTAACGTTTGTGGAATGTATAATTATTATTTTTTAATATAAATACCTCCTTTTCAAAAGCTTAGATGATAATTCACGATATGTTTTCTTAGACTTCTCATTGGCTTTGGATTTTCAATAAAAATATTCAATTAGATGTATTGTATAATCTGTATATATTAATTCGAGACTTCCGAAAAAAAACTATAAACCAACAGAGAAAGTATTAATATACATGGCAAGGGCTAAATTATTATTTCAAAAGTGTTTAACACTCATGCATTGTAAAATCGTTTAGTGTATCCCTTAGTTAATTGATTTCTCAACTGAAAGTTGTTCATGTGATTTTGAAATAAATACCTATTATATGAAATGAAATATATTATTTTGTAGCTTAAATTTACGTTAAGTTTTACGGTATTAACATTAACTTAGAATTTTGTAGTATCTAATCTGCTATTTGTTGTTGAAGATTATATCAATAAATTAAGCAAAAATGACTTCTCTTTTATTCAATTCTACGTTCCTATGGTACTAAAGTTTTTCTTTAAATTTTTTAGTATTACGCTCTACTAAGTTAAAAATCATATTCTTTAAGTACATTATATGTTAATGTTCCTAGGGACATGGACGAGACATAGAAAAACTTGTAGGATATAAGAGAGTATTACGCTCTAAAACAGTAAACTTATTTAAAAAAATTTTTTTTTACCTCCCCCCCCGCTTTGGGGTTTTTTGGGGGGGGGGGGGGGGGGGGAACCCCCCGCGACCACGAACCGAAGCTAAAAATCATATTCAAAAAAATTTAAAAAAGGAAAAGGGGAAAAAAAAAAAAAAAAATTAAAAAAAACGCCGGCGCCCCCCCCCACCAAAAAAACAAAAAGGGTTTTGGCGGCGGGGTTAAAAAAAGGAAAAGGGGTTTAAAAAAAAGGGGAACAACACGGGAAAAAAAAAAACAGTATTTACAACAAACAACACACCCCCCAACCCCCCCCCCCCCCCCCCCAAAACAAAACCAAAAAAAAAAAAAAAAAAAAAAAAAAAACCCAACCCAAAAAAAGGGGGGGGGGAAAAAAAAAAAAAAAAAAAAACACAACCCCCCCCCCCCCCCAAAAAAAAAAACCCAAAAAACCCCCCCCCCCCCGTTTAAAACCGAAAAAGGGTTAAAAAAAGGGGACCCCCCCCGGAAAAAAAAAGTTTTATCTACGCAAGTTTATGTAAAATCAGTTATAATAAACTTATATTTAAAAATATGCAATCATATGCTTGTGATTATTAGCAACAGCTGTGACTAGGATGGATAATAACAAAGCCTGCATCCGAACAACGTTATTGGACTTAGATTTCCTGTCCCGGTCACGAAGTACCATCCCCACATAAAAAGCCTTCACCTATTGTCGTATGAAAATCACTGCTACTAAAGACGACGTGAATAAAACCTAGAACATTTAGTTTCTTCTCGCTATTTCAATTATAGTGAGAAATGTTTATCAATGCTTCGCTGTAACAGTCTTATACAAAACATGTGGATAATTTGATATACAAAGAAGATATATAGATAAACATACCTTGTGAAGTATCGCTATATACCATGTACTGGTAAACAAAAATAAAAATCAACTAAAAACCACTAGAGGCAAATATTGCGTTGTCCAAATTGCAGCGAACGCAAGCAACAAGAACGTTTTTTATGAATGCTTTGTTCGGACAACGGGTCCCACTGCGCAATGCAACCGTATCTCGACTCTACGACATAGTTGCAACCTTGGTGTTTACATTACACAAGTACTAACTTAAAGAACTACTTGCTATAAAAACTTTGGTGTTATCTGAAAAGTCATCAGTAACCTCACGGATACAGTAGAAACATGAGGGCCTATCTTTGGTGTTGTGTTTTGGTAGCGGCGCTGGCTTATGTCAGCTGCCGGGAGGTCTCCAGGGCAAAACGGGATACCGACCTAGAAAGCGCCGCAAGCCATCACGGAGGAAAATGGGACAAAGGTGGTGGCCACGAGCATCACGCGCATCACCATCACGATCATGGCGAGAAAGGGCACAAAGGCTACAAGGGTCACCACCATCACGAACACGGCAAAAAAGGCCACCATCACCACGAAGGCCATAAAGGACATCACGACGAACACGGTGGACATAAGAAACATCACCATCACGATGACGGACACCATCATGAGCACCATCACGGCGAAAAGGGACACAAGGGTCACGGTCACCACGAAGAGGGTCACTACCACAAAGGACACTCCACTAAAGGACATCACGGTGTACACAAACATGATGAATTCAAGAAAGAGAAACATTTCCATGACCATCATCATGATGGGGGCCATCATGAGCACCACGGTGGACATCATGAAGAGCATGGTCACAAGAAGGGTGGAGAATTCCACAAGGGACACAAACACGGAGGACATCACCACCACGAACACGGCAAGAAGGGTCACCATGAAAAGGGAGGACATCACCACGACCACAAGGACCACCACGATGAAGGCGGTCATCATGAGCATCATCATCATCACCATGATCATGGAAAGAAGGGAGGTCATGAAGACCACAAGCACTGGGGTTACAAGAAGGGACATAAATAAATGCCAAATACACCAACTGCGACTGTTCCTATAAATAAGTTTAGTTAGGATAAAGTTGATCTGTTACTGTTAAAAATTGTGTTGATTTTTTTACGTTTTGTTAATAAAAAAATATAATATTTATTGCAGTTATTTATTTCCCCTTAAATTAAGATGCCACTACGGTCAATTTTCATGAATAACCACGTATCCTAACCGAGAATTTGTTATGGTATTTAGTAGGTCAAGTTTGTATACAAATAATGCATCTTATACAAACTTTTTATCTGGAAGAAAAGTGGTGGAAATTAATAACCGAAATTAACAATTAAACCATTTTTAGCCATTGATAAATTACATTTTACTGTTAATGCAAATCATGAAATAAAAGTATTAAAAGTATTTTAGAAAAATTGAAAAATAGATAAGAGAAAAATAATCTTAATAACACGCGTGTACGCTGATCTTCGCAATCGATTTAATCAAATGTTTAAACGCAGCCTTACCTTAAAAATAAAGTAATTTAACTATTTTATCTTCGCAGCAGTTAATCAAGCAAAAAGTTTTGCGTCTGTATCAGTACTGTTAAATTTACAAGTCTTTGAATTAGGTGAAGTTTTTTTCTTTGTATTAGAAGAATACAGAAAATCTAAAGCGCTCCAATTTTGTTGGTAAATAAATAACTATAAAAGGTTCTATAACTTTACAAGAATGATAATAAAGTAATTTCACAGTAGCTTTGGTTTCGACAGGCATGTTACATAAAACCAACGGTTGGCAACATTTGGTAAGATACGTTTAAAAGATAGGTTACCTGAGACCGCATTGTGTGTTATCTTGAATGTACTGGAGATACCAAATTTAGAAGCACGCCAGAAAATTATTATTTGTATATGTATTGTTAGTACTTGTGGGCCGGTAAAAAACTTATAAGATTCACAGATAGCAGTTTTATTTAAATGTTTTGTTTACGTTTCTTGGTATTTAATTTAAAAATTAAGTAGATATAAATAATAAAAAATTCCCTTTTCCTTTTTGTTAATTGCTTATCTTAAAACATGCTTAGTTTTACAGTATGCCTGTACTATTCAATATATATTTAATATTATAGTACAACGTTTAATTAGAGGGTAGGCTAGATTGAAGATGTATTATATATAGATAAAGATATATTTTAGGTTTAAAAATCGAAATTGAGCTACCGAGTCAATTGGTAGAGCAACAGCACGGAAAGCTGACAATGCCAGTTCAAATCCTGCCCGAGTCGAAAATTTTTTCAATTTCTTTCGATTTTTAAATTATATAGTGCCTTCGTGTGCTATAACATGTGAAAAATAATAATGTTTTCAAATATTTTAGGTTTACTAGAGACTATATAATATATCATCGAAGGTTCCTTCATTTAACAGCGTGAAGATTAAAATGCATTCTAGCTTGCACTTGTGCAGTAATCGAATTGAAGGAAATAATTTCCCTAGCGAGTATCGGGAACAACAGCTATGTTAATAATAATGATATTTCAGTTCGTTCGGCCAACGAAATTGTACCAAATGTTTAAATAATTGAACAAAACAATTGAGTATTTAACACATATTTTAATACTTATCTCATGTATATGATGATTCAATTCGTTTCAATTTCGATATACAAGATATTCTGAATCGATTTTTAAATGTTTACTAATCTATGAACGACAAAGGAGGACACACAAGCTTACAGTTCACTTGATAAAAAGTTAAAGACCTATTTGGATATCAGATATCGGAAACCTTCAGACTTAAACTGAAAAGCGAATTTTCACTTCACAACTTTTCCACCTTCGGAACGTGGTTCGTCCGAACGAAATTTAGATATTTAGACCATTCAAATCGAGATTTTTCAAACGAGGTTTAATATGGTTAAACAGTAATATCGAATGCACGACCCGCTCTTGATTAGTCATACATCGCTACCATTGGATCATGGAGCCTGCCTAATCCTCTTGCTGTTATCAGAATTGGTACTAAAATTAACTTTATTACATCTAAATGCATAACATCAGTATGACCTCTATAAAAACATTAGTAGAGAGTGGAAATTAAATTCTGTGAAACGTATTATACGTTAGTATTAGGTATACTACGAACGAATAATTAAGCGTCGGAGAATAATTTCACTTAAGAGCTTTTAGGTATCTTCCTTCGTTAGATGCGTATAATGATTTTATATTATGTTGTAGAAGATATTTCATTATAGACAATACGATTATAAAAGGTTTAGTTAGGATAATGACGTTATAAAAGCCAATTTCAAACAACAAATATAGAAAACTAAGGGTGCTTTCCTTATTCCTCGCATTTCCCTTTTAATAAAGTCGAGTAATCTTTTATTTTAACCTTGTTGACTGACACCGAGACTTAATTATTTATTTTAAGTTTTAATCGTACTGTCAGCAATCGCACAAATTGTGATTAGAAACAGTTTTTAATACTGCACAACAGGCCGCTTGCCGCAACAAACCGCTTAGTTTGTCGCGATTCGACGTTTGATGTTACACAACTGTTTATATAAAACAGCAACGAAATCCGTAATCTTGTCAATTTAAGAAATAATCACAGTGAATCTGGACTCATAGCAGTGAACGAACATGCGGTTAGTTATTCTATTAGGACTTCTGATATTCTACGTCGTAGTCTATTCCGATGCGAGACGAATTAAACAATTAAAAAAGGACGTGGAAGAAGTCAAAAAGGCCGATGACCAATTAGACGCAGCAACCGAACATAAGAAAGCTGAAAAACCACAGAGTCACGAATTTAAAAAAGGAGGCGGAAAAGATCACCACGCGGAACATCACGATGATCATGGAGAAAAAGGGCATAAAGGTTATAAAGGACATCATCACCACGAGGAAGGTAAAAAGGGACATCATGACAAAGAACAGCATAAGGGAGAATACGATGATCACGGTGCTAAAGAAAAAAAACACCACCACGAAGACGGACACTACGACGAACATCACAAAGGAGAAAAGGGTGAAAAGGGACACAAATATGCGGAAAAAGGACATTACAATAAGGGTCACTCAACTAAAGGCCATCATGAAGTCCATAAGCTAGACGAATTTAAGAAAGATAAGCACTTCTTTGACGAAGAAGGAGATTCCGGTCACGAAGAGAAGCACGGTGGTTATCACGAAGAGCATGGTCACAAAAAAGGAGGGAAATTCCACAAAGGTCATCATGATGGTGGTCACCACGAACATGAGCACGGAGAAAAGGGTCACCACGAAAAAGGCGGGAGCCACCACGAGCATAAAGGACACAAGGAGTCTGGAGGTCATGATGAACATCATCATCACCATCATGATCATGCAAAGAAAGGTGGTCACGAACATCATAAGAAATGGGGTTTCAAAAAAGGACACTAAAGTGATACAAAATAGTATACGGTATTCCTAGAAGGACTTGTTAATTATGGCTATAAGTTTTTATCTCTGGTCATCTATTTATTTTTGTAAGTTATGGATTTTGATAAAGTACTTTGTTATTATTTAAAATCAGCATTGTTATTTCTGAAATACATTGTTAAAAAAAGTAAATCTTTTATTGGTTAAGAAATACCCAATCCTTGGAAACGTGGTAGATGTAGATCATTTAAATGATATATTTTAATATTAATGCAATTAAATTAACAAGCTAGTAGATGTCAATATTTTTTTGCATGCGTATAATGATTTTTATAACTCATAAGTAATTTGATGATATTGTTAGACATGACATTTTAAAGGGTTAAGTTAAGTGTACAGTAGTATAAAGGTTTAAACTCTTTTTTGGTATTTAATAGTTATATAGATAATTAGCAATTCATATTTTAGTACAAAAATTGCTTAAAGCGTAATAAGGAAGTAGCGTAAGTTGCATTAAGGTAAGTAATCTATGTAGGAATTAGTATACATCTAATATATAAAATTCTTGTTTCACAGTTTTCGTTGCCATACTCCTCCGAAACGGCTTGACCGATTTTGATAAAAATTTTGTGCTTATCCGGTATCTATGAGAATCGGCCAACATTTATTTTTCATCCCCCTAAATGTTAGGGGTAGTCCACCCCTAAATTTTTTTATTTAGACAAAATTTTAAATTTCTATTTTTTTATGATACAAAAATACACACAATCATCAATTTTCACCCTTCTACGATCAACCTTTATTTTTATATGGCAAAACAACGTTTGCCGAATGCCGGGTCAGCTAGCAAAATATAAAAACATCAAACTAAGAAGTTCAGAGAACAAAATCTCGTTTCTTATAGCAGCTGGCACATTTGTGTGTCCGTTTCCTTGGCATATTTCATTATTAAGTAGTAAATAAAACATTTTTAACGGTTTTAAACCCAAAATATATTCGTTAACTTTTCTTAATGTAATTTATCTATGGCCCGATTTAAAACAAGTAGGTAATCAGACTTTTGTGCTGAATCATTGAAATTTAAATCCTAAATAACTTTTAATGAAGATTATACTAAGATTATACTCATACAAAAATCTATTCTTACATTTACTCGAAGCTACGTAATCAAGCGATATAGCTTTTACACTAATTAACGGTCGAATGGAGGGCTTACGGGTGTCACACCTCGCATTAGATTTATAGCGCAATGTGACGTTACTTTAAATCCTTCACGCTGTGAGCAACAGCTACTTAATGTGACGTTTATTGAGTGACATTCGCTAATTACGAGAACATTAACTAATTATTTGCCTTAATTTGTGAGTATAGAATAGGTCCTTTATGACAATATTGTATGGCACTTAGCGATAGAGTCCTGAAGAAAGAAAATGGAGGCACAGTTTGCGTGTGGATAGTTTTGTTCAATGCACGTCAACATCGTTAAAGAATGACGAGGATACAACACGGCAGTTAAAAGTTAGCATAGTAATTAAAAATCCATTTTAGATTTAAAAAAAATTACACGCGCAGGTTTTGAACCGGTATCCGGTTGTTGCTCTAACCAATAGAACTACCGTGTACATGTCATCGTCAAAATTATCTCAACCCATCTGATGCCATATTCAAACCTGGATTCAATAAAAACAAAAAAGCATACAAACAACGCGAAGACACCGGTAATTTAATTAATGTAATGACATCATGTTCGCAAATAAAATGTCGGGCAAAATATCGTAGATTTTGTGCCAAAGTTATAAACATATTATGAACTATGTGGAACTAATATTGCGACAAATATTCATCTTTACGAGTTGTTGCTCTAACAATGGCGTGTGCTGCAGTGTACACGTTTCGTAAAAATCAACCCATAAATATGTAATGAAATATCTTTTTAAATGATAAAAAAAATATCTCTGATACCAATGGTATTTTAAAAGATACATATATGACAGTCTATCTTTTAAAATTAACTCGCAAGCACCATTATTAAGGTAATCAATTTTGGTCGAAATTAATAAATTATTATCTATATATTTCTTAGAGTTATACCCAGTATGCCAAATGAGCTGGTGCAGCTAATAACGCAGGACGCCTCTAACGCACGAAATGGTGGGCTTTGGGCACAGCTTATAATGTGAGGGCTAAAATGGCTTTAGCGTAAATAATTCCAAAGTTATAATTAAAATATATATTTGTATTTACAAGATTGGCATTATAATATGTCTAATAATACTGTAGACCCTCACTGGTGTCATATCACAAATTTACAAACTAGTTAATGCTAAGCTTTAATGGCCCTTAAATCCCCAATGTTTATGGTCTTCGTGTCCGCCTTTCTTTCCGTGGCCCTCATGATGACTATGATGCTCATGATGGCTGCCTTCATCATGATGCCCTTTGTGGTCATGATGATGTCCTCCCTTTTCATGGAAACCTTTCTTTCCATGATGGTGTTCATGATGGCCACCATGATCGTGTCCCTTTTTAAAGTGTCCACCCTTCTTGTGGCCGTGCTCATCGTGATGACCACCATATCCTTCATGGAAACCAGACTCTCCGAACTTATCGTGGAATTTCTTGTTCTTCAGGAACTCATCTAACTTGTGCACCCCATGATGTCCTTTAGTTGAATGTCCTTTGTGAAAATGTCCCTTTTCTTCAAATCCGTGGCCCTTTTCTCCTTTCTCGCTGTGGTGGTGTTTATGGTAGTGCCCATCGTCGTGGTGGTGATGTTTTTTGTGACCGCCATGTTCACCATGATGTCCCTTGTGTCCTTCGTGATGGTGATGTCCTTTCTTGCCGTGCTCGTGGTGGTGGTGACCTTTGTATCCCTTGTGCCCCTTGCCACCGTGCTCGTGGTGGTGATGATGATGATGTTCTTTGCCGCCGCCTTTCTCGTGGTGATTCGACGCAGCTACCTCTAGGTCCGCGTCTTTGTCTTCTAAGTTCCGAGACTGGGACACCTGAAGAAGGAATAGCAAACAGCTCACCACGAGCACCGCCTTCATCGTTAGTGTTGTTGTCACAACAACTTGTTACTTAATGGACACCGCAATTTATAGCAAGGTTTTATAGACACGGAGCCGAGAATTTTCTTTTCGTTACGATTAGGCAACTGAGCGAGCTGAATGTACTCGTATTGTTTACGTTTCTCGCCAAGGCTAGGTCCAAAAGAGAAGATAATAATATTTAATTAATTTAAATGCCGTGTTTCAATATTTCAATTGTTTCAAATGTTGAAAGGTGCATTGGATTAATGCTAGATAACACAAACACAAGCCAGTCAACAAGACGTCTAGAATTAATTATTCTAGTTCATATGTGTACACTTGGAAATGTACGAGATTTACTTAGCGTAACTTTTACTTAGGTGGAATTTTTTTTAGACGGTATTAGCATGTTCTAGTAACCGGACAATTTAAATATTGTCTGTAATTCAAGCGAGTAGTTCACATTTAAATAAAATACTTTAAAGGTTTAAAACGCGATATATTTTAGTTAAACTTGTTTAAAAAATACTTTTAACTACGGTTTCGGATGCTTTGCAGCAGCCGTGGTCACGGGGAGACGTGTTACGGGGTAACGTTTTAAGCCGTTAAATGTTTTATTTAAACCGGACAATTTGTTTCTCTCTTACTTTATGGTGTTTGAACTATCTAAAAAAGCGGATCGACATTGTAAGAGATGGCAGTGGTCTCTGTAATCTCAACTGCAGTATCTGCAAAACTGAAATTACTTATTTCATTAATTCATGTGACTACAGACTTTTTAAAGTGTACAAACCAATTAACAATATTTTTTTACTCTCGGTAATTTTAACTTAATACCTACATGGAGTTAAAGCATTATAGTTGAAAGCTCTTTTATGAGCAAAAAAAGGGGAAATAGTAGGAAATGGGGTTTATATAATGAGATATCTCATGTGCAGCTTAATACATAACTTTTAGGTCTAGCTAAGTATATAATGAGAGTTAAGAGGCTGACAGGTATAGAAGTTGCATAATTGAATGCAATGAAAATAAAACAGATTACTTTGTGAATTGCCTCATTAAAAAATTGATCTTCAGTCGGAGTCTGAATACATTTAAATATCGTAGATATGCCTGTTTTTTTTTATGACAAACAAGGTTAAAATGGATACAAGAAATAATTCAAATCCAAAACTACAAATAATATTAACTTCTTTCACAAATGTATATTAGTTAAAGGCAGAGTTAAATAATTATTATGTGCCCAACCCTAACGAAGTTATCTTTTAAGTTCTCCGCGAATTGAACCTAAGTCCTCCCGCCCCCAACGCCTTATTACCATCATTGAAAATGGTTGTAAATGTAAAGTACCTATACCATATACTTATACTATAAATAAGACCTATATGAATAAATTATTTTTTGTTCGATTTTATTAAATAGCTGTTCTGTATATTGTTTTACTTTTAATTGAAATACACTTTTACATGGTCTAGTTAACAGAATTTTTTACATTCATGTAAGTTTGAAAGGTTTTAAGACTATCAATTATGTAAAAACTTATCATAGGTTAAAAGACATTTTTTTAAAATTGGAGATTTAAATGCGAACAATGAAAGATAGTTAAAAAATAAGAAGTCAAATAGCTATTTTAAATTAACTTTATTCCATTAAAGAAACGTATCACAAAATAATCAACAGTAACAAAAATAAATTCATCTTCATTTATGTCCTTTTCCCCAGTCCCATTCTTTGTGTTCATCATGGCCACCCTTACTTCCGTGTCCTTCGTGGTGTCCCCAGTATTCGTCATTGGCACCTTCGTCGTGATGTCCCTTGTGGTCGTTGTGATGACCACCTTTTTCAAAGTGTCCCTTATCGCCTTCTTCGTGTTCATAGAAGCCACCATCGCTATGGCCTTTATGGAATTCTCCACCTTCCTTATAACCTCCTTCATCATGATAACCACCGTAGCCTTCTACAAAGCCTGAATCGCCGTGCTTATCATGGAAATGTTTGTCCTTCTTAAACTCGTCTAATTTGTGGATCCCATGGTGACCTTTGATAGAGTGGCCTTTATGAAAGTCGCCTTTTTCGTCAAAACTATGTCCCTTTTCTCCCTTCTCTCCATGGTCGTAGCCGCCATAGTATCCTTCGTCATGTTGATGATGTTTCTTGTGTCCACCGCTTTCATCGAATTGGCCTTTGTACCCCTCATGATCGGAATGGCCTTTCTTACCGTGATTATGATCGTGATAAGCTTTGTATCCTTTTTCGCCATGTCCTCCCTCTTCACCATAATGTTCACCGTGATGATCACCTCCATCACCTTTAGCCCAATGTTCTGAAGCTGCTCCCTCGAGATCCGCTTCACGCTTTCGTCTTACATCTCTGGAGTACACTGTGGTGATAACCAATAAACATAATATTAGTTGGGTCTTCATGTTCCTGTCGTCTTGGAGACTTAATGGACGATTGCCAAATGATGCCTGTTGCAAATTTTGGAATGCTTATATAGTATTGCTAAACCGTACAGTTATCTATTGATATTATTCAGTTGTCTTTCATGTCAGGGTAACAAATATGACCGCCAAGTCATAGACGTTGGCATGACCTGGATTTGGGTTTCATTGTTGCTAACTAAAACTATTATACTTGCGATACGTCAAAATATACAAATATTGAATAGAACTCAAAATAAATTGCTGCGTTGTTTAAGAACAATTTTATGAAAAAGAGTTTTAAACAACGATAATGCTGAACTCGAACAGTATTATTTTGTTTGTACATAAATAAATAAACTCTGGGTCACATTACCATTCCGAAGATATAATATGTGTGTATAATAAGAAATGGTTCCTTTATTATATAATAATTGCAAGACGTTATTATATGACTAAAACAGCATAATAATATAAGATTTTCCTATCGTGACCAATACCGCTGAAAGCATCTTAAACGTTAAAAGTTATAATACATTAACTTAATGATTTTGCCTTTAGAATATTTTATTTAATACAGACATAAATTAGGTATTATAAAATAAATAAAAAACCTTTTATTGCTGTTACCAAACTTATACAACTATCTAATTAGAATATATATTTTTGGATAACTGTCATAGACCTCCTTAAAAGAGTGGAGGCCTCCTCCATGTTTCTTCTAAAAAAGTTCTTTTTTTACTGAAACCTTTTCCATCGCTTCTGCGTATACTGTGGCCACCCCACATGAATTTTAGCTGTTTAGTTAACTTTACAGCTTCAATTAATTCAGTTCTACTTCTTATTTTAACATCCAAATCCAGGTCTGCTATTCGTATGAAAAATTAAAGATATGTTTCCAATTGATAAAACACTTTAATGGTTTAAAACGCGATGTATATTAGGTAAACTTTTTGGGAATTATTTTATATACGGCCCGACGATTCACATGTTTTGCAGCAGCCGTGACCACGGCTGTAGTATATACATCGAATTTTAAACCGTTCGTTTATGTTTTATTTAAAACTATACTATTCGCGTAAACTGCAGACAGTATTTGATTTTTTCCTTTTATTTTATTTTTTAAAGATAGAGGAGGACAGACAATCATGGAATATTGTAGATTTTTCGATAAGCGATCTACGAGGATGATATTCCAAACGATTTTCACCAGAGTCAAGGTTGCCGCATGTCAAGGTGATATTGCGTAGTTGTCTTCGGCGCGGTTTTAATGAGTTTTATTGTAACTTCTTTTCGATAAATGTTTGCGACACCGTTTCCGCTCTAATGCGCACTGTCTACCTCGCTTCTCAATACACCTCCAATTACTAGCGAACCGCATAGCTCGTTTAATTTACAGCGGAATACATTTTCATAATAAACCCGAGCGAGTCTTTTATCACGTACGTTTCGTTTGTAATTATTAACAATTATTATTTCGCAGAATGCGAGATTTGAAATACTTACAGGATATCTTTTTAATTAGATAATGTTTATATTTTAAAAGTTTAATGACAAAAATGAGTAGAAGTTGTATAAATTAAAAATCGATTATAAATTTAAAAAAAGTTCCTGCCCGAGTCGAAACTTTTTTTCAATGTATAATCGATTTTTAATTCCTATACGGTTTATAATACATTTTAAAATTATATATTCTTGTGCCAATATGTGAAAAATATTAAAGTTTTTAAATGTATATTCAATTTCCAATAACCATTGAAATATCTAAATGCACACATACTTAAATATATAAAGTATATTTTTATGCTTAAATTAGAAACAATTCTAATGCAATCATAAATGATATTATAAGCCAGGCAGTCTTCAGCTTCTAGATTATTTTATTATCGCTAAAACGCAGTTTTGAATTAAATTATTCAAATCCTACCGTCTAAATTTAATCGATACTAATATTATAAATCTGAAGAATTTGGACGGACCAGTCTCAAGAAATAGTGATTTGTTAATCATTCATTTTTAATTCAAAGTCATTTTTTAGATGATCTAAAAAATGTCTGCGACAGTTTATGTATATCGTTTGAGGTATAATTTAAGAAGCACAATAGCTTGCTTGCAAAAAGAATATGATGCCTAAAATATGTCACGCGGACGTAGTATTAAATATTTATGCCAAAGGCTGGCAAGTTAGAAAATAATAAATATACAAATTAAGACATCGTACAAAGAAAACATATTTAGATTTACTTTTGTTTCTAAAAACAGGTTTAGGTTTCCTTATTTCGCATGTTGTTATTTAAGCAAAACAGATGAGCAGCATCTTGTCCCCATATACCTTTCAATAAATAGCCTTTAGTTTGCGAATGTGGAATAAATAGGTCAATTAACTCGGCGTCGGTCGCTTGTCGATAGTGTTGTATGTGTATCCGCTAACAATGGCTACATTATTGATTGTAATAGCCGCGTAATGATCCGTACTACTTGTTTTCATATTAATATTGAGTTATGCGAGTTAACTGCATAATTTATTGGCGATATATTAGATCGACAGTGCACTAAAACGTCATGGCATTTTAACTTCGTTAAGAACATAACGCAAACATTCTTAGGATTCTATAAACAAACAGTGGACTCTGGTGTTCGTCCGTTTGTCGCCAAACTGTATCTATAGCAGCTGCTATAACACTTTATATTTTTTATTGCTAATATTTAACAAACATCACATTTCCACTTATTTTTAATACTAGCTGGACTCATGAATTCGTCCGCGTAGAACATTTTGGTATTATAATTACTTATTTTTGCAAACAACCTCTCCGTTTTCTAAATTATAGCCGCCCATGACGTCGTCCGCGTCCTTTGGTACTTGCGAGTTATTCTTTAACAATAGAGGTATACTGTTAGCGTAATTTTTGAGATCTTTTCAAGAAGAATAATTCCTTCATATATATTATGTGATATTTTGTTGGTATCACAAACTTCCCCGTTTTTTTTACATTGCGCGCTGTTATAGCGCGATGTTTTATAGCCTATATACCTAAATAAACGTTTTTAGCAACACAAAAATCTCACTCTTCAGCTTTATACATTAGTGTAGATTACAGATTCATTCAAAAACATTCCATTATAAATCCGTGATTTTGAGAATTCTACTCTATTGACGCTTAGCAGTAGCAATTAAATTGCGTTTAATTATTATCGAGTCGATGACAGTGGCAAAGGGCAAAGGAATCCCGATATTGGATCGACATAGGAGTGCTCGGCTTCGACGGAAACTATTAATAAAATTGCACTGCCGGTAGGACGTGCTCTCCAATTGATTTTCATAAAGAGAATTGTCATTCCGCCGGAGAATCTCTCTCGAATCCTCCGGGTTGACAATAGTCGTGATATGAAAAGCAGGTGGATCGACCTTTCGTGTCTTGAATACTAAACGTCTTGTTATCATCTTATTCCCGGCGCCGATGAAGGCTAAATTATCTCTCCCATTTTCCAGTCGCGTTTTTTGAATTTGATTTTATAAGATTTCCTTTGTTTCACGACTTATATTGAAAATTGCGGTTCATCTTTTGTAGGGATCGTAAAATTTAAACGATCCCGCTTTTGATAAGTCGCCATATATTCTTAAGAAGCTTATTTTTACTTCCGATAAGGATTTAAGATTTTTTTTTGTTATAGGTATCGAAATTTGTTTGAATACAAAGAAAGGTAAAAGACAAAGAATTAAGGATGGACCAGATACATTATGTTCTCAATAAAAATCAGAAACATTCTTGAGGTTCAAATTAAGTGACTGAAAACATGAAGATCACGTAAGAATTTGATATTATTATTTATATATAGCGCAGTAATTTTTTATGAGTACTGATTGTACTCGAAGCTCTATGGTTAAACGTGTTGCCTAGCACTGCGTTAACCACAAGGAGGTTATGGCTTATATTCCCCGTGAAATAATAAATTGTTTCAGCACTAAAATGAAATCAACACGTGTCTGATTCATGCTCCGGGATTTCTATCACACAGCTGTCGTTTTATGTTTAACATTAAATTTTAAGTTTATCTTGTGTATTTTATTTAGCAACTCAAACAAGCGTTTTTTATTAAGAAGAAAGTTCTTCAAGTTCTGTTGAGTAATTGAAGTCGGTCCTAGAGTTCTTTTTAACTTTTAAGTGGAAAATAATATTGTAAATGCAATTAAATGTTCTTAGTTATACTTTTCTCATTATCTTTAATAAATTCTAGTATATGTGTTTTATATAAATATATACTCGAAACCTTTGATATTTTTCACATAATGGTATTAAATAAATTAAGTATCGCCTTCAGATTAAAAAAATGTTTCGCCAAGGGCGAGACTTGATTCTGCATCCATGTCTCGTGCTGTTGCTCTAACCAATTAAGCTATTGTGACCTACATATCATCGCTATTTTTCATTTGATCGTGGACGGTGATTCGTGACTACCCATTTTCAGTCTAAAATCGATTTGTATATTATTAATATTGTTTTAATTGTAATAGCAATGGAGATAATAAATTTATGCAAAATTCTGAGCAACCAGAAAGGTGCTCGACTTTAATAGGGGTGAAACTTTGGCCAAGTCTCGTTTCCGTAACCATTTGTCAAACAAAAAATATTACCCAACTTCCAGGGTAGAAGGTTTCCAGACATGACATTTATAAATACCCGAGCCATTACGGTTCGTGGGAGCTTTATGCAAGTTCTCTCTTTTAATGTCACATACGTTTCCTGTGAATGGGGTAAGCGTCGAAACAATTGAAATAGTTCTTGAACTGCACGTTTTTCATAATAGGTGAGTTGGTAGAATTATACACTCTGCGGAATTCGATAGAATAAGGCGGGAAATAACGACGTTTTATTTTACTATAATGTTGGTATTAATAATTTCAGATACATTTAGAAAAATAAAAAATGTTTTGTCGCGGGTTAAAAAAATATGCCTATAGATCTGTGATGTTTGTTGCTTTGCATTGTTTTAAGCGCGAC